AGCTTAATGAGCAGGTTGATGAGCAGGTTGATGAGCCTATACCCATGCCTCGCCAACGAGCTCCACCACGCTGCAGTGGATGTTGGACTATTGGACATACTATAAGAAATTGTCCTAATAAATAGCTTTTATTTTATCCTTTAAAAAAGTCTTCTTCAATGATGTTAGTGGTTGAAAGGTTTCAAAATATCTTGGGAGCGATGAAAATTCGCGGTTCGGTGGTATCCGCGGTTCGGTGGTTGATTACGTTATCGGCCTTGATTTGTAATGAGTCGGATGCGGGTCCCGATTTTGAATAACCCGCGGTCGGATGGACATCCCGACCCCTATATTTCAAGCGGCAGAGGGAAAAAAAGGACTATTATGGGCCTGATATTCTCAACATCATTATCATGGCGACAAGCACGAAAGGTATTGGACGATTGCTGTCGAGAAGGTCCGTATATTGCCCTGTTCTGTCGGAAAACCAATAATAAAAAGTCGATCCGGCCGCCTAAGGTAGTCTTTGCTTAACTGAAACAACTACGACAGACAGTCATCGATCCTGACTCAGGCGTATCGCAGCAGAGCAGCGTGCAATGTGAACAATCTCAGAATGGCCTCGTCAGCTGCAGCTGTGGCCGCTACTGAGGTCGAAAAGAAAGATACAGCCACAGCGACTGCAGAAGCTAATTACCAGATCATCGCGAAAGTGGGCGATTTCGACGCTGTCCAAGCCAAACGCCCCGATTTCGACCACTCGAACAAGCCTATCGAAGTCACCAAATCCCCCAATCCAAACTGGGAATATGGGCAAGGAGTGCCAGGCAGTGGTGCAAGTGCTAAAAAGCATCGCGAGATTGACCCGTACGCGCCGGACCGTCCAATGATCAACAATTATCATCTGCTTGTCTCTGGCATTGCGCCTCGCCCGATTGGATTTCTGAGCACCGTGTCCGGCGACGGAAAGACCAAGAACCTTGCCCCGTTCAGCTACTTCCAGGTCATTGACCATGATCCACCCATGTTTATCGTGGGATTCTCCTCTCGGCCGGGCCGAGTCAAGGACACCTTCCGCAATTTGAAAGAGACAGGCGAGGTGGTTATCAACACAGTCTCGGAGAACATGATCGAGGCAGTCAATGCGACTTCCATCGACGCACCGTATGGTGTTTCCGAGTGGGAGATATCCGGTCTGCATGAGGCGCCTGCAACGACTGTCAAGCCTTCCCGTGTTCAGGAGTCTGTGTTCTCCATAGAAGGCAAAGTGGTTGATATCAAGGAGTTCGAAGACCATAGCAAGCCTGGGATGAGCATTGCCTCCCTGGTGCTTATCAAGGCGACCCGATTCTGGGTCCAAGAGGATGCTGCTGATGCAGACTTTAGACACATTGATCTGAATAAATTGCGACCTTTGGGACAGCTGGGTGGTATCTCTTATGGGCGGATTACGTCCATATTTGAACAGCCAAGGAAACGATGGAGTGATGAATATCCACAGAGTGAGCTATTGACAAGATTGGAGGGATCGAAGCCGGAGACGAAATGAACCAACTTGGTATCTAGACTAGACAAATCCCGCGTGTTTTGGCTTACCTTTCCCTTCCTGTGTACTATACTTCTGAGAAAGCGAATTCGATCGTAAGGTCTTCTCCTTGAACCAGGTATCCCTGGGACCTTCTTTAAGATTAAGGCATTTTTGGAGCCCATTGTAGGAAAGGAAAATGTGAAAGGATCCAATTGAGAATTTCGGTTAGATAGTTTCAACAATCTAGATTCGTAAACAATTATCTACAGAACTGTAGTTCAGCAATGAGGCCATCATCGTGCACAGCACAATTGACACTATTATCAAGAGAAAAGTGTAGAAACAGCTGACAAGACCTCGGAAGCTGGCTACTGGAGAAAAGTAATTCATGATTACCGAGGAGCATGAAGCATTATTCGGTGCACAACATTCCATAGCATGGGGATTTTCAGGTGGGAATCGGACGGAGAGTTTAATCAGGCCGTCACCGACCACAGATCCTGACGAAGGTTGCAGAAATCCCAACATACTAAGTAGTGGATCCATGGATACCTGAAGGTGGTTCAGAGTTACGTAGGCTCATAATAGTCGTTCTGGGCAAGAAAGCTGGTCTGGTTGATCGATGGTGGTGCTCGGATGAAAGGCACGATCATCCCTACTGTTCTTCAAATTTGGATTCCAGCTGGAATAGTATATATCTGCTGAACTCTGGGTTATCAGATTTAGAATTCTCCATTCCAAAGGCACCCATACCAACATGTTGTCGATCAATATTCCTACCTACGCGAAACCTTCCGGCTACGAGCTTTCCGAACTCCCCAAGCCGCAGATCCAGGACCCGCAAGATGTACTTATCAAAGTTAATGCTGCTAGTGTTAATCCGATCGATGTGAAAAAGGCCGATGGTATCCTGAAGTTGGCGCTGAAAGACCCGTATGTGCATTTCCAACCAGACGGCCGAAAGTTGACTCACTCTGAATGGATCAGTTTCCCATACAAGATAGGTTACGATTGCGCCGGTACAGTCACAGAGATTGGACAAAGCGTGACGCGGTTCAAAGTCGGAGATGCGGTCTACGTTCGATTGCCAGAGGCGAGACGGGGTATTGTGATGATCGAGAAGAGATGGCCTTCGTACTTGAGCTGACAAAATCAAAACTAGGAGCGTGGAGTGAATACGCCAGATGCCCAGAGGAATTCATCGCTCTGAAGCCACCGTCGCTGTCGTTTGAGAGCGCAGCCTCAATTCCATTAGCAGGAATGACAGCTCTTCAGGCGCTGAGGAAATACGATGGCGATCTCTCTGGAAAGACAGTATTTGTACCCGCTGGATGTATGCTATTCCTGCTTATCACATTTACTTCTCTGCTAAAACATTGTCAGTGAGTGGAACTGGTCTATATGCATGCCAACTTGCGAAGCACGTTTTTCACGCCGGGAAGGTGATCACGACCGTCTCGACATCGAAAGTTCCCAAGGTGGATGAACTCTTAGGAAAAGGAACCGTCGATGAGAGTAAGAAGTTCATCCCATGACTCACCATGCAATAACCTGCTGACTCGATGCAAGTAATCGACTACAAGAAGGTTGACCCAAAGACTGTGATTGAGCACGGTACTATTGATTTTTTGTTTGACACAGCCGGCCTCGCCATGGAATATCTTTGTCTAATGCGACCAAAGTCTAGCTGGGTTGTGTCTATTGCAACCGCACCTTCAGGGAACCAGCTACAGGATTCTCCGCTCTTTCACCTTGGGCACCGCCCCTCTGTCCCGATACATATCAGACTCGGACTGAATTTACTGGATTCCATTCGCAAAATGTGTGCTCGACGCTACGGCGTTAGCTATACATACATGTTCTTGGATGCAAACGGCAAGGATTTGGACGCCTTGAGGGGATATGTGGAAGACGGTAAATTAAAGACAGTCGTGGGAACTACCGTGGATATGTCAGATATCCAGGCCGTGCGAGACGCCTGTCAGGTTGTATACAGCAACCAGGGGGGCCTTGGAAAGGTTGTTATTAAAGTTGCTCAGTCTGAGAATCAACCATGAGTACTTGCGTTGCCCTGCTGTGAGACCGCACATCAGTATGCAACGACAAACCCGGAGGTGATGAAGATACCCTCCTTTGAAACTGTGCTGCGGAAGTTTTAGCTTCGCTTTTGGCCTTTATTTGATACTCACTTTGATTAACTTACTATAGTACTTGAATTTTGTAATATCTGAATAGGTAGTGATGTATCAACATCATTTGGGAATGTCTGTAGTTAGATACTTTCCCCTTAACTCTTGTGAGGGACTACCAGGCGTTACAAATGAGTGATCCTAATTGATATGATGTTGCATGCACTCGACATTGCATATGTTCGCGCGATTTACTCCTCAATTATGTTGAAGACAATCCATGCTGGTAATCTTCCGTGGAGATGTTGCTTAGAACTAGTAGGTTAGCTTTGCTGCCACCGTACGGTGTAGGTATGGATCCAGATGCTCCAGAAGCCGCTGCTCGGGAATCCAAAATCCCAGTAGATGTATCGGTATCTTAGTCTCCTGGGGATCCATTCTCTCGGACAGGCGGAACAACTACAAACTGGATAACAGCCTCTATCGACGCCTTTTGCGATAGGGGTTTAGACCTGTCCAACATTTCACTCTCATGTTTTGGAGGCCATATGGGGCGCCTAGATATGCCGAGAATCCACTGACTAGCCTCCAAGGTTCGGGGCAACAGTCTATCCGCTTCGCCACGTGGGGACTTAATCAGGGTTCTACATGGCGGAAGATCTTCATAGCTTGTCCTTTCTCATAGTACTACCAATTATATCATTTAGAGAGCTTGACTAGCCGGATCAAGACAAGGTTGCGAGAGTGTCCATCGAAGTTATCAGAACTTCAGCCACCAGAAGCAAAGAGGACAAAGTCACGAATATGTACTAAGATGGGGTACTGTAGAGGACCAAAGGCCTCTTGATATATAGAGCTCTAAGTCTCTGCGGTTTTTATTTTATTCCTTAGAATTCATGCAATAACAGAGAAGCAAAAGGAGACATCAGGAATAACACGACCACCCGTGAAAATGGCGGCGTTTATTACGGCATTTCTAAACCCTTGTAATTATACGGGAGGAGTGAGTTTTGAGCCCAAGCGAGATATACAAGACTTGTCAGGCAAAGTTGTTCTGGTGACTGGAGGTAGGTCCGGCTCCCTCATTTCAAGAAAACCATCGTGGAAGGTCCTAACATTTCTAGGAAATGCTGGGTTGGGCAAGGAATCCATCCTCCAGTTAGCGAAGCACAGCCCGGAGAAGATATTCCTTGGAGCACGCTCAAAAGCAAGGGCAGAAAGCGCTATTAGCTCTATTAAAGGATAACTTTCAAATAACGTGGATATTACGTGGCTTCCTCTGGATCTGACATCCATTTAATCCATCAAAGACGCTACCCAGCAATTTTGCGCACAGTCATCACAGCTTAATATCCTAATGCTTAATACAGGTGTTATGGCTCTTCCACCAGGGGAAACAGAAATAGGCCATGAGATCCAGCTTGGTACAAACCATACTGGCCACTTCCTTCTGACGAAGCTCCTGCTCCCGACCTTGTTGAAGACTGCTCAGGAGCCGAATTCGGATGTTCGGGTTGTCTCGTTATCTTCAATCGGACATAATCTTGCACCGTCCTTTGAAACCATCTTGAATCAAGACAAGTTGAAAGAGGTTCATACAAACCTTCGATATGGAGCCTCCAAGGCAGCCAACTGCACGACGTTATCCTTCAATCGCTGCTGTATCCGTTCACCCGGGCATCATTCTCACGGAACTTTACAGTCCTTCGAGCGAGCGCTCTACGATCGCTGCCCTGGGTTCGAAGATTGTAAGCCTTTTTGGAACCCCAGTCCCTGCAGGAGCTTATAACCAGCTATGGGCCGCCGCGGGTGCGAAGAAGCATCATCTTGTCAATGGAGCGTATTATGTCCCAGTGGGAAACTTCAAGGCCCACAATAAATACGCCCAAAGCGAAGAGCAAGGGCGATGTCTGTGGGACTGGACCGAGGCTGAGCTACGCAAGTTTGGAGCTTTTACTTGAATTGTTCCCATATCTCACTGTCCTTTTTGGCTTCCTTTTTCCACGGCTCTTACCTCATCATTCTTTGATGTCCTCTTGTTTAGATAGATCATGTAATCATAACTGAATCTGGCCTTGGGAGGTTCTCTACAAAGCAACGAGAACAAGCGTCTCCTTGTATCTCTTGTTGACTTCATTCTAAGTTGCATTTCAATGTGATCTGTCATGAGATACTGGTGAAAGTATATGGGGGAAGAAGGTGAAAAGGAGAAAACAAAGAAAAAAAGGGGGTTTACAACTAGATATGAATGAGAAAAGCAAGCAAGTCAGTTAAGACAATCAATACACCTACATTAATGTCATAACACATGATCCCATATGGAGTGCGGACGTAGATATATATTATTAATAGTAGAAGCACTAGATCTTGCAACCCTCAACACATACAGTAATTGGTTTTGTTAAAACCGGAATAGTGAGGACTAGTACTCTGTAAATAGGTTCTCTCTAGAATGAGAGTCTTTTACAATGAATCCAAGGCAGCTACCAATGTTCCAAATTATAGTACAACATACATAGGTCATCAACTGGGGTAACTATTTCTTAATTTAGCATAAAAGAGCAATTAGGCAGACCCTGATCATGGAATATGCACGTTCCCATATTCTCAGAAACAACGAGCATATCAATGTTGCAACCTGATGCAGACTGCAAACACTAGCTTCATCGGCGTCCCAATTAGGAAGGTGAAGGAAGTCCCCGTCTTGGCCACAGTTAAGACTATATAACCCTTGAATAACCCCTTGAACACAAATCCATCCATACTTCAAAAAGCAACATCAACCATGTCCTCAAACAATATCTCCCTTCGCCCCGCCCTCCCCACAGATGCCCTCACCCTCGCACGACTCCACAACGAGGCATTCGCCAATAACGACCTCATGGAGATCATGTACGGACCTCTCACTCAAGACGACCCGCCCTTCGCCGCCGACCTGGAGCAGATCATCCGCGACAGTCCCAACGCTCAAATCTTGAAGGCAGTCGATGACGAATCGGGGCGGATCGTGGGCTGGTCGTGGTGGAGTATCTACCGGGATGCAGAGGCCCACGCAAAAGCAGAACAGGAGGCAGTTAAATGGGAAACCACCCCGCCTACTACATCGATTTGTCCGCAGGCGTATTTAGATTATCATGGTCTGAAGTCGAAGATGAGGGCAAAGTGGATTGGGGGGAGGCCAGTCGCCAGTGAGTTTTTGCTGTTTCAATCTCTTTGCTTCCATTGTAGCTTGTCAAAGCGGGTAAATGAGTTTCTAATTTGCATAATAGTCCTGCAAGTCTTGGTTGTTCATCCAAAGTACCAGGGTCGAGGGCTCGGGAGAAAGTTACTCAAGGTCGGGGTGGAAGAGGCACAGCGTCTCCGGTTGCCCGCGTGGTTGGAGGCTTCCCCGGCTGGGTATACGCTCTACAAGACATGTGGATTCTGTGATGTAGAAAGTCTGGATCTGGACTTTGTTGCTTATGGCTTCCCGGGGCCGAGGCGTGTATATTGCATGTTGATGGACGACATTGATAAGTAGACGGTATCAGAATCATCAGATATGACTCTACGGCCAGATGTATATGTTTTATAAGCTCCATATGGCTCAGATGCCATCTCCCAGCCTCCAAACCAAGATGCATACGCCACTTTGTAGTAATACTGACAGCAACTAAGATCATGCGTTCTGATCAACGGTCTCTCACCATACCCCGATTAAAGTCCCATACTCTAGCGGTTGTCCCGAGCATCGCCAGCGACGGTAGAAGGATCATGAGATTCCAGATGTAGCAAGCCAAAATGATCTAGGCGCATTGAGTTTTTATTCAATTTCTCATACATATTACTGATGTAAATCTTAAAATTTTTTGGGTAGGTTTGATTCAAAAGCTAACGAACCACGGTTCTGGTGGGTCAGGATCGTGCGGGCCAATGTCACGATATGGGACCGCTTGAGGCTCACCATCCATATGGCCGGAACGCCCATGGGATTTTCGTCGGCACGATCATATTGTTGAGTAATCATGGCGCTGTGGGAAGTCAAATAGACTCGCCAAGTCGTCCTGCGGCCGGAACGCCTGTGTCATTGCCGTCGGCACGATTATGTTGTTGAGTAATCATGACGCATTGGAAATCGAAAAGAACCGCCGAGAACGATGCTTGGAAATCATGATGTTGCCCTGAATATGAGGCCCCCGATTCAGCAGGTAAGACATGGCCTCGACTTGCCTGTTCATTAGGAGACTCCCTAGGTGATTCATCGATGCAGCTCGCTCAATGTCCGAGCGTATATATATATATATATCTTGCTCGACCACTCTCAGATTCAGTGGTATATTTCTCAGTTGACATTGAAACTACTTGATAAACTAGCTGCTAATCACCTGTTGACATCTGCAAGATGTCAAACACTGCGAATACAGCCTTGGTCATCGGTGGCACGGGTGCTCAGGGAATACCGGTCGTCAAAGGTTTGCCCAATCTTATCTTGGCGGGGAATATTGCTAACGATGATCATAGCGTTGGCATCTGGTTTGAAATACACCGTCCGGGTCCTGACTAGGGATTCCTCTTCGGAAGAAGCAAAAGAGCTCGCTGCAATCCCCGGTGTGTCGATATTTGAGGGGGAGACCCACGAGCCCACCCTGCGGGAGGCATTTAAAGACATCTCCTATGTCTTCGCTAATACTAATGGCTTTGCCATTGGTGAGCAGGCTGAGATATACTGGGGCATTCGGCTCTACGAGCTAGCTCGAGAATTCGGCGTAAAGCATTTCCTCTACGCTGGTCTCGAATATGCCTCAAAGCTTGGGAACTTTGACCCCAAATATCGGACTGGGCATTTGGACAGGAAAGGGAAAGTGGTTGACTACCTTTCTGCTCAGCCAACTACTCCTATGGCGTGGTCTGTCCTGACATCATGCTTATATGTTGAAGGCCTCTCGGAGATCCTACGGCCTTTCCCGGATCCGAACGACCCTGACACGATGGTCTTTGCAGTGCCCTTGGGGGATGGAAAATGCCCTCTTATCTATCTTGAGGACTATGGAGCCTACGCCCGATGGATACTTGACAACCCCTCCCAGAGTAACGGCCTCGAATTACATGTGGCCACGGAGGACATCGCGTGGAAAGATGTCGCTGCGGCCTTTACGGCAGTGACGGGCAAGAAGGCGGTCTATAAGGATGTGACCTTGGACGAATATTTCCAATTAGGAGTGTTCCCAAACCCAGATGTGAAACTGGGCCATTCCGCCGTCCTGATGATCCTACCCTCTAACCTGAGCAAGAGGGATTATCAGCTGTTGGATGAAACCCTGCCAACCAGAGTGAAGAGTGTGAGAGAATGGATGGAGAAAACTGGATATACAGGGAAGCCTGCGTCGGTTCTGAAAGACCATCGCGCTGGTAAAGTCTAATGATCGGATGGGATAGACCTTGAAAGGCTATCTCGTGTCGGCGTGTGGAGTGCATCCTGATTTGAATATCTGCCTTCGTCGATTCTGTTATGTTCGATACCTCTCTGGCCAGCTTGCTCAGTGTCTCTGTTGCAGGATGAAACGGAAAGCGCCCAGTTCATATCATTGATTGGAAAGCTAGCTAATGTCGCGCGTTTAAATTGATTTTGCTTAGTTGCTTGGTATTTATGGTCATACTTTCTTCCTTTTACAGTAGGCGTCAGCCGATTTCTTCTCTTTCTAGTGAGGTGAATGAGTTCGGTCTTCTTGGCCGCGAAGCAGGACCTGGTTCTCTGGGCCCATGTTTCAATGCGAGGGATGTCTTTGGATTGAATCTTGCTTAGGTTCTCCTCTGCTGATCGGCCAACTCGCAATCAAAAGTAGTCATCAATGAAGGCGGATGCACCGCTGTGAAAGTCAACCAGCTGGTCAACCAGATTAGAGTTGAAGAACGCCAACAGGATGGGCGAGAGAGGGGATCCTTATGCTAGTCCGGCGTTCTCCAACAGTGCCACCTCTGTTTAGAAGTTATTAAATCTAATGTTAGTATAACAGTTGCTTATGAAGCTCATGATCCATCTCCTAGACACTGCCGGAATGTGTTTTGTGTAGAGGCGAGCATTAAGGCTCATCTTATTGACCCCATTGAAGGCTCCTTTTAGGTTAAAGGCGACTAATGTGACCACTTTCTGTTTGTACCATGCTTGATTAATTATATTAGCTAGCACCAGGAGGGCTTGTTTAGTGGTTCATCCTAGACGTCCACTGAACTGAGTGTTTGGCAATAGCTTATAGGCTTTAGCAAAGTATGATAGACGGCGGGCCATAACTGCTTCCAGGAGTTTGCCTAGTATGTTGAGAAGTGAGATTGGTTGGTAGGCGCCAGGTAGCAAATAATCTGGTTTCCCTGCTTTTCACAGGACCACAATTCTAGCACTCCTCCATCTTTTCAGGTGGTAACCCAAGTTGACGGACAAGGTAAAGATCCAGGTGATAGGGCTTCCAAGACACAGGCATTTCCACACTAGTATCAGGAGGCCGTCTTCGCCTGGTGCTGTGGACTGTGGAGCTCTTAGCAACTTTGAGAGATCAATAGACTCCTTCCATAACTCCACTTGATGTTACACCTCCTCCCAATTTTGTCCCGGTCTGCTTGATTATAGGCCTTTCTTATTTTGCACATGGGGTTGCGCTGTGCTTTGAGGCTCCATTCTAAGTAGGTTGCTCGGTGATCCAAGCCATAGTTCTTATAGTAAATGTGGCATTTGATGAGCTGTTCAGCATTATTCATCACAGTTTAGTCAATTATGGATGTCCTCCCCGGGCGGGTCAGGGACCAATAAGTCGTCGTTCCTCGAGGTAGACAGCCATAGAGCCTATGTGTTTAAAAGAAGTCAATCAGCTCGCTTGCGTCCTCTGTAAATTAAGGCCAGATGTGATTGCCGCCCCATGTTAGATGGTGTTAGTTAAAATCACCAGCAACAGTAAAAGGATCCTGGGATTCCAGATCATCATGTTCGTTGTCGGCTGCTTAAACTTGCTTTTCAGAGAAAGATACATGCGCTCTCACAGAAATATTCTCATCTTGGTAAGCTGGGTCAGACTCAAGGTGCTTTGCACAGAAGAAAATCAACATGGAACAGCAGAGTTTAGTTAGAATTTCAATAAAGATATCTTTCTTCCACTCAGTAGTGTGGATAAGATAGCGAATAGCAAATAGGGAATGAAACATCAGCATCAAAATCAGCAGCGTACTGATCGAAGACAACATCTCGCCAGGTTTTATTGAGGTTTCTGGCTGTCATAGTGAGGATTGAGCTTGAATATGGGCTCTTAGCTGATATTTATATGTGTCTGGTCTGGAAAAAGGCAAAGCAAGAAGATAGAAGACTTGTGAGTTGTGATCTGGCTATCACTCTCAAACCTGTCTTTATGGTCTATCACCCATCTATGTACCTCATCCATCAGTATGTGCCAGCGTCAACCAGAAAACTTGGCATTATCCCTGTTTGACCCCCTACTACTACAAAGTACTAGGGCTACCTTAGGATAGCTCTGATCAGATCGCATCATCTTCTTATCCAGCACCAGCTCCTGCCCTGATTAGCTGTCTTCCAAGGTTTAAGGCCTGTAACACATACAGCCAGCGCGAAAACCCCCAGATCCAGGCGCTAGGCGCTATCGCGAGAATTCGACGTGCCTTATCATCGCCTCACAAGAATCAACAGGCGCAACTCTCATTCGCACACGCTATACCACAAATAGGGCTCTTGACGAGGCCCAAGAGTAGGCATTAATTCAATGGATCATTCTTCTCGATAATTCATTCGCTTTACCGACGCCTACGATGGCTGGGCAATGCGCAAACCAAATTCCTCGTCGGGGCGCTATGGAGGGTTCCTCTCGGACGTTCAGCAAGATGTGGATTTATCGCCTCATTAAGCGTGTGCCTCTATAACTAAATCTTATCAAACAAAAACCAATGGGTCCCACGCGTCTTGCGGCAGAGCATCTTGGGATGATACAAAATTGGTATGACCGATTGGAGCTCTCAATTGGACAGAAGAATATCCGTCCGATGAACATCTACAACTTCGATGAGACCAATTTCCCATTGGAAGACGGCAAGGCACAAAAAGTCATCAGCACCAATCCTGTAGCAGCAGCGCACATTGCGACAGGGGGTCTAAGGGAACCAGTGACTACAATTGAGTGTATGCTGCTGATGTTGGGTAACGTCTCCATTCTTCCTTCTAAAGGCCAATGGCATATGGAGAATTGGTACCAGCATGCAACACTACCGGAGGATTATCAAACCACACCAACTCCTAAAGGATATACAACAGATAAGATGGCATCTGATTGGATCCATTTCTTTGATTGCTGTACGAAGAATCGCATCCACCGCGAGGGCATCGCTTGCTACTTATGGATGGCCACGGCTCGCATCTTACGCAAGATTTCCTACAATACTGTGAAAACCATCAGATTATTGCTTTCTGCTTTCCTCCACATACGACCCATCTCCCACAACCCCTCGATGGCAAGCCTTTTCAGGTTTATAAGCACTACTACCGCAAGCACAACAACTCAACCGTCCAGTTGTGCAGATCGGTCAAAGAGAAGCGCGATTTCTTTTGCGGGATTCACGGCGTCAGAAAACAGACATTTAAGGATCATACGATCCGTGGCGCATGTGCAGAGCGAGGCATCTATCCAATTCAACAAGAAATAGTACCGGAGCCCCTAGAAAGGGCCAAATCCCCTGTACCAGAGCTCCAAACGCATGATGGTGATACACCACCACCATCTAGCTCGACAACAACCTCACCTGCTATGACAGTCCAGAAGCTACGGCGCGGCATCAATAAGGCACAAAATGCCTTAAATGAGCTCAGAGAAGAACTGGATACGATTAGTCCAAAGCTCAATAAGCGGCTTGAGCATATCTTCTATGGTAGTCTCGTACAAGCGGAACTCAACACTCAGCGGGAGGATGATATACTGCACCTACTACACAACAGAGAACATCTCCAGGCCAAAAAAACCCGCAGAAGGATTAAAGCAGCAGGTGCTCTATCTGTTAAGGATGCGAATCGAATGATCGAGGCTCGTGAGGCGGAGGAAATCAAGAAGAAATGGCCCCGAACCAGGAAGACCGCAAGGGATGAAGCGAACCTACTAGTGCCACACCAGTAGGCTCTGTAGACGATTTACCTATCGGAGAACCTCGTACGGCCACTGAAGATGTACAGCAGGATTTATTTTTATTGATATGATTAGTAGACATTAATAAATTTGACTAATTTAGGTAGTGAATGGAGAATTTTGCGTTGAGCTGTGGCGCACCAATACCAACTAGGTGTAGGGGTGCGAAGGCATGGGGAGGGGCCAGGCTGAGGTGCTTTACTCACTACTTACCCCGCTTCACTGCTGCGACTGAAGGACAAATAATTGTGAGCATCAGCCTTGGACTGACCGCATACTCCCCTTTGTTATCCATCATGGTTATGGTCTTTCCTCAAAGCTATACTTCAGGCTCATCAAAGAGAAGCATGCAGGAGTTGAAGTATGTCAAATAATTTTAAAGTATCTTCCTCACGGGTTGGTGTTCAAGGAAACGTATTTGGACAGGTAAACAACTACTTTAAGTGAGCTGCCTGTCCGTTGAACTTGGAGCAAAGCTAACGTAGTATGTTCAGTGATGCTGATGCACTTGAAGAATTACCCCTAGTTCCAGGTGCCCTTTTCAACCATCGCGACGAAGCAGAAGACCCCGTTTGTCATGAGGACACCCGAACTGCGGTACTGCAGGAAATATACGATTGGGCCGAAAGGAATGATGAGAAGCCCGTCTTCTGGCTGACTGGTTGGGCAGGGACGGGCAAATCAACAATTGCTCGGACTGTCGCCCGAAGATATCATCAAAGAGAGAAACTCGGGGCGTCATTTTTTTTCTCGAGGGATAAAGGAGATTGTGGATCTACGACCAAGTTTGCGTCAAGCATAGCTTACCAGCTTGCGACCCGGTCACCTTCTCTGAAAGAGTCGATCTATAATACACTTAGACGCAATAAAGGGATTCTAGATGGGTGCCTTTCCGATCAATGGGAGCAACTTGTCTTGAGCCCAATATCAGCGCTTGACGACCCCGGATATGCGAAGCGGTACCTCCTGGTGATCGATGCACTTGATGAATGTGAGGCCAAATGCGAGACCTTGGTTAGGCTGCTCTTTGAGACACAATTGACAAAAATCCGCCTGTTCGTGACAAGCAGACCAGATCTGCCCGTACCGCCTGAAAGGTTGAAGTCCCAGTACCGGTCCCTTATCTTACATAAAGTCAGTCCGGAGAGTGTTGATGAAGATATTTTCAAGTTTCTACATGGCTCTCTCGCTCGAGACAGAGACGACTGGTTAGAAACAGCGCTTCTCAGACGCTTGGTTGAGAAGGCAGGGGGCCTATTTATATGGGCGGCTACTGCCTCTCGATTTCTGACCGATTCTCCAGAGGTTGCTGATTCCAGGCTATGCGAGCTTCTCAGTGATGAGGAATTGAATAGAGAACCAGGAATGGATCTCAGTGATAATGAGTCGAATGCTGGCCCAGGGAAAAGTTTGAAACCGGACCAAAGTTTGGACCTTATATACCTAGCGGTTCTACGAGCCGCCGTATCTCCAAAGCTTAGCCATAAGGAGAAAGGCATCTGCCTCAATCTTATGAGAAGATATCTTGGCAGTATCGTGATCCTTTCCTCGCAACTATCCCCTCACGCACTCTATACGCTCGTGGAAATGGATACCAAAAAATACAAGGGTATTCACGCGCATGAGATCTTGCGAAAACTACGCGCTATTCTCGACATACCCAAAAACAAGGATGAAGAATGTGCGGTAATCCGTCCGCATCATCCCTCGCTCTGTGACTTCCTCCTCAACGCTACCAGATGCAATGACGAGCAGTTTTACGTGTGCAGAAAGCAGGCCCATCAGATTGTGTTCGATGGATGTCTGCAGCTTCTGTCACAAAGTTTACGGCAAGATATTTGTGATCTCGAAGCGTCCGACGCTTCCGTTGAAGTTGTACCAAAGTCTCGCATTGAGCAGGCACTTCCACCAGCAGTGCAGTATGCATGTCTTTACTGGGTGAAGCATCTGCGGGCTTCTGAATGCGTGAATCGTGACCTCGATAGCGTCCATGAAATGCTCAACAATCATGTCCTTCATTGGCTGGAAGCGCTGAGTTGGATGAGGAAATACCACGATGGACTAGACGCATTGGCGTCTCTCAATACCTTTCTGCTGGTATGTTTATTGCACGAATCTACGATGAATCTGACATCCTTGAAGCACAGAGAACGTCCCCAGCTATCCAATCTCGTCAAAGATATAATCCGATTTACCAGATGCCATGGGCCCGTTATAGAGCAGACACCTCTTCAACTCTACCTGGGTTCCATTGTATTTTCACCACAAGAGAGCCTTGTGAGACAAAGGTACGGTCATATTGGACGGCAATACCTTGAATACCTACCCAGAACCAGAGCTCGCTGGGGAATGCATTTGCATAGTTTGGAATATCATCGCGAATCTGTCGAGAGGCTTGCATTCTCGGATGAGCGGCAGATGCTGGCATCGGCATCGACTGATGGAACCCTACGGCTGTGGGACGTCACGACAGGTCGGTGTTTACGGGTTATCGAGGGCTTCAAGGGCAAGATCACTGCGATTAGCTTCTCGCCAGAAGGAAAATGGCTAGCATCTCTTTCAGGTGGAATGATCCACGTATGGGACGTAGCCACGGGGCTTTGCATACAGGGCTTTGAGGAGTCCCAAGGCTTCAAAGCAATGGCTTTCGCTGGAGATGGGAAGCTCGTAGCGGTATCACACACTCAGCAAGTGCAGTACCGGGATGTGGCGAGCAAGGAGTGTGTGCGATCCATACATGGTTTGGTCGGCCATCCTGCCTCAGTGATCTTCTCAGAAGATGCCAAAACCATTGCGACTTGGTCCTTCAACGGACTCGTACGCGTGTGGAACCTTACAACGGATCGGTGCATCATAAAAGTCATTCTGGATTCGACAGTAGGATCAGACACAGTTGCTCTCTCACCGGACGGAAAGATCCTAGCAGCAGCAGCATCCACTGAGATTCAAGCGTTTGACACTGAGACAGGTGACTGCCTAACCACCCTTCAAGGGCATCTTCTTCGCATTAATGCTCTTGCTGTGGCGGCAGGCAACCAGACGCTAGCCTCTGTATCAAACGACACGACTGTCAAGCTCTGGAGTCTCGCCACTGGGCAATGTCTTCATACGCTCAAAGGCCACCGTCATCCGATTCTTGCCGTTACTCTGTCCCAGGGAAGGAAAATGGTCGCATCTGGGTCGATGGATTGTACAGCTCGGCTCTGGGACATGAGCGCTGTTCATGATCTACACATGACTGAAGAGACTACCGACACGACGACAGTAACTGCACTGGCACTGGACGATCACGCGATGCTCGCAGCTCTGGGATATGCGGATTCAAGCATACAGCTCTACTATCCATATAATGGCAGAAAATTCATGACGTTGAGCGGCCATAGTGATCGTATCGCGGATTTGGCCTTCCTCGCAGACGGAGGTGTTTTGGCATCAGCATCAGTTGACTGTACTCTACGACTCTGGAATACTGAATTGGGCCATTGCTTACATGTCCTTAAGGGCCACACCTCTTCCATCAGTCGCATAGTAACCACTCACAACAGATTAATTCTAGCATCTCTTTCAGTTGATAGAAACATACGGCTGTGGAATGCTGAAAGTGAGGCTTGTCTGCACACACTGACTGGCCATACGGGCTATGTCGAGGGAGCCGCATTCTCAAAAGACGACACAATTCTAGCAACGTCGTCAAGCGATCAGACTATCCGGCTCTGGAATGTGGAAGACGGCATTTGCTTCCAGATTCTGAAAGGTCATCAAGATCGGGTGATGGGGCTAGATTTTTCTGACGATCAGAAGATCTTAGCATCGGCGTCATTTGATAGGACGGTGCGGCTTTGGGATGTCGACTGCGGCTGCTGTCTACAGGAATACTCGCACGTTCATAAGGTCACAAGCGTTGCGATCTCTGGCAACAAAAGTATGCTAGCATCGATATCGGGTCTAGGAACACTTCGTGTCTGGGATATTCGAAGCGGCGAATGCGTCCAGGTACTGAATGGTCGCCTGTTCCGTGTTATCCATCTGTCAAGCAGTGGCCGGTATCTGGAAACCGAACACGGCTCCCTCATGCTTGAGGCAAAAACTACTGTTCCTGAGGATGCTTCCGAGCAGCCAGCCTCCGCCATATATGTTGACAGAAGCTGGGTCATATATGGGGGGCAGAAGATGCTATGCCTGCCCAGGGAGTATCACAACCCTAAACACGTGGCGGTTCGTGGAACAACGGCAGTGCTTGCCTATAACTCCGGTCAAGTCTTGATTCTCCGATTTAAGTAGCTATTTTGATAGGGATGAGCAGTAATAATATCTGCAGCCTCGGCTCATCTTTACTGTTCGCCTTGTATTGTACCCGTTCAGGGAATACTCCTACATTATTCCGAGGGTCGAAAAATGCACATACAAGGATTCATATAGTTGTGGTAGCCTGCATATCGCTTCATTGATCAACCAACCAGCCAACTACTGTATCCCTTTCGCGCCTGTTCCAGTCACATTTTTGTTCTATAAATTAAAATGTAGAACTCCTGAGTTCGATACTTGCCCCTGAATCCCAACCTTTGTATTACCGGAGTTGTTCCATTCATTCCTCTTCTTCTGGTCAGTTTTGTAATTTAATCAGCTGGGGAAAGACGCTCACCATTCCACTCTCTCGAGGTCTATCCGTTGCTTCCCATTGTTCCAAGATTGCTCTCGCACCAGCCGATGCAGCAGCAGCGGTATATCGCTGCCACTCTTTATTCTTGTGGCTGTCTGCATAGTCACACACTCCTTTGACGACAATACAAGGAAGATACTCCCAAATTCCCGCACCTTCCATCTCAATGGCTATGACCCCCTCCCTGTGAGCAATCTTGTCACGATGCTGGCCGGACTTGATCACTGCATCTCCGGATGCGATCGAGCCGAAATGGATGGAGGGTTGATCCTGACGCCGTTTGCGCGCTTCCAAACATGCCGAGCTGCAGCCCAGTTCCTCGCAACTACTTTGTTTAGCGATAGAACATATTTTACCATCCTGAGAGCACTCGCAGGTCTGAGCATTGTAGTGCTTGTGCACGTAGTCAGGCAAAAACAGCTTATCTTCACTCGATCCTGGATACTTTAATGGCTCGAATTCAGGCTTCCGAAGCAATGACTGGAGCTTCAATGACATCGTCTCCTCGAGGTTCTGCTTGCAGGATTCGAGCTTCGTAATGAAGGACCTGATTCTCGGCCCTTGCTTTCCCAGGTTGTCGTCAACGCTGTTCTTTCGCACAAACCCGTCTGGAAACTGCCGTCCAAAGTCGGATTGAATCACATTCTTGCCGATGATGACATCGCCGAGCATAATCTCCACACCATTTGGCCCGTGAGGAACGCCCCCGCAGATCCCAACCAGCAGTACAAGCTTCAGTTCTGTAAAGCTCGACAGAAAGCTTGATGCGGCGTTGGCTGCATTGACCTTCCCCATCCCTGGTATGTGTGCCAGTACGGCCTCATGACGTCCGATGCGGCCTTTGGTGTACGAATTCGTGTCCCTGGTGGCTCGCCCATCTTCACCAGCACTGGCGTTCTCCGTTTCATCGTCGTAGATCTCATCAAAGATCCCTCGAGCTGCTTGAGCCTCCAGGGCCAAGGCAGCTAGAATCCCCACCTCAAAGTCCGAGCGACGAGGGTTTGACTTGGAGGGCATGACAGTGGCAGAGAAATACCAGCACAGGACTCAAAGACAGATGAAGAAGTCCCAATCCCATGGGCTCAGGACCAGGATCCGCTAGTTCATGACTGCCCGAGTCCTAGGGTCTTATGATAGTGCTTGATCTGCGAAGCGGGGAAGGTAGGGTGCCTGAATATCAATCATTGGGACCTCGTAAAATCCTCATTGACCAGGGTATAACAAACTCTCGTGGCCAGTCATCCCGCGACTCTTGCCCTCCTTCATGCCCAAACACAACGCCACATGCGTGATTTGGGCCAAGTTTGGATTGGGATGGTCCCAGAGTCGCTAGTGCATGCTCTCTGGATTTTTGAATGTATCATGTGGCTTGGTGATGGTCCTCTGATTGGGCTTATAGTGGCTGATATGGTTTACAAACATGTTACTGTCACAGCCTGTACACTCTTCTGTAGCATACTACCATGCCCACCCACCTTACTTGATTAGTGCGTCGTGCATATCATCACACTGTGTGTGTGTGTCTATTTTCCCTTCTTCTCTTTCTCCCCCTATGTTTGATATTCTAGTTAGATTGCCCAGATAGCTATGCGAGCACATTTCCACATATTCTAGTATTGGATCATGACAGTCATTATGTATGAGCTGACATCAATACAGCTTAATAAATGCAGCTTGATGATCATAATTTCCGGTCGCCAATCACTGTAGTGTTTGAAGGGTGAATTGGGTTGCAGTTGCCATAGTGGGAGATCTCGAATCAAAGGATCCAATCATGGAGTATCTGATTGGGTGCTCCATATTAAAGGTTCACAGACCTAGATACGGGACTTCGTATCAACGCATGTGTTGTGAGGAGTTTGCATTTTATCCATGCAAACTATAGCCTATCCCGTTTGTTTTTCATACATATATGCCACAAGGCTGAGGGAAACCAAGTCCCAATTGGGGACTATCTGCTCAATGATAGGGTATGCTGGCCAATCTCAAATCGTGCGAGTCAGCATCCAGTCCTCTGGGGTTAAGGAGGTATTATACATACTTGGTCAAAGTTTCACAATGCGAGGCGTGCAGCACAACTACCAATGAAAGCTTGTACTTAATACGCATTAGTAGTCTACTTAGGTCCAGCCTTGCTCTAGATCACTGCCATTGTCTAATGGAAAGTTATATTGCTTTTTCTATATACAACCAATCAATGCAATGTGGTGTAACCCATTGATCATGCGTGCTACCCTTCCACAGGTTGAACAGGAGGCGGTCTGCTGTGCCTCGAGCATGGTGCTCTATGGACAATAGCCAGTTATATTGGAAGAAATAAGAGAACAGATTGAAGCCAACCCCTCCTCACTTTCCTACTGCTTACCTAGTTTCATAAGGCCCTCGATGACCATCCCCTGAAGTCCCTGTTGCATTTGATCAGCCAGTACTGCTCCGACCAAAAAATTCACTCCTGAAATATTCGGTACGTGGAAGCTATTTAATTATGCCTCAGCCAAGCGAATCAAGCTCTTCTGACATTCCGCAGATGTGATATAACATCCTTCTTACCTGATGAACGTTGTCCACACTGCACAAGCTTCACCAGTTTACTGACCATGCCCAACGCTTCAATATCATTAAAACCCAAGGCTTCGACCGTCCCAGAGCCTTCTCCAGATGTCACTGAGTACCATGTCGGCTGGATCTGTAGCTCGACAAAGGAGTTTCTTGCGGCCTTGAAGATAGTGGATGAGAGTCGTGATGATAAACAAAGGCCAGGTTATAAGCTAGTGCGCATCCAAGAGCACAACGTTGTGATCAATAAGCCTTATTCGGATTCAACATTGGATTTCCGAGCTCGTGCAGTGGCTACGGATATGAAAAAAAGCTTTCCCTGGATCCGGTTCGTCTTAGCCGTGGGTATTGCTAGCAGTACACCCAAAAGCAAAGAGAAAGTCCAGCTGGGGGATGTTGTGGTCGGGACGAACATCGCGTCTTACGGAGGCGACAGCGCCTCGACGACTGCTCCTGATCGGAGACAGAGCCCAACCAAAACGTTACTGCTGGCCGGGATAGCGGAGATGAAAATCAGGATAGAGCAAGCTAGGATAGAGCAAGGGCTGGACATCCGGGACTTCATTGAAGAGATCATCCGAAACACAAAAGTCACCGTCGGCTGCTCTCGACGGCCAGAGAATCCTGACCTTTCCCAGGGCCATAGAAGGTTCGACTCGCGCCCGAATCACATTCACACATCAACTCAACCGGTCAGGATCCACTATGGCCCAGTCGCACCCGTCCAGAGCGTCACGGAAACCACACAAATGGGAAGCCAGATCACCGTGGAGAACAGTGTTCTCCGTTTTGATATGGGATCTGCAGATTTACTGGCAGCAGGCATTGATTGTCTTTCATTCTGTGGCATTAGTGACTATGCGCAATCGCAGGAGGGCGATGCCCAGCACGATTACGCTGCTCTTGCTGCTGCGGTGTGCGCAAGAGAATTCTTGACCTGTATCCATTGCGAGACAGTGGTCCAAATCAAAGTCACAGTGTCTCAGAAGCAGATGGAAGATATAATGGACGGCGTGGTGAAACGGCTGCAGAGGGTCACGGGGGGCAACAAGGTGAAGGAAACAACCGCCGCGGTCGAAGACGCTCATAGGAAAATCGACTTGCTCTACGAATTCGTGGAAGACCTGCCTGAAATGGCAAAAAAGCGGGTTGAGGACGTGCAAAATTGCCTGCAGTACATGAAAGACGTCGAGGCAAGATTGGACGGCACTCTCAAGGAACTGAGCAGTAGGATTAGTCGCCAAGAGGAGCTGGCGCCGGACTATGCGACGAAGGAGGAACTGAGAGGACTGAGGCAAATGGTCGACACCAATCGCTCGAGGCTTGAGCGTTTATCCAAGAAGGCAGAGAATATTCTCGGCATGAGCAGCGACATCCTTGGGGATGTTGCCCAAACGACCGGCATTGCGAACGTGGAAGAAGCTGCGAAATGGACAGCATTTGCACAGCGGCAAACCAGTATGCTCCCGAAACTCGCTGACTTTAAGCCCAGTGGTCTATGGAGACCTAGCAAAGGAAATGCACGGCAATCTTCCACGGCAAATGACTCTGGTCCAATGAGTCCTCAGGCTGGGCCACCAACTCAACTAGACCCAACCCCAGAGAACAAAGACCGGTTGTTCAGAAAACCCAAGGAACTCTTGACCGGAATTTATCGCCGTAGTCCCACTTGTGGGTCTGCCACAAGCCAAGACCAAGACAATGCGACTACTGACCTGTCTGACTTGCCGGGAGGAAGTAATCAAAGTCAGAATCAGTCCGAGACCAGGAGGCCAACTCCCGCGCCAGTTCAAACAAACCACGTCGGCGACGGTGCTTCTGAAAGAAGCCTCTCATCAATTGTATCACCCTCTCATTCTGGACACAGTAGCATTTTCAGTAATGCAGCTACAGTCGGCTCGCGAGAAACTATGTCCACTTCGCCCGATGTGCCGCCGCTGCCGCGTGTCTTGCTTTCATCTCCCAGTCAAGCTTTCAATGATCAACCTAGTCCGTCACCAAGTCGTGACTCGCCTGACAGTGGGGTGGATACGAGGAGTAATGGAGACGTCAAATCGATCGCAGCCAAATTCGAGGCTTCGATGGGTAAACTTCCACTCCATCGGCCGAAGAGACATGATTGACTGTGCCGAACCTTTATGGTTTATTGACGTATGGGTATTCCTGTGTTATACTACTCTGGATGAAATTTTTATACACATAATTCCGTTCATTTGTTTCAGTGAGTCATTGGCACATATCGATCTGACAGGTCAGAAATTAATTGCTGTATTCCCACAACTCTCACTTTCTCCTTTGGGCATATATATGCTCATGACGGGTCAAACTCGCCTACAACAAAGCATAATCCCAAGATTCGTAGCTTTCACTGTGCAATAAAAGTTTTACTCCTGTTAAGCTCAATTCCTGTGAGGCTTATCTTACCCCGCGCGGAGCATCCCCTGCAGGAGCAGATTGTCGTCTTCTCGGGGAAGTTGGACGGCATTCGTTGAATCACAATTCATATTATATCAAAACAGACTTCTTGTCCGAAGCAATAGCTGACGTCAATCAAATTAGAATTTGTATTATCCAGCCCCCAAAAAGATAACGGATAAGGAGCTCGAGAACACCTTAGCACCCTGAGCAGCCGAGGGCCAGGACCTAGCAGAGGTCAACAACCTGAAGTGGGATGGCTAAACGGGGGAAGCTGGGCTGCGTCGGGATCCCGTACAGCCACGCTCATCTAGAACATGAGTGCTTTTGGAAAATGCCCTGCGGCAAGAGGATGTTCCCAAACAGGAATGCCGATTTTGATAATTTGACATATTTTAAGATCTCGCAATTGTAATATGTTGACTTGGGAAGCAACGAAAGGGGATCTGTGATTTAGTGGAATGGGGCTGGTGCCACTGTGTTTAGTGAAATACCCCCACCACTTTCCTATTAGAATATTATTTGAAACAGCCCTGTATATGGATTTTCCCTTTAGACAGCGCCCTTATGTGGTAGCCAACCACCAAACCACCCCTTCAAATCACAACCCATTTTCTACTTTGGTGTCAAACCCTTCCACCCAAAACAACAATGGTAACAAGGTTCACAATAGGGCAGAAGGGTTAGACATGGACATCCTGGAGGCTCGCAACCAGACTGTAGATGCCAACTCACGCCACTCTGGTCAAAATGGATGATCTTGCCTATTTTCTCGAAACTTAACCGAAGCTTCAAGTTAGCCTGGATCTAGTAGAACGTTCTTTGTGAAAAGAGCAAATCAATCCAGGTGGAGGTGGGTGAGTGATGAAGTAGCTAACCTGATGACAGGATTTTTTCTGTATCAATATAGAGGCTGAGAAACTTCGGGTCGTCGTCAAGATAAGATTCACCCTGCGGATTTCCCGCTAGAGCCAGCCTCTGGAGCCCACGGAAGGGCTGGCCACACCACAGAGCAGAGCCTTGTTCGTCAGTCCCTTGGAAAAATGGGCTGAAGGTGTTCCTCCTGCCATGAGTGGTATGATACTTCACCATGCAAAATCCATTACAGACAGCATTCGGAATATGCAGAACATTTTCTAACACAAGACTCCGACTAGGAGATCCTTTCTTCGGGCTTGTGCGCACGTTCAATTCCACAGTCCCCATTCCAGCGATATAGGTTTCCCCTCCCATGATATTTGAAACTGTTTGTCCCACCTGACTGTATTCCTTAAAGGACGAGCGATTTTTAGCATAGTGACAAGTGCCCGACACGATCATCCAGTCCCAGCAGCGACGGCGTGGTGGGTTTTCTCGCTTTTTCCTCTTCCGGTACTCTTTTGATTGCTTCCAATATTCCCCGATCTCCCCCATAATGATTTCTGCAGATATAGATGACAGTGGACTCCCTGGGTAAGATCACAATATCAGACATTATCTTCGATTACTGCGGTGGTAGAGTCGAAATTACCTAATGTTAAGATGAACCAAAGTTAATAACTAGATGTTGGATCTCAGGACTTTTAGATGTGGTGGCTGGTGAGTAAGAAGGACAGAAGTGGATGCCCAACGACGTGAGTGAGGGGTTTACTGATACCCTGATATGAAGGCTTGATAATAAGCTGCGGACTATCGTTGCCTGATCTGCTTGTCCTAAACTGCTGCCAGTAAATGATGTGCTGTTAACTTCCTAATGGGAGTTAGATTTAGTTGGATATGGTAAGCTCTCTTATATCCATGTAAGAACAGATGGAGAAACCAGTTGGCTGCCTGGTGGCCTGGCTGGCTTACGGTTTGCCCCCACAGTGCATGATTGTTCGATATGGACTCAAATGAGGTCTTGTCATTTGAAATCTGTCGAGCAGCGTACAAGACCTCATCCCTTGAATTGCCGATGTCCATGTCAGCTATCTGACTCGGAGTTGGATAGTAGGAGTCCTAGATAAATCAGCTATTGGAGAGGACATGTATCTAGGGAGTATACCAATTGTGACCCAACAAATGCCCAAAATCCAGAGGAATCGGCTGAAAAGATATACACTCGGCCAGTCTCTCTGATGTGTATGCCTAAACAGACATTGGCGCCGCACATCCTGCTGTACTCAGAGGATTTCTTCATCAGACTGGTTCTGCGACGGTCTCGCTTCTGGCGAATTAACTTTCTGCTTGAATTCAAGTGCTTTGGCAGTTTTGGATTTGGTGTGCCCATTTTCATCTGCAGTGTGGTTACTAGTATGTGCTGAATTTCATGATATTTGGACCCTCTTAGGCCAAATTAAAGGTCTGATAGGGTGATATCAGAATTTACATTAGAAAAGAACTGAGAAATTCTACATATGTGCAAAAGACTAAAGTTCCAGGTCCATGGTTCTCCATATTAAGGCCACACTTTCAGAAATAGAGCCTGCAATCACAGCTTATTCCTACTTCTACCACCAAACAACAAGAATATTTAAAATATTGTCTTGACATGAGAGGAAAAGAAGTAAAAAATTTATTTTGGCCGTTTTGTAGATTCAGTCTGCTAGTATGGCGGACTAAATATACAAAGTGGCTAAAATGAACAGAACTAACACAGTTTTAGTGGGGCAGCTACAGCACAGGAGATGTCATAATTATGAAGGATCACTGATCACCTTCCAGCCGACAGTATAGCAATATTATCATGGTGATGTGTAGTTCCATGAATATATAGGTAGATCCGCGAGGATCCAGGACTGAGGATGAACACATACACAGAATGGATAAAATCAAGGCGCGAAGCAGTGACACAGGCAAGAACAAGAAAGTAAAGAAGTCAAAATTCAATCAACTCAAATCACATTTGTAAGATATGTTAAGCATAAGCGTCCGAACCACAGCCTTCCCCAATATGCCTGCGCAGCCTGCTTATGTCTGCAGCGCTCGAGGCCACTTAACACGCAGATAACAGTGCTTCTGCTGGTCCTACCGGGCACCTCCACTCCTCGCAACCGGCTGTAAGTTTTCGCTTGATAATGGGCTGTCGTTTCATCGGGATACATGGTATAATTCTCGACATCAACACCGACAAGACGCGCCTAGGTACCCCAGTCGTGATGGGAGCAGATATAACAGTCAGTACGGGCGGCATGTAGATGATTCCAGCCTCTACTGCCGAATTCAAATCAGGCGATATAAATGCAATGCAGTCAATGTTTGAGATTTGCGCACTTTTACAACCATCCACTACTAGGGTCGACATGTCATCTTCTACAGGGCTGGGTCATCAGCAGAAAATATGTCTGTGCCATTCAGAAGTAGCTTAAAAACATACATAGGCAATTTTGGAGACGGTACTTAAATAAAACACATGCACTAGGATATTCACTGGTCATGTCTCATAAAAAGAATTATCGACACAATCACAAACGAGCAGGGATACTCTGCTTGCCCTTCAGATCGAACCGATCCAGGTTCATGACCTTGTTCCACGCCGCCACAAAGTCCTTGACGAACTTCATGTCACCATCCACACTGGCATACACCTCCGAAATAGCACGCAGCTCAGCATGCGAGCCGAAGACCAGGTCCGCGCGAGTCGCCGTCCACTTCTTCCCACCGGTCTTGCGATCGCTTCCCTCGAACAGTTCGCCATTGCCGGCATCCTTCCACGCGGTCTTCATGTCCAGCAGGTTAACGAAGAAGTCGTTCGACAGAGCCCCAGGACGGGAGGTGAAGACGCCGTGCGCCGAGCCATCGTAGTTGGTGTTGAGCACACGCAGACCACCAACCAGGACGGTCATCTCGGGAGCAGACAGGTTAAGCAGCTGCGCCTTGTCGACGAGGTAGTGCTCCGCACGCGGGCGGGCCGCGGCCTTGGCGAAGTTGCGGAAGCCATCGGCGAACGGCTCCATGTGGCCGAAGGACTGGACATCTGTTTCCTCCTGGGAGGCGTCCATGCGGCCGGGGGTGAAAGGCACCTTGATCGGGTGGCCGGCGTCCTGGGCGGCCTTCTCGACAGCGGCGCAGCCAGCCAGGACGATGAGATCGGCCAGGGAGACCTTCTTGCGGTCGGCGCGGGAGTTGAAGCGCGACTGGATGGTCTCCAGGGCGGAGAGGGACTCGCGCAGCCAGGGCTGGTTGTTGACCTCCCAGTCGCGCTGCGGCGTGAGACGGATGCGCGCGCCGTTTGCGCCGCCGCGCTTGTCGCTGCCGCGGAAGGTGGAGGCGGCGGCCCAGGCGGTTGAGATGAAGCTAGCCGGGGCGACGCCGGAGGCGAGGATCTCGTCCTTGAGCGCGGCGATGTCCGCGGCTTCGATGAGCGGGTGGTTGACGGCGGGGATGGGGTCCTGCCAGATCAGCACCTCGCCGGGGACCTCGGGGCCGAGGTAGCGGGCGCGTGGGCCCATGTCACGGTGGGTGAGCTTGAACCAGGCGCGGGCGAAGGCGTCGGCGAACTGGTCGGGGTGCTCGAGGAAGCGGCGCGCGATCTTCTCGTAGGCTGGGTCGAAGCGGAGCGACAAGTCGGTGGTGAGCATGGTGGGCTTGCGCTTCTTGGAGGGATCGTAGGCGTCTGGAATGATCTCGTCTGCGTTCTTGGCCACCCACTGGTGGGCGCCAGCGGGACTCTTGGTGAGCTCCCACTCGAACTTGAACAGGTACTCGAGGAAGTTGTTGTTCCACTGGGTCGGGGTCTTGGTCCAGGTCACTTCGAGTCCGCTCGTGATGGTGTCGGGACCCTTGCCGGAGCCGTGCTTGTTCGACCAGCCAAGTCCCTGGGCTTCCAGGCCGGCGGCTTCGGGCTCTTTGCCGACGTTGTCTGCGGGGGCGGCACCGTGGGTCTTGCCAAAGGTGTGGCCACCAGCGATGAGGGCGACCGTCTCCTCGTCGTTCATGGCCATGCGGCCAAAGGTGTCGCGGATGTCGTGGGCGGCCGCGACGGGATCGGGGTTACCGTCGGGTCCCTCGGGGTTGACATAGATCAGACCCATGTGCGCGGCGGCCAGAGGGGTCTCGAGCTCACGCGAGTGGGTGGTCTTGTGCGAGGCCTCGTCGGCGATGACGGTGCCCCGCTTGTCGGATCCAGGGAATCCCTTCGAGTACCGCGCGTCGTTGCCCAGCCAGGTGGTCTCTCGTCCCCAGTAGGCCGCCTCATCCGCCTCCCAGGTGTCTGGACGACCTCCGGCGAAACCAAAGGTCTTGAATCCCATGGACTCCAGGGCGACGTTACCGGTGAGGATCAACAGATCGGCCCAGGAGATCTTGTTGCCGTACTTTTGCTTGATGGGCCAGAGCAGGCGGCGAGCCTTGTCCAGACTGACATTGTCAGGCCAGCTATTCAGGGGGGCAAACCGCTGCTGGCCCTGACCGGCACCTCCACGGCCGTCAAACACACGGTAGGTCCCGGCGCCGTGCCAGGCCATCCGGATGAAGAGACCACCATAGTGACCGAAATCGGCAGGCCACCAGTCCTGCGAGTCGGTCATCAGGGCACGGAGGTCCTTCTTCACGGCCTCATAGTCGAGGCTGTTGAAGGCGGCAGCATAGTCGAAGTCGGCGTCCAGCGGGTTGGAGACGGAGGTGTGCTGGCGCAGGATGTTGAGCTTCAGCTGGTCGGGCCACCAGTCCTTGTTGCGGGTGCCACCACCGGCGAAATTGGACTCTGAGTGCTGGTCCTTAAAGGGGCACTTGCTTTCTGTCATGATGTATTTGTCTCGCTGTTCTTCAGGGGTATATTGATGGTCAAGGAGGAGAAGAGATGCTGAGGGGTAGATGTGAACCTTATAAGCTGAGCTGTCCTCATCTAGGCCAGGTCTCATTAATAACTCGCCCAATAATGCAGATAGTAATAATCATTCGATACCTAGCAACCGAGGGTGTACACCTCATCGATCGAGATCAGCAGGTCCTTCCCCGCATTTCTCAGATTTTCTCAGTGAATGTTCTGGCTGGACCTTCTTACTCAGCGTGAACCAGCCTATGATATCATTTACAAGGATGCCCCACTCTGGTCCAGCCTATCAGAATGACTAATTGGTAATCCTGCTGACTGTACGTCGGAACTTCCTTAGTATTCTCGGAAAACCCCGCCCCTTTCCGACCATGCCTCGCCGCCCGCCGTTCTCCGTGCATCAATCAATCAAGAGCAATCATTTCTGACAATAATAATAACTATGTGAGCGATGTGAGAGTGAAAGATAGGAGGATATCCTTTATAAGTGTTTCAGTATGACCGTGGGTAGAACTTGCTGTACACTGACAATATTCTACTACTGTTGTCTGCATACACCATTCAAAGTATCTCCCCATATTTACCCCTCACAGCCTGACTTGCTGCTAGGGTGAGTCTGCAGACTAATCAAAAGCACCATGCGCCGGATTCACATTCCTATTCGGGAGAAACGCTCATAACAGCTCCGTTCCAGAACTGCCCTTAGAGACTTGGTATAACAGATGATTGACAAACTTTATGGAAAAACAGTATTCCTCTATGCAAACATTAGATATGCCCCTGCTTGTCTCTAACATCCATTGTATGGCGACCTATGTCTTCATCAAGGACTGATGGCAGTTACCAGTTGCTTCAGGGAAACGGACAAGTAATCACTTTCTTCCCTGGAGGGCTGAAGGCCACTTGTGTCTTTACAGAAGAAAGCATGGGTTATATCCCTCATTGTAGACCAAGTAGCGATTCCTCGTCGGGCAGGTCCACGCCTCGACTTCGACTTCCGAGATTGCACTTTTAGTTTTCTGTAGTGAAACGTACATGAACAACGGTATTTCAAGACAAATAGTCCATAATATCCTCCGTCGCGAGATGTGATTCCCTGCAGACGACGATTGAGGTTGTGCAATTAATGATGTTGATATATACAGAGATATAACTTTATAACATGCCAGGAGAGCCCTGAAGAGTCTTTATTAAGTTGAGCAGTATATAACTATATTAATCATCACGTCTGTATCAAGGTTGAAGGAAATCCCATCAATATCACCCTCTTTTCTGTTCTGCTTCCATTTCGCCATTTTCAGCATGTCATGGAAGACCGTTGTCCACTAGGGAGACATGATTCCCGGAAATGCAATCCAGAGGGCTGGTTCTCTTCCTAAACTAAACAGCTTCTATTCTGTTTCTCCAGTAGAAGGAAAAATATATAAAACATCAAATATAATATTTGCCTATTATCAGTAACAACTGTGATTACTTCACCATTCCCATCCCTATACCTGTACAGCTACGAAATCAACACTATATACCTATATAGCCCAGTAGTAGCACGGAAGCTCAGGGTCCGTCAGGTCAAACACCACGCTCAAATACGGCTTACCTCCACCGCGATCCCAATCTCCTTGCTAAAGTTAATACTCCTGTTGGAGCTCAGACTCCCATCCTCATTCGGATCGACGTACAACGCCTTGAAATCGGCCGGCGTGTTGATCAGCCCGATCTCACCCGTCTGCACAAAGTAATCCGTCACGAGGAGATGCTTCTGGTCGGGGGTTACTTTGACGTAATGCGGACCGACGGTGGGCTGGCGCTCGTCCGGGTCATCCAGGTGCTCTGGGAATAAGAGGAGGCAGTGAAAAGTTTCGTCCTGTACACGGCAGCGCGACGAGAAATACCAGATAGCTGACCATCTCGAATCGAACTCCAGTTGAAAGCGTTGTCGACAAGACTCTCTGGGGGAGATTCGAGTCTATCACAGGAACTATGCGAGGTCCAAGTTTGTCTGCAGAATGCAAGTGATGATGATCTTCCGCCAATATTGAATCGTCATATATAGGCGAGATGTTGCCATTGACTTAGGGATGCGGTATGTGTATGGCTTTCCCAATGAGTATAAATACTGATAGTCAACTCGTGCTCCACCATGAACCTAGTTCTCTCATCCTTGTCGACATTCAAGATGAAGGTTGGAAATTTGGTTATAATTTTTTTCCTCCCGGTTGTCCTCGCCTCTCCAGCCCTCAGACATCGCTCCGGCTTCAGCGATGGCCAGCCCTTCAACGATGCAGACAAAGGACCACCACTCTCGGGTAGGTCCTATGTCCTGTCTTAGTCCCGCTAATCAGGACGCAGCCGGAACAGACAAAGCCGATAGTCTCGGTCAACAAAGCACTGATAAGGCTTCGCGCCTAATCTGAAATCGAGCTTCTCCAATTCTAAGACGAGATTGTTTCCTGGAGGCTGGGTTCGAGAGCAATTGATACAGGACTTGCCCCAGAGTCATGATATGTCTGGAACACAGTAGCATTCGAAGAAGGAGGCTATTCCGGAGTTGCATTGTCATGGAGTCACGCTCGCCGGTTGTACTTGTCTAATGCATGGCTGACAGGTGATATTCAAAGGCGGAATGGGGACTCGTCTATACCGGGCCTCTGCTTCTATCCGCAGTCGACGATGACGGCCGCTACATAACCGAAAAGCTCGACACGGGCGATATCTGGTATTTCCCAAGGGTGTGGCTCATAACGTGCAAGGACTGGATGACAAAAACCAGTACCTTCTTATCTTCGACGATGGTAAATTCGAGAAGGTCGGGCGCGTTTTCTATACCTCATCCATCGGAATAATGCCGAAGCTAACCTACCTAGAACGACATGGATCGCACATACCTTTAAGGACATCCTCGCCAAGAACTTCAGCGTCGACGCCTCTGCCTTCGACAAGGTCCCTCAGTCCCGTACATCCTCATTGGCACCATGAGCTCGGAGACAAGCATGTTCGATTTCACTGCGGGTGACACGGCAGTGTTTCCGGATAACAGCGGCAAGTTGCATGACGCGCTGATTGGGCTGATATCGTCTGGTAGCTGGTAGGACATTATATTGAGAATACCTCCGATACGGAGAAACTGGTCTGGATCGAGATCTACAAAAGTGATCGGGCGGTGGATATCTCGTTGGCACATTTCTTGGCGCTCACGCCGGCATATGTCGTCGCGACAACCCTCAAAGTCGACAATGAGGTCTTCAAGCAGATCAAGAGGGAGAAACAGTTGCTAGTGAGGGTAAACGGCCCTCCATGGTACTGGATACAAGGACGGTTAATGATAATCTAGTTCCGCGGGTGATGCAACCACTGCCGACCACTTGGGTTCGCAGGTAGTAGATACCGCAGTACCGTGGGCAACAGCTGTGAGACATGTCGAATGAAAACCTTCTTCAAAGGCTGTCGGAGCTCGGCACAAGAGACGAAGTATCTGATGACCATGATGATCAAGAAGAATCTTCTAGTGCGTCTTCGAACGGTTTAATCGACCCACCAATTTAGGGTGCGTCGGGATCGACCTACCCACCTCGGTATTCACTGCATCGACTCATGGCGAGAAATATACAGACTGAATATGATATCAGACTTAGGAAACCTGTGGATTAATGATTGCAACATTACAAGAAGTGCAATATCCTACTGCCCTGGAAGAACCGAAATGATAGAGATATCGTGGATAGAATGGCCCCGCGCAAACAAGAAGCGTGGACCCAACGTAAAACTGACGATAGAACCGACAAGCAGGAGATAGTTTCCTCACAGCACTGATTGATTTCCACCACATTATTGGCGATTGCCGACAATCTCTTGAATAATCAAAAAAATCCGAACTGCCGGCCAGCGGAAACCACGGGAGCTTACATCAACCCACCGGTCTCTCGGTCTTCTCTCTGGATGGCGTCAGTGCTCCACCCGCCGCCCACCTTTCTGGGTGGTTTGACAGCTGCTGGCGAACAGGACCTTTGTTACGATCCGGGTCGAAGCTTCTGATCGACCGCTGCCGATTTGTTGCTGGGATGATTGCATGGTGCGATGGCATTGGTGTCCATCGAGAATTTTCATCAGCTGATGCCAGTATGACATAATGGCTTCATGCCTTTTCCCATGCTGCCCGTTGGACATCGGCATCATATATGAAGGGCTGAGAAGACGGCCGAACTGAGTCTTCCTCAATCACGAGCTCAGAAGTAACAAAGCAGTACCCGTCGCAGGAAGCTTCAGCAACCAGTCAAGCCGTCTCAGATCGCAACCACAATTGAGGAGTTGGATATCGCCATCACACGTTAAGCATCATGGTGTCGACAACAGCCACTCGTCCTGTCACTCTACTGGTGCGCTTCATGCAATGGTCTAGCGCGGTCATTGTCATGGGCATTACCTCCTACTTCATCCACAATTTTCCCAAGGGACAACACACCATCTACTGGGAAGTTATCGTACGTTGACCCGTCTCAAATAACATCCTGCATATGCTAACTCGCATAGTCGACGATGTCCGTTGCCTTCTTCCTGCCCGCCTTCGTTTCCCCCTTCATGCCGAATCGCCTGAGCATGATCGTCTTGCCTATTGACATCATTTTCTCCTATCTGTAAGTGAATGCGCACTCTGGACCCTCTTCTTAACATACTAACTTGCTTAGGTGGTTGACCGCGTTCATCTTCGCTGCGCAAGATTACAACTGGCACAACTGCGCCGTCAATGCTCCCCCCGGCGCTAACTGCTCAATCAAGAAGGCGAATGAGTCGTTCATTTTCCTCACCTTGTAAGTGATCCTGTCACTGATGAGCCATACAGTAGCTAATCGACGATCAGTATCTTCACCTTCTTCGCTATTGGTCTCGAAGTGATGAACCTCTGGGCCGCGCGTAGGGAGACTACCCCCCACCACGAGAAGCATCCTGACGGTCAGCGTGCTCCTCTCGATGCTCCTGCTGCCGCCAACCCATAAGCACTCTTAGTGCTATGGAAATCCGGCGACCCTGTTGCCGAGCACCTATCTGCTATGAGTGCCGCAGACCTATGGAAGGACGAACTCATAGGCAAGGCTATTACTGGTTGGTCATTAATTCAAGGGACGCACATCCCCTGTTCGATATTATAATGTCACGGCTTGATGTCCAGCGTGATCCCTCTTAATTGCTAATATCCACGACTCGGTCACGATTTTGTTATGCATAATGATCTGTGTTATGTCGCTCGTTATATGTTTTGAATAGTTTCAGTTTACTACCCAAATGATGTTTTAGTTTCAGTAATATATACTAAATAGTCTACTCTACACGTACCCTACATTTAACACATAAGATAAAGTTCGACCAGCGTTTATCGAGAAATTCCTGGTCTAAGCTCGTTTATTCCGAGAGGATCAGCAGTATGAACTGTGACCATCGTGATACACCTCGAGACCTTACAGCAGAAGCCATCGTCGAAAGCTCTCCAGACCTCAACTAAATATGCAGTAACTTCAATTAATTGGTTCCGACACAACGGCAAGTCTCTGTGAAGTATGATACGGACACAAGAAACTGAGTATATTGGGGTAAACATGCGATATAGCTTGCCTCATGCACGTCCTTGGGTGCAATGTCTGTACAACGTCCTCCAGGTACTTTTTGTCTGAAAGAAGGTCAGACACTTCTCTACATCAAGCAGCCTGATAGCCAGGTCAGATTGTCCTTGTTTGTTTTCACATTACTGAGTTGATAACATGTGGGATCCGTGTTGATGGCAACTTCCACGATCAGGCTCAACATTTGGAGATGATGTCACCGCGCGGTCATGGTTGCTGTGGGACAGAGAGGGTACCCTCATCCCCCCACAACATCATTCTGCTTCTTTTTCCTCGTTCGATCTCAGTCAATTCATTCAAGCTAATCCTTAGACTAGAACGACACTCTATTCCAATCGATGAACTGATCATACGAGTATTCGCCGCAACCACAACACGATCCACGGAGCATCAGCGGTTCACCCTCCCGCCGAGATGACTTCGGCATACAGCAAGATCGAAGAGCTGGCCACAGCATCCATTGCCCTGGTTCTGACGGCCTGGGGCTACCTCAGTGCCTTCCTACTATCCTTCACAATCAACCGCGCCCTCTTGGCCTATGCCCTGCTTCCGCTCTACCTCCTGAGGCTCACATACAGCGTCTTGCCAACGATTCTGCGGAATGCACCGCGGCTACTCTTGCCAAACGGATGGAGCAGCCTTATCAAGGATGCGGAGCAATACCGGCAGCAGACAGAAAAGCTAGCTCAATCGCAGCTTGAGGGAAAGTACGAGTTCAAAGAGGATGAGATCATCCGGGCCGACCAAAAGGACAAAGGATGGATGGCTGATATGCCATGGAGGGACAATGTAGAGGAGTTTCAGGTGTGCGGCGCAACGGCCCGATATGTTCATCTGAAGCCGAGTTATCGCAGCATCGCAACAAATAACAAGACTTCCCATCGGCCAATCGTCTTTCTGCATGGTAATCCAAGTTGGAGCTATATGTGGAGAAATGTAAGTTCATGTCCATGTTCCCACTGGTACTATCGTGCCCAGCTGACCGATGCCACAGGTATTTCCTGCGCTGCTGGAACGAGGCCATGAGGTGTATGCGCTGGATTGGCTTGGACATGGTCGCAGCGACAAGCTCACCCGTCCAGAAGCCATCACCTTTGAGCTACACATGCGCACCTTGATGCAATTCTTCGAATCTACCGGTCTTGAGAATGCTACTCTCGTGGCACATGACTGGGGAGGGTGAGTCTGCCATCCATTATCCTACTTTTCCGTTCGCTGACCCGTCCAGTTGTGTCGCCTTGTGCACGCTACCTCGCCTCCCGACATCAATCTGCACCAGTCTATTCCTATTAAACTCTTTCCTCCCTCCCCGTCTCAGCGACATAAGTCTGCATTATATCCTCCTATACGCAATTTGGTTCATGACCACCGGGATCCTGGGCGGGTGTACCCCCGAATCTGCAGTCATGCGCTTCATGTCTCCAGGTATCTCACAGCAAGACGTCACCGGCTACGCCGCGCCTTACAGGAATCTCCCGGTGAAAGCCAAGTCCAGCGTCTACCGCTTCGCGCATATGGTCCCCGCCACACCCCGCGCGGTTCTGACAAGTTTGCGATACACATGGCTGTGGAAACTAGTCGAGGGCCTCGCCGGACCGTCCAACTTCGACAACCTCACTGCTCAGGCTCGACTTCGCGGTCGCGACGATGAGATCCGGAGTTTCTGGAAATCCAGCGAGAGAGCGCGCCACTTGCAAGTTGCTGTTGTCTTTGGCAAGAATGACCCGTTGCTGAAAGATTACAAGGATGTTCTCGTGCGTGCTGTTGATTCGCGGGTCATGGTTGACTGGGCTCCTTATGGAATTTGGCTAGAGGGTGCTGGTCATTATCCGGTGGAAGAGAAGCCGAAAGCGGTTGGTGACTTGGTTGCAAGGCTTGCGAGGCATCGTGAGCCTACGGCGATGCGGAAGTGAGAAGGGAGGTAATGATGCGGTTGAATGGGGTTCCTTATGTTGCCATAATTACATGTTTCGGGGTTGATTCTGTGGCTTGTAGGGCCATAGACTGTGAATAGACTCGGACAGTCCAAGATTATGGCGGTCTTTCTTAGGTTCGTTAAAAGACCCTTGTCCATCATTCCCCTGCTACAGATATCGCCAAGGGATCTAGACCAATGAGCAATCGAGAGGATGTCTTCCTCTGGACCAGATGAGTTTTAGTCTATGTCTAGTGCAATGCAAACTCTGTCCCAGTTTGCGGCATTTCTCAGGCATGGGAAGTGATACATCCACCCCACTCAGCCTCTGACGCTATGAGAGGGGAAGAGGCATTCGAAGATGCACAAATCCTAGAGGCATCATTCGCTAGTACATAGAATAGCTTCTGACATGCTTTCACAGACACACTTCATCACAGGAGACTACCAGACACACCAAGTCAGCCGGTGAAAACATCTTTGTTGAAGCAGCCACTCTCACAACCACTTGTACCCAATAAAAATCAAATTGAATGATATCTTATAAATCCTTAGCGTCGCCTATAGTGATGAGAAATCATCCTCGGCATGTGGATGGACGACAATGCCGGCAGTACCCTGGCTCATATCATCTACATACCGCCACCGAGCTGCAGAAAAGAACAAGTGAGGCCTCTCGTTGAAATGGCTCAACTGGGTCAGACTCCAAATGCCAGCACATGATAATTGCCACTGGCCGGCATTTACAGTAAGTTCATGTGTGCAGCGTGCAGGGTTGCTGTGTTGTACCTCGCTAAACTCTTTCAGACCTCAAGTAACAATTGTGATTGGCTGGAGTAGCACACAATCCATGGTTGGGTCTGGACCGCCGTTGGAACAGGGCAGGGACTCGGCTAGCCTGAAAGGGAAAGCTGGCTCTCGGTGGCCAATGAGAAGATGCAAAATGACGTAGCAATCCATGGAACAGCATTGTCATCTGTTGTGTTCCTGAACTCTAATTTCAGAGTTTTCCAGTGTGCCTGGCGGAGGTTTTTTGTTCCCTGTCCCGAGGCCATGGGATGTGTCACTGCTGGGTGTGAGGTGTCTTTGTACCTGCATGAACAGATAAAGAGAGAGGGCACAAAGTATGTGATGTGTTCATTGTTTAACTGGTTAAGAAGGCCTGTAGTTCTCCAGGAGCCATAGCCAGAGTTGCAGACGCGCCTTTTCTTTCTCCATCCTTTCCACATAATCCTTAGCCAGGACACAGAAAAGACAAAGATTGGAATGGCGCCAGTGGGAGGCAAAAGTGAAAACCCTTTCTTCTCCATCGCGACATCCTCATCGTCCAGCCAAGTCCCCATTGCCATCGGACCATTCATGGCGTTTGGCGCCGGCGCTAACTGATCTTTTCTGACTGCATGTGGGGTTTGCAATAGAATTGGGCTGGTCTTTTCAATATGATTCGTGCAATGGTTCAGGCACACCGTTTCTTGGATCTATATCCAATCTCGTGGCATCCAATCAGCTCTTGCCAGACAAAGGGAAGGATTCTGCTTCCACTTCCCTTCATGGCTTAGGCTTTGAGGCGCTCTGATTTTGTGTGCCTAAAAGATTCTCGAACACCTGTGGATGGCCCACTCCCATCACTCACTGAAGATGATAAATTCAGCCATGCCCCCCTGGCTTGTTTCAGTCTTTTTGATTCTTCAGCACTATCAAAGTCATTCATTCCTTTGACTCTTGACTCTTGACTCGAGGTTGATCCTCTACTGTCCTTTACTTCGTCGCTCTCTGTTGATCAGACTATTGTCATTCCTTCCAACCACCATCATCATGCCTTTCTCCAAGATCTTCAGCCTCGCTGCTGCCTTTGCCCTCACTGCTTCGGCCCTCCCTCTTGCTCCCCGCGCCACCAGCGGTGGCGTCCAGATCGTCAACAACCTGAGCGAGACCGTCTATCTCTGGTCCGTTTCCGACTACTCCAGCCCGATGCAGACCATCCCCACCGGCGCCTCCTACACGGAGACCTGGCGCACCAACCCCAACGGCGGCGGCATCTCCATCAAGATGTCCACCACCACCGACCTCGCCTCCGTCCTCCAGTTCGAGTACACCGAGTCCGGCGATGTCCTCTACTGGGATCTCTCCTCCATCAACCTCTCTCCTCAGTCTGCCCTCGTCGCCGCCGGCTTCGGCGTCACCATCGACGATGCCAGCTGCCCGACTGCCGCCTGTGCCCCAGGTGACGCCAGCTGCTCCGAGTCGTACCAGCTGCCTGATGATGTGAACACTCGTGCTTGCACGACTACCGCTGCCTTCACCCTGAACCTGGGTTAAGCGCCGCAGACACACAACTGTGTCTGATTGCCATGAACATCTCGTCGTTCCTCTTCACGCTCGTTTCTACCCCTGGAGGATATGAACGTTGTCCGGAACACATCGAGCAGGCTTTGTTCTCTTACGAGTCACGAGTCATACCGCTCACGATTATGCCAAAGGATTATACCACACCATGATTATAGCAAAACTCCATGTCTATTAAATTGATCAAGGATATATAGATTGCATTGATATATGATACCGATTCTGAGTTCATGCCCCTTTATCAATTAGCCTTCTTTGAGTGTAGTCCAGCTGGTCGAATTCCGAACCATCCCACGTGGTTGTCTTCCGCTTCGGGTGTACCAACGCCTCATAAACTTTACACCCAGCCACGTTTCCCCTTCAAACCTCTCCTTGTATTGCGGTTTAACAAAGCCAGATACGGTTTAATATCCGACTCCATCCGTGTACTGAGTTTGGGTTGCTGGTGGCCTGGTTTATCCCAGTTCTTGAAGTCAGCCATACAACCACCTGGTTCTGTTTGACTGGGATACAAAGGGCCAATCACAATGAGGCAGTGACATGTCCGAAGATTATGTTTGATAGAGCGTGAAAAGATGCCCAGATCTGACCTTCAAGGAGAGCATGGATAGTAGACTTCGTCTCACATATGAGCATCTTGGTCGTGGTAGTATCTCTTTCTCTGATGATCCGGGAGTTATGAATATTTGCCACGCTACGGGTATAAATACTTAATTGATCACTTGAGCAGCATCACATCAACAGATTGATCATGACGTACGTCGGGGACTTAAAGATGAAGGGACCTGGCTCAGATAGTTTATCATAAGTATGCTAGGTGCTCATCCATCCCTTGTGTGATTCATGTGGAGCACTGACACAGGGTTATGTGACTTATTATATGTATATCTCTGCCCGTCCTTGAGCATCCTCTCATGAGTCAGACTTTCACTTCTTAACAGGTACTTCATAAAATTTAATAATAGATTTAGGAGTGTTGTTAGTCTCTCTTAAGCCAGATTTGGTTACTCTTTGCTATAGTGAGTGCCTTATTTTGTAAAAGTTTTCACTGATACACTAATTGTAGATGAATGGTGTATTCCTTCACCCCCTGCACCATCGTCCATAAACCTTGAGCTACTCCATAAATATCTCTCTCTTATGTCCCTTGATTGAGTTCCATTCTTCATAGCTACTGGAGTCAGCTATAATTGCATACATAACCTCTGCTTACTGCTTGGATGCTACAAAGAGTCCATTGAGGCCAACAGGCGCAACAGTTGCAACAGGCGGATCAGCATGGTCTAGTCGTTCGATTGGTCGATCGAAATTTGAAGCGATACACAATCTTGACAACTGCGTCACGTCAGTACAACATGGTCAAGAGTTACCACATTTTGGACCCAGAAGGCGATGTCATCCTCGTCTTTCCTCAACAAGATGCCACAGATCGCGTCGGCAAGTTCATTCTCATTGACCTCACGCGTGAAAACCACCCTTTCGAAGACTCTGCGACTGTCGAAGCAGAAATAGACAGCATTTCTACCACCGTCGAAGGAGAATGGTCAGAGCTAGACGGTGAGAAGGAAGGCGAAGACAATGTTGAGGAAGAGTAGTTCCCTCCTGACGAAATCTTATCAGCTTCTAGCACTCCACTGATTTCCAGATTACGCAGGGAAGCCGCCTCTTTAGAACCTCTGGCTATCTCTCGTCCGCCCAAAAACCGAGAAGTACGCGTGCAGGTTTCCTCAAAACATCTGTCCCTTGCATCTCCTGTTTTCCACCGAATGTTTAGGAGCTGGCGCAAAGAGACCGAAAACGCTCACACTAATAAACGTATCAATATAAACAAAGAGATATGGGATCCTCATGTTGTGTCGATATTGATGAATCTGATTCATGGGCACATGCGGAAAGTTCCAAGACATGTCAGCCTTGAGGAACTGGCAAAGTTTGGAGTCCTCGTTGAATATTTCGAATGCCACGAGATCGCTGAAGTCTTTACGGATATGTGGGTCGATCATCTGAAAGAGGAGATTCCGTTCTCATCACCAGGCGATACCATGCGCTGGATTCGGATATCATGGGTTTTTCGCAAACCGGCCGAATTTCGTGCTGCCACACGTCTCGCAGTGATGGAGACCAAGGGACCACTCGCTGCTCAGACTCTACCAATCCCGAGAAGAATACTTGGTAAGTCCCTCCCTCAGCGAAGGCTTCTCTGTTCTTCTAACACGCTAGTCAGACCAGATCGAGCGGCGTCGTGAATACTTTATCAAGAGGATTTTGGTCCAAATCGACGGCGTCATAGAGTCACTTTGCCTATGGTCTATATGTACCTTCGAATGCATATCGATGCGCTTAGGGGCTCTGACGAAGGAGTTGCATGCAAGAGGTCTCGTCAATCCGCAAGCCACTGCGCCCTTTCATGGCCTGAGCCTTACCTTGCTTCGTCAACATCTTCGTGATATGAGGTATCCTGATTGGTGTGACATGTGCAAACCATTGGCGCCTGACCACCGTTGTCACTCGCATGATTGCTCCATCAAGCCACATATTGAATGTATTTGGAAATCGATGGATGAGATACGTGGATTGGAACTGAAGGACTTTTGAGGTTGTAGAGATCAACGAAAGGTCAAGGTGGTATCTGTGTCATATCAGCCGTGTCAGTCTTTGCGTAGATAGGAAGAACGAGGTAAAGAAACCTTGAAGCTTGACCACAGATTCAGTACATGGAGTTCCCAAGATAGGAGTTTCCTGGCGGGTCAAGCATCGGTATACTCGCCATAAAATCTAAAGTACCGCTCTACCAGATATAAAAGATAGGATGAGGCAAATGAGGCATGTTTCAGCAGAACATGACATAGAATAATGTATTTGCGCGGATTGGCCAGTCAACGACTTACTTTGGTGCGATGACATTCACTGTTCCACAACTCCAAGGTCACCTTGCGTCTTGTCGACAGCCCACAGATTTTATCAACACCTCCCTCTTTTTGGTTTCCTTCTCTACAAATATTCTAGGCATCTTTCTTCCCCTGAACATTACAGACTTGTCTTTTGATGAACAGTGTCTTGCAATCTAGGAGTGTCAACACTCTGCATACTTCATACAAAAGTCCCTGTCATTTGTTCAGGACACCATCAGATCCTTATTACATAGAACATCCTTGCTTGTTACGCGCCGTCACTATGGACAATGACCCCTACACACTTGACCCAGACGGGGATGTGATACTCTTGTTTCCCAAGGTCAATAAAGACTCTTCTCCTAGTCAGAGCGCTGAAACCAGCGACCAGGTTATCCCTTTAGCGAGTCCGACAACATCCCTTACGATCGACGCATCTGCCCCGGCACCAGACGCGCACACTGTTCATACCGAAGGCTCCAATATACCCATTTCGGTCCCAGTAACTTCTGCAAATCAAAACCAGTCAATTTGTGAGGTCAATGACGCGAGTGAGGGGGGAAATACAGAGAGTCATCCTGTCCGCATGCGCGTTTCTTCGAGACATTTGGCCCTGGCTTCTCCCGTGTTCAAGCGCATGTTCAGCGGCGACTGGAACGAGGCACACGAGATCCGCTCTGAAGGCGCTACCGAGATTATCATGGATATATGGGATCTTGATGCGATGCTGATCGTCATGAATATCGTTCATGGCTACGCGCCAAAGGTCCCTCGCAAGGTTGATCTGGACACTCTAGCCAAAATCGCTGTGATCATTGATTATTACCAATGTCCCGGGGTCGTGGAGGTCTTCGCAGAAATGTGGGTCAATCAATTGAAAGGTGATATGCCGCAGACTGTTGGAAACGCTGTTATTCAATGGATATGCATCGCATGGGTGTTTCGCAAGCCGGCAGAGTTCCTCGCTGCTACGCGAGTCACCCTCGTCGAGAGTTGTGGAATCATGCAAACGTACGACCTGCCTGTTCCCATTAAAGTGGTTGGTTCGTATCATCTTTGAAAGCAACATCAACTAGACTGCTTTGCTAAGTCAGGCCACAGAAAGTATCAATGAGTGTCGACAGCAGGGCATCAGGGAAGCAATGGCCGCCATTGACCTAGTAATCGATGGCTTGAGCTCTTCACAGCATAATGCATGCTCTTTCGAATGCAGTTCAATACTTCTTGGAGCCCTAATAAAATTCCTGCGTCTCTTCAACCTCATCTTCCCTGATCCAACACCTCCTTTCGATAACCTGAGCATCGCATCCCTAGCCAGAAGTCTGAGCCTTGTTCGGTTTCCAATCTGCGAACCCCAGTGGCCAGCCCTAATGGACAGCCACTTTGAGCAGCACAGATGCAAACTCGAATTACTCCTCGATCCTATTCGCAGGGACCTGGAAAGCAAGATGAATGGATTGAGTCTGGAAGATTTCGAATCCTAACGGAGGGAACCACTGGAATTCTAATAGTAAACTTTTTATCTTGGTCAAACACGGAATGGAATCTCAAGTTCGAGTGCATCAATGTACTATTTCATCATAGTCTTTAGATTCAATACGCTGTGTCCTACGTAGATAGAAAAGGAAATCAATTCCATTAAGAAGAGTCTACAAAGTAAATAATGCGCTTGGTAATGGCCTCCTGCTGGTTTCCTTCTCCATAGACAGCCTTCACTTTGATATTTACTCATATGAGCCCATGTGTTGTTCCCCCACAGACCTCAAAACCTCCCAACAGAATTCTCTCTCCTCTCACTGTCATCTTCTTCTCAAGCCCCAACCCTTCTCTTGCCTTTAAGCATATTCCATAGTTTCCTGTCAACAAGTCATAAGAACGACAGGCGATTCTTCTATATCAGCCTTCCCCCAGTTGATAAACGCTACTACCAGTCTAGAAGTATTGAAGGTGCGTTGAAAGTCCCAGGTCCCAATCCTCGCTCATCTCAGGCTCAGACGCTGATCATCAAATACCAACACCCTATTAGCCCGGCTTACGCTCACAGTATGACGAGTATGACGAAAGACTATTACGAGCTCGATCCTGACGGAGATGCGATCTTCGCTTTTACCACGACTGGTCCAGACACTGCGAATAAATTTTCCGATCCCAAGGCTGTCCCGCAAGAGTCCACTACACCAGCTCAGGTCCTGATGTCTCAGTGGGAAAGTTCTCGACTTCGGTTGCTGGTACAAAAGCGCAGGAGCTTGAGCAGGAGATCGATAATCGGAAGCCTGACGCCCCAGAAGCTGCCAGGGTGGTAGAATGAAGGTCTCGTCGAAACACCTTTCTCTGGCCTCTCCGGTGTTCAAGAAGATGTTGCATGGGCCGTGGCAAGAAGCTCAGGGCCTTCGTGTCGGAGAAGTGGGAATAGAGATGGACAGGCAGAACATAGACGCCATGCTGATGTTGATGAAGGTTATTCATGGGCATTGGCCTGATATTCCTCGCACAGTGAGCCTTGAAACGCTAGCGGAAATCACCACTCTCGTGGACTATTACAACTGCCAGAAGGCTATCCACCACGCATTACAGCTGTGGATTCGGCCTTTACTGGCTGGAATTGCAAAAGCATCCTCTGACGACATTGGTCGGTGAATTTGGGTCTCTTGGGTTCTCCGACTCACTAAATTATTTCGCTATGCAACATATTCGGCCATTACGCAGAGCAAGGGGCCAATCCCCACGATCGGTTTGCCCATCCCCCGGCGGATTATAGGTAAGCATCTCTATGATAAATGAGACACGGCGCAGAGCTCTGACAATATTATTAGATGTAATCGAAAAGAGACGTGAACACCATACCAACCACATTGGAGGCTCTTCGTCCTCTAGTGACTGATCTGCGAGATGGTCGAAAGTCATGCTCAGACGTTTGCGACTCCCTATGTCTGGGTCTTTGGTTAAGCAGATTCACACGTTTATTCGATGGTCGATCACGATTCGACTGGGGGCAGCTCGAGTTAAATCACTAGGTTTCACGTAGTCATAATGGGATAGTCATTAACAATAATGGTCTCGTCAAAGTAAAGACATGACTAGCTTGTGCTTCCCTGTAGGAGTTAGACAAGTAATGGTGATAGAAGGCTTTGCAGGCATCACTGCTTGACGGTCTATCCTGCTTCACTCACCATACTCATGTCATTATCTCAAGAAGTAGTTAGCAACCCTTCTCAATGTCATTAGTAGAATCGAACCAGCACCACCTAGATCATGTTGAACATATTTTGCACTCCTGTTTCTGCTACGTAGAAATGGTTGTCTAGACTAGACGCCTTTTTTAGTCGAGTAGGTTTATGGTTGACAGTTCACGTGCTACCCCGGTAAACACATGAGCAAACAATCCGCAAATACTCTAGTAACTCTACCGATGGATTGACACGAGTCTCCAACCTTTGGTGCAACTTCGATATGTCTGGAACATACCACATATTTGATCCTGAAGGGGATATAGACCTTGTCTTCTCAATCACGGATCGAAAGACTATTCCAGATGACAATATCAAACGAGAATCCTCCAAACAAGTCGTCACAGCAAATCCTCAAACATCTGGGTCTGGCAATCAGTCGGCTGCGGCAGAACAGAATGGCGAGCAGGAAAAGTCAAAAAATTCCAATGAAGACCAACGAATACGCATGAAAGTATCATCCAAACATCGACGCTTGCATCTCCCGTATTCAGACGAATGTTCAGTGGCCCATGGAAGGAATCTCAAAGCCTTGCCGCTGGGGACAGGGCTGAGATTGAGGCAGAATGCTGGGACGCTAATGCAATGCTCATCCTGATGAATATCATTCATGGGCGTGGCCGCAATGTTCCTCGACAAGTTACTCTTAGAACACTTTCCGAGATCGCGGCGCTGGTAGATTATTATGAGTGTCATGAAGTGGTGGACGTGATGTCTGGTATATGGATTGACAAATTGCTCAAAAGCATGCCGTCTACATATTGCAAGGGTATCATCTCCTGGATCTTCATTTCTTGGGTCTTTCAACGACCTTCGTCATTCACCTCGGCAACAGAAATTGCAGCAACCCAGAGCCAACAGCGGATCGACCCGGGCGACCTACCTATTCCCCAGCGAATTTTGGGTATGCCTTGACACGCATGATTTGGTCGAAAACTATTCTTCTAACTACAATATGCCTTTAGATAAGATTGAGGAGCATCGTCGGGGTGGCGTCAAGTCTGCACTTGACATGTCCTACGAATTGATCACCGATCTACGCGATGGTCGCAAGCATTGCTCAGACGTCTGTGACGCTCTCCGTCTGGGTCTTTTGATCAAACAGCTTCATGCTGGTGGTCAGCTTCCGCCTCTCCCAGCGGTCTCTGTTCCCAATGTCAGCCTTGAGCAGCTTACAAGTATACTGTACAAAACCTCAACTGTGCGTTACTGTGATAGTTCTGGTGTAGAAAAATTCCAGCCTGATCGGTACAGCTCTCGCACGGAGGAACGTCATTCACTTTCGCTGCATGGATGCAGTCTTGATACCCTCATTCAGCCAATTCTTCAGGACGTTTGGAACCGTCTGAGGGGCTTTGAACTCTGGGAATTCAAGGATGAATCGAGAGCTTCGGGCGGAAACGACTCCACGGCCCCTTTTGGTGAGGCACGTGCCCCATCTCCCTTTCTCGGCGACTCAGATTATTATTGAACCTTGATATGGCTCCCGCATTGTCGCAGTGATTCAAGGCCAAAAAATGGCAGCAATGGATAACTACGACGTTACTGTATCCAAACACGTCCGATTTATGATTCTCAATGTTTACTGCTCCATGCAGAAATTGAAACATATTATTGTCACCAATAAGCAGTTCATTAAACTGGACATTGACCTTGGGAGGGATCGCGGCTTTGGGAACGGAGCATCGACCTTAATATATCTCATGAATTCGATGGATGATTGATGAGCTGGGTGTGGACATGGCAGGAGGTGAAGAAGATCTTGCGTTCAATTATCTGGATAGAAAGCCATCGTGATGTTGACAGGATGTCTGTTCGGGACGAACTCAGACCTACGGGTTTACATCGCCTTGAAGAGCAGAATGGCCTGTTCGAGAAAATGAGACAAGGTTAGACCACCATCTTTTTGAGCCGATGTGGCACATTGCTGATCTGGCAACGACAATTCAAATTGCTGGCTGAGTAATATGGAATGTAGATCGACAATATCGTCCCTGCCTGGAAGTACGAGATCACTCTCTATGACTGTGCTCGACCTGTCTGTACAGAACTGAATTACTAGAATGTGGATGCCTCATGGTCTCCAACGGATCCTCTTGCTAATATGAATGGCAAAGCATGTGATAGGCACGTCCGGCCCGAACCCTATTAACCACATCAGTTCAACAAGTGACTATGTGAGACTGTGGGACATGCTTCGGATTGATCGAGCGCCACACCTTATTTTTTGCTGAATCACTCTAAAGGATATATAATCTGGGGTGTACAAAGTCATGAAAGGTATGGCAATCTTTCTTGGTATGAGTAGTGCTTATATCCTTTCCTTTTATGGACCTTCAAAGCCACTGTACCATCCATTACAGTCGACTACAAAATATCAGTGTATTGACTCATTTTTATGAGGTAAACCACCTTCCTTCTCTGGAAATCAAGCTAACAAAAAAGTCTCGAAATCAAGGATGTCTATTGGTGACACGGGGTCCAATTCAAGCTCCGAAGATCTTCCTGGGTTACATTCTTTTGCCATAAAGCGAAATGTACAATGAGACATGGGTGTACAGACCCTGCTAGCTCTGCAGATTGACCACTTATATTTACACGCCAGTTTTTAGCCCTTCTGCTGCTCCCACTTGGTCCGGCGCCGCCCATATTATGCTTGGCGCCAAGTGAGGCGATAGCTTTGTGCATCGGCTCTGTCCGCCAGCAGGCAGCAGATCACATTGCTGGAGGATCCACTATCTAATCACGACTCCTACGCAAATTGCTACGGATGAGAACCGGTGCTTTTACAAATATCTGGCTGTATCAGGTCACTCTATCTGACTCCGATAGATCATGTCCAGGGAAATCACAACCTAGGTCTTCGCGAGCTGATGCTTCTCCCCGTCCTCACATATAGAAAGCTGCTGTGGAGGCAATGCGCTAGTTTCGTATAGTTATCGCATGAGACATACAGGGCCGCTATTTGGACACGGAGGTAATGCCAACCACGGCGAACTCACGACTCCTTGGTACTTGTCCAGAAAATCGCGCATGTGGATACAGTAGAATCATCCACTGGATGTGATATATCGTATGACTCCTTTTAGCTTAATATAAGGAGGAGTGTGATCCTCCATCGTCGTCCCAAACACATCAGTTCTTAAAGCAATGCCTGATTTCGTTGATCGCCTTGCTGATACAGCCTTTTATCTTCTCCTTTCTGGTATCATTATCTTCAACAGCCTCAATCACCACGTTATTCGCAAAGACTCTGTTGATTACGATAGTCTGTTGTCTTACAACATCTTCGCTGGCGTCTACATGGCCCTCTACCATCGATGGAAAGCCACTACCAGACAAGTGGTTCCAAATCAGCCTCAACGAAACCAGTCTCGACACTCGTGATATCGCTGAACTTGCCGAACGTACGCCAATCACCGTATGTGAGCGGACAGTTATAGCTGTAGGCGCCTGCGTTGGCATTGCCTCATACGTTGTCAACTTCGCGAGAAACATCGCCACAACCATCAAGGATCTGTCGAACGGGGGAAATTGCAACACTATGTACGGCACTTTTGAGGGCCTGAAGTGGACGTACCACTCTACTGGCCGCAACTGTGATACCACTGCTCAGCATGACACCATTGCCGGTGCTATCAAGAAATACCTGAGCAATGTTGAGCATAACAATGTCTGCGGTACTCAGTGCCTTCGTATGGACCATGGTAGAACCTGGGATGGATGGTTGAAGCTGGGCCCTGTCAGTAGCTTCAACGAGAATGCCTACTGTGGTCCCTCCTTATCCTTTGACAGCTGTCTCTCCGGGGGTAACAACGATATCTAAAGTCATTGATGCAGACCTATTCGCGCACTGAGACGGATTTCGTTGGGATTAAAGTGACCAGTTCGATTTTCTCAAGGGGTCACCGTGAACAGGAAATGAGGTGTTGGATGGGTAGGTTGGGCCGTCTAGCGTTTCTCTGTGAAGAAGAGCTCCCACCAGCTTGTTTATGGGGCTTTTATCCTGTGAATGGCGAATTAATGATCATAAATAATGCGAGGAAGGGCATGGATCAGCAGAAATAAGTAGTAGTAGTAGTAGTAGTAGTAGTAGTAGTAGTAGTAGTAGTAGTAGTAGTAGTAGTAGTAGTAGTAGTAGTAGTAGTAGGAGTAGTAGTAGTAGTCATACTATACAGCGTATCGGAGAGCAAATGCCCTACTCGAGAGACTGAGGAAAGTTTAGCCCGTCCTTCCTCTAAGAGTAGATATGCCACATTGCTGACTGCGAAGACAAATCAAATGCTGACTGGGTAATGCAGAATATAGATCTATGTATAATTACTCTATCGTATCGAAACAAACGGGTATCTCAGCATCTAGAACATATCAGCCACGTCTCTCTTCTTATCATCCTCCAGTCTTTCGTCCGTGAACCGCCACCACCATTCATGTGTAGGGTCCAGACTAGCCGTTCGCCGTTTTCCCATCCCTTGGCCGTCCGCAATGCTGTCAATCTCATCCCAAGGCTTCGGACTGAGTATATAGTGAACATTCTTGACCCTATCATCCCGCCAGATAGCGTCGTGGACGCCCTTGCGCCGTAATGTCTTGAGCGCATTATATATGTACGGTATGCCGACCCATCGGCCGTGGAAGACATCGGAGATGAGATCTTGGTCAGGGAAAGTGTAGTTCAGTGTCGCGGGGGTGTTGAGCTGGTCGATGATCTTGTCATAGACTCCTTTTGACGGATTGATGACGAGGAGGCCTGAGTTGCAGAGTCCAAGTCCAGAGTCTGATGGGGCTCCGAGTGTCTGGGCCGCGTCGGAGGTGGCATGCTGTGATGTAAACGCGCAGTTGGCCGGGATCCTACACACGTCTCTGTCAATCTCGGTTCCAATCTTTCATTCGCCGTCTTGAAACAAAGGGAGACATACCAGTTCTTCGGGTAATGGGGCTTCTTCAACGGATTGCAAACACACGCATGACTGGCCGCAAACACCCTGTTTCCCGTTCCCCCTAGCTCCGGCACATCCAGCTCAATATCCATTAATTCATCCATGCTCTGCAGAACCAGCATATCGCTGTCCAGCAGCACCACACGCTCATACTCGACTAGCGAGAACGCCGTAAGCTTCGTCCACGTATCATGGAATCGAGGATCATTGGTATATTCTTTCGGAAGGGAGGGTAGGAGGTGCGGGACGCGCTGCTTCGGCAATCCGCGGGCGTCGACGGCGGCATGTCCTTCAGCGGGGAAGGAGTCGGTGTACAGAACGACTAGCGGGTACTTGGAGCCGGCTTTTCGTAACGAGTACTCGAGAGTGAAGAGGCCCGGGAGGTAGTCTGTGTTTGTGATCAGAGTCGCCCATACTGCGAGGAATTAGCTGGTTATCAATGGGCGGATAGTACGATTTTCCTTGTGAGGCTCGAGATTATTGTGCGTACCTTTTGTTGCGCCAATGGTGCAACTGGCACCACTGTTGCAGCGCATGGTGTAACAATGCCTGCAGAGGCAGACGGGCAGAGCAAAGGCACTTGTCTGACAAGATCCGGGGTGGAGGGGGCCGGATTTAACAATTAATATGGCGGGGAGTCGGAGCGGAACAACTCGGCGAGGGAGGGGCCGATATCGCCGATCTCGATTCGATCGGATTGATAATCGATTGGCCAATCATAGGCGGGAGTGATAATACGATCCAGGGCGTGATGATGATGGAAATCACTCTGAATCGACAGATCTCGATCAAACATCTAGACTTTAGAAATAGAAAATCAATGCACATATCAATCATTATCAAGGAATGTGATTGCTTCAGGTATGCGCATTAAGACCCAAATTCCATATAACTTAGAACGCGAGCGTCTGGCGCAAAATATATCTTTCCCACTTATGATTGTGGCCAATGATCCTGGCAAATGTTACTGAGAAACATGTGAATGAGCCAGAGAAAGTGTATGTGAAGAAAATCCATGTCAAATGACTGTGTACTGCGACAGCGAACCTAGGATTATCATGACTCGAAAGCATGCGTGCAATTACCGACCAACATGGGAAGTTGAGCTGGGTTATGAGCATCGATATATCGACCTTAGTGGCCCCACTCGTTGGAATAACCAGACTCCTCGTGAGGCAACAAAGTCCTTCCTTGCTCTGCATCGTTGGTTCTCTCGCCGTTACCTTCCTCGTCTACCTCCTCCGCTTGAGTTATCCGCTGGTAGTCAGGCGTCTCTCGTGTCCTGAATGCGCTCATCCAGCTAGGTCGACGGCGACTAATATGAGGGAAGCCGATCTGCACATAAAGCACGTCATTACTCAAACCAGAAGAACATTGCGAGATCATGCACATACCCTCATAGTCCAGATCAATACCGCAGCTGCAAAGACCATCCATGACGCGACCCGTTGCTGTTCCTGCCATGGTGCTAAACAACTCCGGGGATATCCAAGCTGAAGCTCACAAGCATTATCACCATGGTTGCGGTCCTTGAATGGCCATGCTCTGTCATGGGTGCTGCGCAGTCCACAACATTGAAGATTATCCTGAATTGTTCGAATCGCCTGCGCATTCTTCGCACGAAAGTACGACTGCCACTGCTGCTCGAGACGACATGATAGGATATTCTCGGGGAAAATGTAGGCCAATGCCACGGTAGCGATGACTGTCGAAAGAATCGAATATAGCTGATCGACGATTGAGAGGATTATATTTCGGCGTCTGCTGCTAGTATGTTCTTCGTATCTGGAGGATACTTTCATAAGGAAAAGATAGCTTTATGAGTTCTAATTGTAATAAGTACCATCAAGTCTATTGACTATGGTAGTGAATATAGTGATTTGAGCAGCAACTTTGTGCAAACTGATATGGTCGACAGACCATCCACATATAAATCCTGTGACACCAATTTAACTAAAGAGAACTGTCCGACTAAGGAGTGCACAGTCTGTCTATACCGCTAGATCTGATTCTTAAGCTTCCTCGTGGTTTCTAAATTGAGTCAACCTCACCAATTATAATTAGCCTACGTGTGAGGCAACAGGAATAAGCTTTACTATGAGATTGGTCCAGGTAATTCAAAGTATCCACCTGCAGATCTCAAGGTATGTATAGCCTGCCAGCACTAAACGGGTGGAGAATGGGAGGCCTGAAATAAGCATCAGCCACAACCGGTAATAACAACACATATTCAACTGGACACCACACAGTCGGTGAGTAGGTGGTGTGCCTGATTCAGTGTCTCACTCGGAAAGGCTTGGGAGCCACCGAGATACATCGAGCTCGCCGAAATGATGCTATCCATGCCTTCTCAGCCTCAGGATTCGTCATATACGGCGTGCCAAACGGATAATTATAGACTCTCAGAGCTTCGCCTGGGCTGTAATGTCTTAGCTGACTGCTACATACTTACTGGCTAACATGATATGTGCTCAATTGCAATGGGGATGCATAAGTATAAGTATCGCCTCGATTTCCGACATCAACTCCTCCTCATCATCATCTTCACACACACTGTTCCTCTCCCTTCAAGTCTAATACCATCTGTACAATGAAGCTCACCACCGCCTCCCTTCTCCTGGCTGCCAGCTCGGCTCTCGCCGTTCCCACCAGCATCAAGCGCGACAGCTACATTCAAATCAGCGACTTCTGGGCCAAAGCTGCTCCCTCATCCCCTGGTGCCTTCATGCACTTTGTAGTTACCGATCCAAACTACCCAGGGGACACACCCACCGACTGCAACCTGATCTGGTAAGTCCAGAGCCCTCTCGTCGAGAATACCAGGCTAATCGGCACTCCTCTTGTCATATAGGACCTACGGCCAGCTACCCAAGGAGAACGCCCGATGCAACAATGGGGAGTACTACATCAAGTTTCCCAATGGCGCTCCTGACTTCAACTGGTTCACGCTCGAGCTCCAGAGGGTCAATGGCTCAATCCCTGAAGATGGTCATGTCTTGCTGAGTTCGAACGCAAATGGCGCCGCGCCTGGAACCAAGTGGATTTGTGTGAATGACCCGGAGCCAGGCATTGAAATCAGCTGCTCTTATGATGGGGTTCTTCAGATGGACGTTTCTTAAAGGCGCTGAGATGAGAGTCTTCTGAGAAGCACGCCAGTTCGCTAATGTGGGATTTCTTTCAATTTTCCTATTCAGCTCCTTTTTCGTCGTCTTTTCAAGAGTAGTACAATAATATTTCTTTTCTTGAATCCATGTTGACTCCAAAATCCTTGCAATCCAGTCAGATTATAGTTCACCTTCTTCATCGCCCTTGAAAGCCCCAAGATCGCGGGATATAACCTCTGCAAATCCTGGTAAAGGGTCGTCTTCAAAATTGCCGGAAGTAGGTCCTAGATCCTTATTCACCAGGCTCAACCCGTCTCGTAGATATAGCCCTTACCCGGTTCAATGCCGAGAGTCAAAGCGCGGATAGGGTCTTGGAATATGGGCCTGATATTGATTGTGTCAGTGCGATTCGTTAGTAAATACGAGGTATATCCCAACCTGACTCGGTTCGGGCAGAGTTCACATTGAATGGCCAATAAGGCTTCCTCAATCCATTTAACCAAGAAATTAGACTTGCTCTAGTATCATTAAGTATCTGGAATACGAGGTCCCAGACGCTCTCCAGATTCGTACAACAAGAGCGCAAAACACCTATATAAGTCGCTATCTGCCCAATCTTTTTGCATAGTAATCCATAACCGAGAAAAATGGCTCGGTTCTCTTTTCTACTGCTGGCCTCGGCCGTCTCCATTACTACAACAGCATCCAGCCTCAAACGCGACACTCTGAAGCCCTTTCAAAAAGGCCGCTTCGCTCCTTCAAATAATGCCTCCATCTCGCAAGCCTACGACACAAATATCCTCCCGAGGTACTACGATTGCTTACCTGGGGCTCATCTGTGCGACGCCGGCCAGTGCTGCGACTTTACCTGCTGCTCGGATGGATCCTGCTGCCCGGCCGCTCAGCTTTGCTACAACGACGTGAAGCCTTCCAAGGGACCGACGTATTGTTGTGAAATGTATACTGAGAAGGAATGTGACACGAACTGCGTGCCAATGATATCGGAGTGTTGCGGTGATGGATATTATGTGCGTCTCCTCTGGGTTGCGTATGGATATGGCGCTGATGTTTGCAGTGCGAGTATGGTTACTCCTGTACTCAAGGCGGTTGTGTACGTTTCTTATACCCTGGTGCTAGACTATGTATTGACACGGACAGTGTAAATGGGGTCGAGTATGCGATGAAAGCTACGACGACATTGGGAGTGATGACGATGGTTCAACAACCTCATACACATATACGGAGGTGGAAGTGTCCACTACCTCAGAACACACCTACACCTCCACAGAGGACCACACAACGTCATCATATTCCGATACAGAGTCAACGAGAGATTATTACGCCACTACAGAAACTGAGAGCAGCACTCGACGGACGAGATCAACAGATTCTGATTATGCAGCAGAGACTACTGAGACGGATTCAACTACCTCAACCTCATCTCGCAGAACGTCGACCAGTTTTACCGGAGTCGAGACTGCTCTTGCGGCTCCCGTACCTACCAATACAGTACCTGCTTCGCGGGCAAACAAGAATAGCTTCTCGAGCCTTAATATAGAATTGTTGGTGATTGTGGCTGTGGCTGGGGGGTATTTTACCCTGTGATCTGCGGACTAACTCTTACTCGACACACCTGTGGTGAACCTCTGACTAATGTAAATATCGAATGAAATATCGCTTTCTATCTGCATGAGTTGTGTTGTCTTCTACCTTGAGAGGGTTGACTAACTCTGTGTGTTGGACAGCCAATTGCTATGACAACTAAGAAGACCTTGCAGGATTGCTAAGGTGGTCAATTGGTATGATCTGCAATGAAGGGGAAAAGAAAAAAGAAAGAAAGAAGGTGTATTTGTGATTTCTGCTGGCTTAATTCATCAGAAGATTCAGTAGTATCACACCAGAAGCAGGGGTAGCTGATTGTCACTACTGGTTGAGGGAAAGATGATCATATGCATAAGGCAATGCCGCCAGCACAAAGATGAATTCCTACACTAATAGTACTAAATCTGGTGCTGGCCCCCTGATCCCTGTGCCATGATCTGCGAGGCCATCCGGAGTACAAGTCAGTGACCCAGTGATATCCTTATGCTACAGCGTTACACAACCCTAAGCAAGGGGTTCTTTGAGGAATGTGCATAACCCAGAGTATTGGAAACCCAGCCATGCCTGCAAATGGAATTGGCCATGGAACCAGAGTATAAATTCTGTTTGAAAGCCAGCCAAAAAAGATCCATTCTTCACTACCGAGTATAGATTCAAGTCTACTGTACCCCAACGTAAGTCGGCACTCCACTCCCTAAGCATCAGTGACGAACTGACCCTGGTAGATCAAGATGCAACTCAGCCCCATCCTCACCGTTCTTGGACTGGCAGCGATTGCTTTCGCTCAATGTGATTCTTCCTTTCTCCCTGTCTGGCTCGTGGGCTAACAATACTAGACGATGCCCCCTGTGGCAGTGCCAAGACCTGTGAAGCCAATTGTCCCAGCGGCGATTTCTTCCCTATGATTGATCAATGTGATCTGGTGGACGGCAAGCCGGACTGCTATGTCAATTTCTACTGTGCTTGAGCGAATAGGCGCAGCGAAATCTCGCGAATCTCGAATCCTTCTGGGGATGTATGAAGCCAGGAACGGCGCTTAGTGACATACTATTGTGATAGAGGGAAGCTGTCTGGATTCTGCCAGTTTCAATTAATTGAATACCATTGGGTCCGATTAGAATTGATATCTGCAATGCTGTCAGGAATAAACTATTCCTCAACTAATTTAGGGCAAATTGCGTGATTGATAGTGGATCCTTTAATTATCCCCGCTGCGCCCACTTTTTTTGCAATAAATATCTAGAATCATGTTCTAGTCTAGAACACCCAATCCACTTAATGCCACATCTGAAATAACCACAATGACAAGCCCCTTCTCAAGAATCCTGGTCTCACCAGCCCAATTCCACAACGCTGTGAATTCACCCACAACTACTCGGCGGATCATCCCCGTGGCCGCTGGCCGGCGCGCAGTACATACCCCCGCCTATCATGCCCAGCATATCCCTAACTCCATGTATGTTATTCTCAGCCACCCCAGCACCTCACTTAGTAACAATCATCCAGCTTCTTCGACATGGACCTCGTTAGAGATAGCTCCTCGCCATACCCGCAGATGCTCCCCACCGCCTCACACTTCGCATCCTGCGTCGCAGCCCTAGGCATCACGAAGGACGACGTACTCGTCATCTACGACGCCGTAGACGTGGGGATCTACAGCTCCCCGCGCGTCGCGTGGATGTTCAGCCTCTTCGGCCACGACGCCGTGCACGTCCTGAACAATTTCCGGGTGTACGTGCAGCAGGGCTACCCCGTCGCCAGCGGGGAGATGCACCCCCTCCCGTCTGTCGCCGAGTATCCCGTTTCCCCGGTGGACGGCGACCGGGTGATTTCGTTCGAGGAGTTGAGGGAGCTGGTGTTGGGTGGTTCGGAGGGGTTCCAGATTGTTGACTCGAGGATTGCGGGGCGGTTTACTGGGGAGGAGGCTGAGGCTGTGCCTGGGTTGAGTTCGGGGCATATGCCGCGGGCGATCAATGTGCCGTTGGCGGCGATGCTGGAGGAAGACTCGAGTGAGTTTTTGTCGGTGGAGCGGTTGAGGGCTTTGTTTGAGAGGGCTGGGGTTGATGGGCGGGTGCCGTTGGTTTTGACGTGCAATTCGGGGGTTACGGCTGCGGCGCTGGATTTGGCGCTGGGAGAGACGGGGTACATGAACCCTCGGCGGATCTACGATGGGAGTTGGATGGAGTGGGCTCGGAGGGTGGATCGGCCGGAATTGATTGTCAAGAATGTGCGATGACATGATAGACCTGCTTATAGAATCTAAACCATGCGGAGGACATCGGATCCCTCCATCCACTTGTGTATCGCTCTGACCACTTGGTCGCTGTTCTTCTCCAGGAACACCATATGCCCGTTGCCATGAACACCTATCTCCTCTAGCTGCAGGTGCTCTGTGGGGACTCCGGCTTGTCGCAAGAACCGAACAGTACACCAGTCGTGCGTGGCATGGTACGATGCTTCGGTTGTAACAACCAATGTCGGAATTTGGGACAGGTTGACGAGCTGCCGAGGCGGAGGGTCATCAGCCTGGATGATACAATCCGACCTTGCACTGGAGCTGGATGTGATCGTCTGTTTAACAAAGTCCGTAGCTGGATCGGTCACCGGAGGGGAATAAGTGATCGGTATATCCGTCAATCCGTACGGACGCGCCGGTCCACTCCCGAAAACCGCATTTTGAAATGGTGGACCAGATGGTTCAATCGCGATGATGGAATGCACCAGATCCGGTCTCCTATCTGCGATGACCCAAGACATCGATCCTCCCTGAGAATGAGCGACAAGTATCACCGGCTTGCCGATGGCGTCTAACAATGCAGCGCCAGCAGGCTGCATGGAAGACTCTTGAGCAGCGTTGTCCGCAAGCGAAGGGACGGTCGACGCATAATACGCATCGAAGATGGAATCGCCCATAACTCCAGTTCCTGGCCACTGGGTGTGGAGACTCGCCTGTGGCCAGAGGTTGTATTTCTCTGTGGCAGTAAAGTACTTCTGCAGGAACTCGGCACTGTATTTCCTCAACTTTCCGTTCTGGGCATCCCAAGGACTCCTGCCGCGGGATGTCTGATCGAGCAAGTAGCATTCGTAGCCTTGGGAGAGAAAGTAAGACGCCCATCCTTCACTTCCGTCAGGTTTGTTCAGCCAGTTCTAGACGTGTTAGTGATGTGAGTGCTTTCAGACAAGAGACTTGTACCGTTGCTGTTTGATCGGCTCCGTGGATGAACACGATCGGATACTCTTTAACCGGCCCATCGACGGGAGTAAGCCGCTCGACGTACATCTGGTCGGTGAAGATGTGTTCTCCATCGCTGTTGAGGGTGTAGTCGCCTCCGACATACAGATATGTCCGGCGATGTGGTGTTCCCATGCCGGCGGCGAGCAGAGAAAATGCTATCACCAGAAGATGAAGTTTTGACATCGTGACGATGGTGGATGGACGGCGAAGAAGTGAACTAAAATAGCCCAGAAGAGGCGGGAGTCGGAATGTGCTCGCCCCCCGCATCTGCAGGGATGTGATATTGCTGTGGCAACTGCAGATGGTCTCCTCTATGTAGTACAAACTGCAGCTAATTTACCAAAAGAGGTACAGATATGCATCCACGTGTCCAGTACTCCATCAATCTTGATTGCCATGCTCGGCTAAAGACGCTTCATACCTCTGGAGCATTTCCTTCCCGCTGTCAATTGCCCGTTCGTACTTTTCAACCTCCTCCTCCACAAGCTTGTTGGCCTGTATAGCCCCATCTGGCAATTGCAGCACCCAATTTTTGATGGCTTCAAGTTCGACTTGCATCATGGCCATACAGTCTTTCTGGTCCCGAATACTAGTGACCGTATCCTTTCTCCCGAGTGAGGTAATTCCGGTAGCGGACTGAAAGGTCCTCCCTGGACATAGTCGTTCTGCGTCTGCTTGGGACGCTTTGTACGCCTTTTGGTAGATTGCAGTGGCCTTCTTTGCATGCTGCAGGCTGATTCTATAATATCGCGCACGGTCAGGGTCTGTATCAGACTCCTCCGCCCAGTTTCGGTAGCTTTCCACACTTTCCTGCTTCCACTTGTACTCATGCCGCAGCCTCTCCAGCTCCCAGAGAGGGAGATCCTCCGTCCTTTGACATACCCCCCCTGGACACAGCCTTTCTGCTTCTTGTTCAGCCTTGCTGAGATCCTCAATGTTCCTCGCATGACGTCGCCCATCCATCCAGAGCCTGAAACGCACCGCCCACTCCTCATCCACGGACTTGGCCGCCGCAAGTTCAGCTTGATGTGCCGAAATGTGTTGATCCGCACGCTTCATCCAGAGCTTGAATGTCTCTACGCATCGCAATGGCTCTTCAGCGGAGTACTTGGCGCCAGAAGCACCGTGCGCTCTCGCTTGAGCAACCTCGAAGCTGTCCCCGTCGAAATCCTCCGGCCAGCCATACTCGCGGTACAACTCCTTCAGTGGCAGATGGTACTGGTCCCATTCGCCTCCGCTATGCTCACCACCCGGTAGCTCGTCTAGTGAACGATACCAGTGGATAATATCACGCAGAACATCGCCCGCGCGACGACTGGGTATAGGCTCGATGCTATTCGGATTCTTGCTTTTCTTGCTTTCCTCGCTTGGTGCCTTTTCCTCTTCATCTGAATCATCAGAGTAAACGATTGGCCCATCCATCAGCGCGGGATCAGTACTGCTCCACCCCTCCTGGTCGATAATCCAAATGCGATGCCGCCGGGCATCGTAAATGATTACGCTCTGGTGATTCCCCAACCGCGACAACGGGGTCATCCACGGCCGCATGTAGGGTCCATCCTCGGCGTCGTAGTCATCGCCACCAGGACTGGCGTAGAATGGATCCCGGCCCTGCTCCACGGCGTCCTCCCGGCGGAAATCAGTGAACGCACCGCCATGAAAAAAGTCTTGGTTGCCAGCGACATCACAATCCACATAAGGAAGGATGCTGTAGAGGTAGATGATGGCGGGATCAAGCTTGAGCTTTTCGTACATCGGGCGCAGATTGTCGATATTATGCGGGCCCTGCTCAATTCCTGCTGGGTCGAGATAGCGCATGTGGGCGAGGGTTTGGTAGATTTCCAGCATGAGGTCGGCAACCTCGTGCAGGCGCGCTTTCTGATCTGGCCTGAGAAGGTCGTCCATTTCGGTTGGAACTGGGGTGTGCTTCGATGTCTATTTACCTTTGGATTCAACGAATATATACAACATTCTTTGAATATACAGGATGGAGGCAGGCATCAAGGCCCACAAGGCAGCAGCCCAGTGGCTGCCTTGATTCCTGACTGCATCCTACCAATCAGAGGCGTCTCATCCGCTTTGTGGAGTACCAGGAAATTTTGGCATTTTCTCTTTTTTCGGCTTCAGACTCACATTCTCATCCATAGCTATGATTTACGGATGGTCTCGGCCTTATGAAGTGATGAATAGAAGAATATAGGGTGGTATGACACTCAGAGTATCATGTTTCCCATTCGAGAGTAGATCCTGTGTATCCCTGAATTGTTGTACAGCCCAGTATAGGTGACGATATATATTTCACGGGGTGAGGAGCGAGTAAATCCGTAGAAGGAGCCGTTGGAACACCTTTCAGTTTGAGATTATGCGAATTGACATGACAATCGGGGATCAGTCTGTCCATCTCGGATATCCCTTGACCCAATTCTCCGCAGGATTAAGAATACCTGGCGGCAGCCTCATACATGGATGGCAATTGTGGCGGTGTCATGATTGATTGGTTGAGTTTCACTCCACTCGGGGATAAGCGCTGCTTGTTGTTCTTAGCTCTCAGCTACCTTTACCGACCAGGCTACAGTCTCGGTCAGTTGCTCTCATGATCAATCTCATTTCATTCTTCATATCGATCCAGTCTGAACATTGAGTCTCAACAAGTCCAGAGAATGGGCGGTGTACGAGGAAAGTCTCAAGGCTGCGGAACCTGTCGAGCACGTAAAATCGCGGTCAGTCCTAATGTTCATCCCGAGCAAGAGTACCATGGGATATTGAATATTGACAGAACTCAGTGCGGACAAGAAAGACCCAGCTGCAGTCAATGCCTCAAATCCAATCGCCAATGCTTGGGTTACCGGCGCGACAGGGTCTTTGTCCTGGTTCAACCCGGAGCCAAAGAATCCTCTCGCACGACCCGCCAGGACCACGCGAACAATCAAATCATTCTCGATCAAGGTCCTGGAAATGTGATCATCATGAGTTGCCATATTCGCCAACGGCTCCTCGACGAATTCATCGGTCGCTGTCTGCCTCACACACGCTTCCTATCACCCAAGCATTACAGGCCATGGCTGTTTCTCCTACCTGATATCCCCACGAGATCCAAGGCACTGGAATTCTCCACCTTGGCGATTTCCTGCGCGGCTCTCGGTCGGAAATTCCAAGACACTGCGCTCATACACCAGAGTCTAAAGGCGTATACGAGAGGCCTTCGCGAGATGCAGAGGGCGCTCTGGAATGCCAGTCTGATGCACGACAATGAAACGCTGGCTGCGTGTTTGGTTCTGAGCCTGTATGAACTTATGGAGTGTCCAGATAACGGGGCCGACGCATATTTGAGCCATTGCAGGGGGTTCTTGTCGCTGATAAAGGCGCGTGGTATGGATGCGCATACGGCTGGGATAGGGCATGATCTTTTCCTGGGGGTGAGATTACAGGGGGTACGTTTGCTTGATTCGTCTCATTTCATTCGATATAACGCTGATGATGACACTGTCAGATCCTTGATGCGATTGGCCACCGTGTGCCGAATTTCCTATGCGATCGAGCCTGGTGCCAGGATCCCTGGACCTCACGGCCAAAACGAATGGCTGATCGCATTGCGGATTGCCTGGCTGACATACCCTCTATTCTCCAGCGTTATGATCAACTGTCATCGCTCAACCGGGCGGACATTCTAAACTCAACATACTTGCTTGTCGGGGAATGTCTGAGAATCGATCAAACTCTACAGGACATCTACGAAGCAATCCGGCTTGAGGTATCGGGTCCGTTGTACTGGCCTGTTCTCTCGCAGTCATTCCAGAGCAGCGCTCCCGGCCAGGGACAATTCTCCGTGGTATACAACTTTCCCGATCTCAAAACTGCAACGTTGTTGATGCTGTATTGGGCGTCGAAGGCGCTTTTGTGGGCGACGCTGAGCAACCTGTACGACGTCATTCAGCTACAGGATCTCCGTGGCGCCGCTGCCTCCATTGTTGAAGTAACCAGTGAGAAACATAACCTGGGTCCCAACAAATACGACGAGAGCTCACCCGACCGAGATTCCCCAACTCGAGACGATGGACAGAACTACATGAGCATGGCACGCAACGTCTGCCAGTCTCTGGAGTACTGCCTGCAAGAAGACATGTCACTTCTGGGGATATTTGCCGCTTCAACACCCGTAATCATTGCAATATGGGCTATCCGGTACCGACAAAATGACGAAGCGGAGTTGGCCTGGTTGATGGGCGTATCGCAGAAGATGCACCAGGGGCTGCGGATGTGGCCATACATATGAGCATGAAAGAAATGACGTTCGAGAATTCCCAAGCCGCTAAAGTACGACTCCTATTAAGTTGCACAGCCTCAGGAGGCGGAGTCACCCCTCGACAGCAATATGCATGGGAAAATGAATCTTGTCAGCCCTAAGCTTTTTGAGGCATAATATGCATCCACCGCACTAAGCCTGTTTGGGTCAAAACCTGCGAGCCACGTGATTTTCGTCTCAGCTGTATACGACGAGTGCAGTCGATTGGATATTGCAGAAATTTGGGTTCCAAGAGAAATCGGGCTGCCTGTCGCGGCTGACTGTGGAGTGTGGAAAGAGTGGACTATAAAGGTATGAGTGTTCTCCCGTGAATCTGCGTTGCCAATTCACCAAGCTATCTCCGTACTTCCAATCCACCATCGTTCTCTTCTCTCATTTATAGCGATATCGTTGCTACACAATGCTTACAGATCATTCCAAGGTCGCCATTGCGCAGATTGTCTTCTATATCCCTGCCATAATAGCCGCCGCGGTCCTACTATTCCACCGCCATGGCGCCCCCCGAATGCCCTGGTATATCCTCCAAGTTTTCTGCTTGAGTAAGCACCTTCATTCCACTTGCTACATGTACTGCAGAGCTGATGGTTGCTGATAGTTCGCGTCGCCTGTGCTATCATCGTCATACTCTACGAGAACAGCCCGACAAGCGTCGGCCTCTATATCGCCGCCCTGATCCTTCTCAACGCCGGACTGCTGCCCCTGATTGCAGCGACTATTGGTCTTCTGCGGATAATGTACGTGCGCTTCCAGCTAAAGCAGGCATGGTCTAACTCTTTTAGTATCCATTACGATTTCAAAAGTAACAAGAGCCTTCGCCTGCCTATGAGCGTCTCTCGAATCTTGTTCGTTGTCGGGATTGCCTTGGTCATCGCAGGCGGCTCCTTGACCGGGAACTATACGGACGCGGACTCGGTGAGGACAGGTCATACACTCACCAAGGCGGGATATATTGTCGTGGCGGTCTTTATGGCCTGCTTGGTGCTTTTCCAGGGGTATTTCTGGAGACAGTATGCCAGTCTGTCCCGGGCGAGTCGAACGGTTAGTGCCCGCGCTGATATATTGCAGCGGCGTGATGCTGATATTGTTTTTAGGTGCTCAAGGGCATGGCTCTGGCTGTTCCATTTCTCATTGTGAGGATTGCATGGCTCTTCCTGTCAATCTATCATCCCGGCGATGATAGATGGAGTAACCTGGGTGGAGCGATTGGACCTTTTGTGGTCATGACGGCGCTGATGGAGTACATTGTCGTGTGCATATACATCGGGACCGGGTTTCTGATTCCTGCTACGAGGGGTGTGGCTCGTACTGCTACTGAACAGGATCAAGAGGCGCATGAGCCGGCAGTCGAAGGGAGCAGGCAATACGGGAAGCTCCATTCTCTTGAGCGGGCGTAGACTTAATGACGGCTGATTCGAGTGTTGATTATCAAGCATATATACAGGGACTAGAAGAGACAAATCTATATACAATCTATGCTCATCCTCACCACCGGACGGTGCACCTAAAAATGCGGCGTGTTCAACGCCATCAAACACAACAACCCCCCAATCAACCCAGCCGAAGGCAACGTCAGCACCCACCCACTAAAGATAAACCCAAGCTGTCTCCAATTCACCGCCCCCAGATCATAATTCATCAGCGCCACGCCCGTCGCCGCCCCCGTCAGACACTGCGTCGTCGACACGGGCAACCCCAGCCGCGACGCCAGCAACACCGTAATCGCCGCCCCCAGCTCCGTCGCAAACCCCCTCGTCGGCGACATCTGCGTGATCTTGTTGCCCAGCGCCCGCACAATATGGTACCCGTAGAACCAGAACCCCAGCCCCAGCAGCAGGCCCGCCACCACCAGGAACCACACCGGCGTCGGCGCCTTGGTGTCCACCTCGCCGGCCCTGTAGGTCGCGTACACGGCGGCCCAGGGGCCCACCGCGTTCGCGACGTCGTTGGACCCGTGCGCGATCGACATCATCATCGCCGAGACCACCTGGCAGTAGGTCCAGAGGTGCTCGACGCGGTCGTCGTAGCGCCGCGCGCGCGAGTGGATGTCGCGCAGCTGCGCGGAGTCGTGGGTGACGACGTCGCGCGTGACGCCTTGCAGGAGGAGGAACTTGGTGTAGCCGAGCCACTTGTGCGGGTGTGTCCAGGGGAGGTCGGCGACGGGGTGGAGGAAGCGTTCGTGGGGGCCGAGGTGTTTCGTGCGGGGTTTGAGCTCCGGGGTGGATTGCGCGGAGGCGAGGTTGCGTTCGACGTCGAGGGTCGACTCGAGGAGTTTGGCGTCGGGGGGCTGTTGCTGTTGTTGTTGGTGGTCGGCGGGGGCGGTTGCTTTCTCGTCGCCGTGGGTGCCGGCGCGGACTTCGCCGTAGGCGTCTGCGTAGTAGTTGATCACGAACTGCTCGCCCTGGGCGGGGAAGTAGAGCGGGCAGTTGTCTTTCAGCAGCCAGGGGCCGAGCGGGAGGTGGTAGAAGCGGACGCGGGCGTCCTGCTTGACGAGACGGCGGTGGAAGTATGGCAGGAAGAAGACGACGCCGATGAGCAGGCAGCCGAAGAAGACGCCCAGGATGATGCCGACGGCTTTGCCGGCGCCGAACTCCTCGAGGGACGGCGCGGTTGGGGCCTCGATGACAATGAATAGAGCGAGGATGGCGCCCGTCGTGGCGAGGTAGACGGGAATCAGACGCATGGCCCACTTGAAGGGATCCTTGCGCTCGAGGACGGTATATTTCAGAATGCCGAATATCAGGGCCGAGAAGCCACCCGCGATGGCCGGGGCAATCCCCCACGACGCGGCAACCTGAGAGACACTGCCCTTGGTCCATTCCCAGTGGATAGGCGCCTGAGCAGCTAGACCGACACCGACCAGCGATCCGACGATGGTTTGGGTGGTCGAGACAGGCCAGCCCATACCGGTCGCCAGCATCAGCCAGGCGGCATTGCCCATTTCAGCGCAGCCCATTGCCAGCATCAGTGGTCCCGGTTTGTTCTCGAACCGATCGATACTGATGATGCCGGACTTGATGGTATCGGTCACTCGCGCGCCGAGGGCGACGGCACCGATGAACTCGGTACAGGCGGCCAGAATGCCCACCTGCCACATGCTCAGTGTGCGAGCAGCGACGGAGGTGGCGTATGAGTTGGCCACATCGTTGGCCCCGTTACCGAAGGCGCTGAAGACGAAGGTGATGGAGGTGAGGGCAAGGATCCAGTCGTATTTGGCGGTTGCGAGGGAAATCATCTTGGCTTCAAGCTGCAACAGCAGACTTGATATGAGGTATGAGAAGGAAATTGATGGATGGGTTGAGAATTTTTGCAGAGAGAAGCGAAGCAAGCTATATATCTAGATCAGCCGAAGAGGCGGCGGTCCGTGACCATCTCGCCAAGGCAGTTCATGTGCTTCTGGATGCTCTGAGATAGTCCATTGCAATCACCAACGTGAAGCCATAGCCCGTCCACATTGGCTGCTCGCTCTGATTTTTGCGACAACTTGATTCCGCGCTGGAGAGCGGACTTGGCGCCAAGGTCCGCCCAGCTCTCGGCGCACGACAACCACGAAGCTCTCAGCGAATCATAATGCAGTCTCCAGCACGTTCCTGATCTGCTGGTTTTCATTCAAAGCCAAGACAATCGTTATGGTTGGCTAGGTGCTCTTGCAATGTCCGTCTCGCCACTTTGGGTATCTCGGCGCGTGACTTGGCGGGAAGTTTCGAAGGCTGTTGCGATCGATTCTCAAATCACACCAGCTCAATTCCGAATGTTACTCGTCGACGTCGGTGGCCATTTCCAAATGCCGCGCTTTGCGTGGAGAATGCTTCCTACCGCAGCCATGGCGTTGACGGCCCGGTTGTGTCGTTCAGTAACACGAGGGAGCACGTGGGATACTTCTGGAATCGTACGGGTGCATTGTGCAAGGAATCTGATTTCAAATCATTATGATAGTCAGTATTCTTGCTTCAGTTTTGCAGTAACAAGGAAGAGAAGCCTCTGATTCGGCTGCCCAGCTATACAGTCTTGACGACGGTGTTTTTGGAGGCAAAAGAGATAGCCAATCCTAAACGACCTTGGCGATATCCAAAAGCAAGAAATTTATTGTCTTAGCCGACCGGACAAAGAGGTAGTCTACTCCCAAAGTAATGCTCGTAACTGCGTAGGCACAGCATGATGAGTGGTGCCATATGGAGTACCGACAGCACCTCTCCTGTCTCCTTCTCACTGCAAATTAGGAACGGTGCCAGCTGTGTCTTGAGATCTCCCGTCAGTCAACTGAATACATGTCTTCTTTACGAGTGTCATAAAGCAAGTCTTTTTCGATTAACTGGCAATCGTGGACACAATGTCATTAGAATAATGATGATTCGGACATTACAACGCTGAATCAAGCAAGGAACTTGTCCTTATTCAGATCCACCCACTCATGGAAGCGCAATGACGGTCTCCCAGTATACCGTTGAACACTTCCGCGTGCCTCCTCATACCCGGGCGTACTGAAGAAAGCCTCAGTTTCCTCCTGCTTGCGGAACTGGACAAGCAGGGTCTTCGCCACAGGCTCCGGCAACCCATTGACCGTCGTCAGGACCTGCACTGCCTCCTGCTCATCCACCTTGGTGACCTTGACTTCCTTCCCAGTGCCTGTGCCAATCACACCAACAGCCTCCCTCATCGACATCGTCTCCGGTCCAACAAGATTGACAAAATCCCTCTTGCCCCCGTCTTCACCCACCGGCAGCCCCTTCGCCAAAAACGTCCCCGCGACACTTCCAATATCCTCCGGCGCGATATAATCGAACTTGGCGTCCGGATATGCCAGCTTGACTTCGCCCTCCAGAACCCCACTCCTCCACATCATCGAGTTGCTAGCGAAAAACGCAGGCCGCACAGCCACATACCCATCCCCCCCGAAGACATCCTGCAGATTCAACTCCACCTGGGCATGCGTGAACGCAATAAAGTCGTTCGGTGAAATGGCGCGGAGATCGCCATACACGCTCATACTGCTTAGAAGGACGACCGTCTCGACACCAGCGCCCTTGAGCGCCTCGATACTGCCGCGCATCGAGTCCGTCGTGCCAAAGGCGACGTAGATGAACGCGTGCTTGGCGCCGGTCTTTGTCACGGCGTTGTGGACGGTCTCGGGCTTAGTGAGGTCGGCTTGGACACGCTCGAAGTTGCCAGAGGTTTCTTGTTCGGGAGTGAGGCCGGGGATGGACTTGTTGGTGTCGCGCATGGCGAGGATGACCTTTGCGCCGTGCTTGTGGGCGCTCAGCGCAGTGGCGGAGCCAACGCCGCCTGTTGGGCCGAAGACGATGACGGTTGGGGTCGACATTTTGGACTTGGGCAGATTGTGAATTGGGCTTTTTGCTATGGGATGATTGGGATGATGATGACCTTGTTGAGGGCCATTGTTCTGGTATTTATATTCAGATATCACCAGCATCATCAAGGCAGCACATATAGATTACCAACATATCGGTCTTTGCAATGTCCGATCGCCGGGCTGTTTTTGCACTTTGTTCGCCCATTCTAAAGTGCGACCGCGTCGGCCAGCGTTGTCCGATCCCCGACATGCTTGGTTGGACTTCACGGAGCATGAGATGCGTTAAAGGATCAAAGACTCATCATAGATTACAGATATTGTCCTTGATCGACGGGAATTTCTATGAATTCAACCGATGAGAAGATCAATGGGTGATGTTAATGACAACGTAGTCTCATTGCATTACAGGCTGGTGACTCAACTCGACCAAATAATATAGTATGTACACTTTCTCAACAACTCTGCCTTTCTCCGACCCAAGCAAAGTCATACCTCCCCTTGCCTGTGTTCAACACTCTGACCAGGTATGAGGGGCTCCCGCTCTTGCAGTCCCCATTCCCCCTCTCCAATCCTCTTCCCATAATATTTGACGAGCAGCCCAACCGTCATCGGCCCGAGGATAGTGTTAAGAAGAATAGCCCAAACGGCAGTGATGAAGGCCTCCTCACTCACATAGGATGTCTCGTTATACCCGATCTCGATGATAAGCAGACCAATCTCACCGCGCGCGACCATCGCAGAGCCCAAGAGCAACCCAGACAACCAGGTGGTATTAGAACGCGAACTCCCATTTTTCTCACGCGCTGAGCCGTTCTGCAGCTCCTGCTCACTATTCACTTCCTTGGACAATGCCTCCCGCTTGGAAGGCCTCAGAAGTGGAACATATTTCCATAACGGAAGCCAGATACCAACCGCAAACTAATCCAGTCAGAGCATGCTCGACTTCTCAAGGCTGAAGGGAAGTACATACCTTAGCAACGACCATCAGAAGGGAAAACACCACCCCCCTCCAAATCCTCTTCCCCGTCCAAAGCTGCACAAACGGGATGGCAAACCCGATACTAGCGAAGAATAGCGGCTCCATCAGATAGGACTGCACGTCCAGCAGATACGCCTCAAAGGTATGGACGAATGTGGGACTCTTATGCGCTTCTCGCTCGCCTTCCTCGCGGCTCATGACCACAAACGGACCCGATGGATGCTTGGTTGGTATATAGGTCAGAAAGCTTCCGGCGAGGAAGGCGCCGAAAAGGACGGAGGTACCCGCGTATGCGGCGATGGTGACGAATGCGCAGAGGACCAGCACCATGAGGATGAAGTTTGAAACATGATCGTAACGCGCAAAGGCATGCTCGATATACCGTCGGAAAACCTTTGCAAAAAAGTATTTTGTAAGGATGGGGGTGAGGATGGCCATGGCGAAGGAGGCGACGATGGGCCGGCCGATGATCCAGCCCAGGTTAACGTTGCCTCCGCCGGAGAGCTTACCAAGATTGGCGATTATGCTGTTCGATGATTAGTTCTGGCTTGTGCTGTGATTAAGAGGTAACGGCGGTTTTGATACCTCAATAGGACGAGACCGACGACATCGTCAATGACAGCAGCGCTCACAAGCACCGCGCCCACTCGTGTCTGTGCAAGGTCTATAGATCTAGATGCTGATTTCATAACTGCAAATGTGGTGCCTATTATAACGTGTCAGAAGATGTAAACGGCTAAGGGGAGACGGAGAGATACCCAGAGAAGTGGCTGATAACGCAGCACCGACGATGAAGGTTTCCACGGGTCCTGCTTACGCTTAGCCAGGCATACTCCTATAACAGCAAGGACGGCATACCATATCTAAATCCAAGGTAAAGCAGCAAATAGGAGAAACCAATCGGGAGGAGAACCCCAACCGCGGCTCCCAGAAGACTGAGAATAAAATTCTTCTTGAGAAGATCGAGACGAGCGCTAAGCCCTCCTACATACGGTTAGTTTCATCCCACGCGCTTGAGGGCCAGACATACCCTCGAAGATAATTAAGATCAACCCGACATATCCTAACACGAGAAACGTCTCCTGCCAGTACTTATCTAGGATGTTTGCTAAAGGTAACCCATAAATGATACCTACTGCAATCTGCCCGATGATTCCGGCTTGGATGACCCTTGCAGAGACCCATTCCGCCAGAGAAAGAAAGAAGAAAAATGAGATTACGATTAGAATCTGGACGACTGGACACCATCGTCAGTTCGGAATGTGTGCTGACCGGGCGTCTGACTTACTGTTTGGCTCGTGATATGGCAGGAAACTGCCTGCCATGTCCGTTTTTGTAGTTTCTCCTGTGAGAAGCAGTCACGAGAAGCTATATACCAGATGTCATCCGAAAAAGAGTTGTAGGCATATTACTGAAGTCGGATATGACGAAATACGCCGCAAATGGAACATGTCACGTGCCGTGGCCATATGGTGACGTCTGCCCAGATGAAGACTTCCGGTTCAGGCATATTCTGGCTCCATGTTGAAAATTGGTTTAAGAAGATCCAAGAGTAGGGAAACCCACTTGAAGTAGTGGCTCGCTTTCTCAAGGAATGAACGTGCTGCAAACAGTTCGAGTCGATCCACATTGGGCCCAACAGAGCAGGCGAAATTTCCCGCCAATGCTCTTGGCCTGCGGACGGGACTTGGCGGAGATCTTGGCATTATGTGAAGAATAGGCAGTGATTTCTGCGAAATGATAGAGCTGCTGGCGCTTTATCGACTGTATTTATATTATGATGAGCTCCTTTCTACACCCGCTTGCTGCTCAGGTCTATATCCCTCAGTATTGTCAGCAACCTTAGTAGTTTACGACTCGTCTCTTATAAGTTATCTCTAGGCGGCACCTTAAGTTCTTAACCAGTCTATTAAAGTCAAAGACAAGCACAATGATCCAAGTACATAGACATGGCCTTGAATCACTTTGTATACAAGGTTCCCGCCTGAGGTTTGCCAGCGCATATAGGCCATCATCGCTCAAATAGGCGGACAGTACTATCTATTGCTCATAATTTCATCATCCGCCACATTCCCGGATTTTACGCCATCTTCTTCAATCCCAAAGTAAAAGACATAATTTCAAACTGCCGTAGAAACTAACGAGCTCTGGCGATAGGTACTCTGACCATGAAACCTCTGATGATGAGATTTGCGATTATGTATTGACTGACGATGAATCCACTGACAACGAAAGGTTGGATGTCAGCTTCACAGGGAGTGTTCTTAACATCGATAGAAAATATCTTGATTGAAGAGCAACTCGCGGAAGTCCTCGACGATTGCATGGGACACCTCAAGTCCTGACACTGGCATGCTATGTAGAGATGCTGCAGAATCGTTAAGAGTATGTCTCTTCCATAGCTGTTGGGACTTCTTGCTCACAGACTACCCATGTGCTTGACCCAAAACTCTTCGAGGGGATGGAGGACGTCGAGGAGAATCGGAAAATCACTGAATGTCATTTCTGCCACAAGATCATTTGAGGTATTTTCATTCACAAATACCCGGATCACTTGTGCGTGGAATGGCTGGGATATTCACTCCTACAAAACCTCCGACTTGCCTTGGAAGGCCGTATTCACTACAGTCAGATTTGATCATATTCACCTTGGTAGATATACAATGTTTCTGCTTTCTTAGCCTCACAAGTCTTCCTTCGCTCAATCTACTTCTACTTCTGGTCATAATCATCTACAAGATCAGACGATTGAAGCTTTGCTGTCAGGGGTTCGGCTTGAACTAGTCCTGAAATCGGCTCTTTGGTGAGCAATAAGATACTAGAGGTCAGTCGGGCGACTTTGCTATCCTAGTGAGCCTCATTGATTTCCCAATTCACTTGACACAGTGACTGACTCCAGAATCTCTCCGGCGTATAGAGCCTTCCTGAGACAAGATGTTCATTTTGAAAAGATGCAGAGAAAGAAATCGCTCGCACCCTCGCTCGCAGTCAAAGATCTTGTATTGTTCTCCTTGACCCCGTCCGCGAGCTCGACTGGGCAACAAAGAATGGCACAGAACTTCGCAAAGATAATAAGAACCAGTCACACCAAGATGCCGTCATTCTCCAAGTCCGCGGCGATACGAGTGCGGAACCTTGTTCACAGTGTTCGAACGGAACAGGCACATTCCAGTCGTGCGTGTCTGCTCCCGAATATGTCGTAAATGGTAAGCGTTAAGCATTGTTCGTTGGCGCCTGCGCCAGATTGGATAAACCTCACACCGGGTTGAATCTACAGAATAGTAGAACGACTATCTCATGACAGTACGTTAGGGTGATTGTGCTTTCCGTCTTGTTATTGTGGTAGCAAGAGGCGGACACCAGTCGTGACTGCTTACATACGAAAATCACACACCAAGTCCCCATCTTTGTCAGAACCCGTTCTGTTTGAACGCGGGGAGTTCCATAAGAAGGAGGCAAGTGAAAAGCCAGACAGATCCGGCTTGGAAGGGAGTGTGAGGCCCTAGTCGAACGCGAAAGCCGGTGTGTTGCTGGGCGAGCGGTCCCAGGATTCCAACAGGCGACGTCCAAGGGGGTCTTCGGTTCATGAAAAATTTTCTCCACAACACCCATCTTCCAATCCTAGTTCTAACTGTCAGCCAGCACCCCCTTTTATCCACTTTTGAGTCTAATTACCGAATCACGAATAATCACAATAGTGGCGTCTGAGATCATTCCCGGTGGCGTTGGGGCTGAACTGGAGGACCCTCGCCGCCAGGAGCTGATTGATAGGCTGGACCGAGCTCGAAGTAGCGCCTTTGGCCAGGATCCCGGCAATGCAGACTGTGCTCAGGAAGTTTGGGCCGCCCTGCGGCTTTCGGCAACGGAACTGGTATCCAGGCCAGATATGTTGAGCATATCGGGCGGCAAATGTCTTGGACAACTCTCTATCTCTTATTTCCCAGTCTCCAGAACAGTGCACAGCTCGATCCGGATAATATCAATGACCCACGAAAATGCCATGACCATGGAGGCTTCACTTCACTCGGAGTTTGGCAGGCATAAGTTTGCACTCGAATCAACTGATGTGCGAAGAAAGACGAGCTAAAGAAGCAGAGAGTGTTCGTCACTGCATAGTCTCTCCCATCTTCGCAGGTTCTTGTGCCAACTGTATCTGGAAACAGTCGGTCAGCGCGATGCTCTTATCACTTGTAAAAATGGCACTTGACCACTTGGACGATTTGTACGTTGTTGTTGAGCAGTGAGCACCTGTTAATTCTTACTGGCTGCGGTAACATGCTGACTGAACTAGGACGGTCTTGCAAGGTGGTGGCTACTGGCCATGACAAAGGAGGGTCCCAGAGTCAAAGATCTCCTTGTGGAGGCCATCGAAGATTAAGCCCGCTGTTGTCCGTCGGGCTCCTCAAAAGAAGGCCATTGTCGTCGTTTCGCCTTCGGTTGTCCCCAGTCCTGTGCCCGATTGAAGGGAAAGAGACGTGCCATGTCGTCCGTGATGTTCATATCGTCGACCCCCTCAAAGAAGTCCCGTGGTCAAAAGCTTGTCCATCCGTGGAGCATCATACCCACAACAGACGAGGAAATTGTCAAATTTGCCATTGTTGACTGGCTCCAGGCAGTCTGCCTGAAGATGCCTGGGGTACACGCAGAATGGATAGGCAGCCGTTACCGGTTAAGGGCGCGGTTTGGGTCCAGTGAGCTTGAGGCTCGGACAGATGGAACTCCTCGAATTTAGAACCCGTTGCATGGAAGGGTCCTGCGCTGACCCATCCGAAAAGAAGTGGAAAAAAGTTCTAGATCTCGTCTTTGTCAAGGACAAGAACAGCGGATTATGGTATCAGGCGAAATCAAGACACACCGGGCTTTTACCAGGGGGCGACAAGCAGACCTAAGACCAATTTCTGGCAGCGGGGTCGGTAGGTTCCTCCGATCCAACGTCAAGAGACTTGAGAGGTGACGGATAAGGACAACTCGCGCGTTACATGGACGATCATAAGTCGTTCTATGGCTTCTTCTCAACCTATGAGAAGACGTGGTTTATTGTTCGGGACGACATATAGCATTTTCTCGCCTCCACAGCAATCTCTGCCGCAGTCCTCGCTTCGAGCAGGCATACGTGCAATTCTCAGGACAAGAGCTGTCCGAGATCCACTTACTGACAGAATCATTAGGATAGCTTATAAGCCCCTTCACGAATCAATCATTGCATTTATCAACAGAAGAAGGACGCTTGCTTGGCAACGTGGGCTGGGCTCGTGAATCCAGGCGCAGAGCCAAAATCACTACCCGTTACACAGTTGAAAAGAGTGGAAGTTGAAAAAATTTTCAGACTCCAACGCAATAACGATTATGAAAGCGTGTGGCCGCAGCATCCTCCCCAGGTTGATCCTCACAGAACCAGCGTCACTTGGGTCTAACTGAGGAATCTCATTCAGGATACATGATGTGATGTCATCTATAAGAAAGTTCGCTGCACTGGCAAACTCAGTGATGTATTCTTTTTTTTAGGACAAAGTACCTCTCATAAGGTCAGTTAAGAACAAGGCCAACAACATAGGATAAGTCATTTGGGGGGATGTGCTGCACCCCAAGTGACTCAGGGATGCCTAAGGCGGTAATCACACCCCTTTCTTGGCTTAAAATGATTGCAGACACCTCAGGCATCTTGCCTACCAAAGTGGGCCAAGGGAACAAATTGCCCTAGCTGAATTGATTAGGGCTTAGTCTGCTTTGGGATTAGCGCAGCGCACACTCCACACTGTTCTACAGAGTATACACTCCACAAAATCTTCCCTCTTTAGCTAATAAGAAACATTCTTGGCCTTTACTGACCTGAATTAGACAGAGTACTCCATATGTACGACTTCGTCTTATCAGTCTTCCTTCTCTAGGAAAGGATCTACTTTCCTAGTCCTGTTCTTAGCTCTAACTTTCTATAGCTACATGCATAACAGAACCATGTCTACCCATTCAACCTAAATGGATGTCGACAATGCTCCAGCTCAATTATCCCTAGTGAGATAACATTCAACCACAGTGATATACCATGGTTCCCCGCTATCAGCAGATGCCCCTTCTCTACCTCCTCCAGATAACAGGGAAGCTCTTTTGCTGGAACTTAGCCAGGCACTTAAGACGCAGGCTGTACCTGCATCATTTTAGGCCTACCGCCAAGTAGCGGACCTATCAGCATTAAGGACTTTCATCCAAGAAGCTCAAGCAGCACCACGCTTATGCGAAATGTTATCCAACACCTTCTACGCGCTTCCCCGGGGCGACTATAGTACGGACTGAGTATTCATCTGTGGTCTTGATTGTTCGAGCCTGCAGAGCCTTGCCAACCGACCGGCACCCGTCGACTGCATTGGTTGTTGTCTTCTCCTCGATTGCTCCTAGCAACCAACCTGGAACAGCACCAGACCACCCTAGATGGAGCAATCGTGAATTTCCACCTGATCCTCCTTCTCCAAGAACTCATTAACTTGAGGGGGTTGTCGAGCCTTGAATGCATGATCACCCATGTGCGATTTGTGCTGAAGTTTGGAACCAACTCCTTCACGAGTATTGTTGATGGTGTGGTGCAGTGCAGGAGGACCAAAGTGGTTCTGTCCATACTCAAGGTCAAGCTAATAGCTAGATATGCCAATGTAGTTCCTGTCCAGATGCAGGAAATGGCCGAGGCAATTGGATGGCTAAAGCCCCAGTCTAGGGAGTTCCCCTGCTCAGGGATGGGAGGTAGATATACCCATCATTATTAAGATGATTTCGATGAATACATGGCTAACAGATCAGTCGCCTTGTGATATACCAGGGTCGTCACGAGGTATTCCTGACTCTCGCGACACCAATGCCCCATTACGTTGATATCAGCAATGATTCCGGGCGTCAAGCGTGGCTTCCATGACCATCACCGATGTGTCACCAAGAGAGTGCTTTCTGTTCTTGAGGATGGCGGCTTCGTCGGACATTGAGTTGTTCTTGATTTTCGATTCGGGACTAATCTGGTAAACTCGATTCCCCTTTCTATTCAGAAACACTGCTGACCAAGAAGCCCAAATGTGGTTATTATCCACCATAAGAATCGCTCGTCCCGTGGATAAGTCTCGATGTGTGGTCGGTCAAGGCACCTCAACAAAAGCGGTTAACGAAAACAAAGCCATATACGACCTACAATTTACGACGCGAAGCATGATCCGTCGAGCTAGGGTCGTCAAGAGCATATGCACTGGATATAGCATTCCCATTACTCATCCGTCCAAACCGTTCCCCTGTCAAGCAAGGACCATTCAAAATCAAACGACGTGTGGGACGCTAGCCTATGAACTCGAACTACCTCCCTCATGGAAGATACACAGTGGTCTCTGTCGTTCGTCTTGAACAGCCACACCCTGAGGCCTTATACCACCGACAGTGTCTGAGTACGAGACGCAGGTCCTGGGCTTGTCGACGGACAGGAAGAGCACGGATTGAACGCGTCTTCAAGAAATGCGCTGAAGAATGCCTCGTCCACCGGGAGAATGCGGACATACCTGGGAACAATTTCGGGATTAAGGGAAAATTTAAAATTTACATGACTTGTTCCATAAGTTACGCCAAATCGGACTGGCCCTCTGATCTACAGGAGATCCAGCCCAAAACTCCAAGCCGCTAGTCACCGCTCTTGGGCGTCTTGACACTTAGGAAATTTTGATTGCAGCGAGAATGCACACTATAGGAGTTGTCGGGAGACAACTCACGAACATGATCCACTGTTGTACGCCTTTGTTGGTTTCCCGTAGCTCACAGATGGATTGATCATCGAAGGCGTGGAAGAGTGGGATCAGCAGCACATTCCATTGCTGAAGGTTCGATGGACAATTTGGCCCCCAAACAAGGGTCCAGAAATCAGAAGTTGATTGGTTGAATCGTATTAGCCCACAAAATAGGCTTGCTCTTGGCTTTGCACTGCCCACATGGCGACTCCCACCAGTCACTTTAGGGTCCAAGCGTTGACCCTTTCCAGCATGATCAGCATCATGTCGAACCAGTTCATTTTGTACGTTGGTTTGATTTGTCATCTATTCGAAGCGTTCGTGCCACTCCTAACTAGAGAGGTAGTCTCTTTTAAAAGATCCAGCCTGCAATATTGATCACTGATTGGCGCATACGACGTGTCCGTAAGCCGCAAGGTAGAGCCAGCTGAAGGATCGGCCTTTTTCTAGCCCGAAGCGACACCCTCACAGTCCCACCGTCAGCCTCATCCTACCGGCTCATTTCTGCAATTTGGCACTTCTGCAGTCCAGGCATGACCCTTATCCAATGGTTTCTACCCAAGACGTTGGACCTTACGACCCCTACATGGCCCACGTGCCAGAGACTCCATTCATCAGTCAATAAATTCCCCCGACACCGTTCGTCCGCACGTAAGCCCGAGCAATGTTTCTTGTGCTGACATGACTCCTGAACCGAGATCTCACCCGTCATAATGCTCTTCTCCTCGTCGTCAGCATCATTCGCTGTGGTGCTTCTGTTAACACAATGGGCCCATTCCACGATTGCTGCACAATGCTATTTCTCCGACGGCACCGAAGCGGACAGCAGTTTCCAGCCTTGCTTCCCGGATCAAGAGAATAGCCCCTGCTGTGCGAATAACAAGCCCAAGAGCATGGCCAACGACATTTGTTTGACGAGTGGCCTGTGTCTGGCACAGATGCAGGGCTACAGCGGGTTGATATATCAGAACGGGTGTACCGATCAAACCGGGAAGAGCAGCCAGTGTCAGACGATTTGTTCGGGCTGTAAGTGCGATCGACATCCTTCTAGTGGTTAAGTTCGACTGTTAATGGGTTTGCGTATAGCTGCATCGGGCGGGATCCACCTTCTCCCTTGCCCGGCCAAGGGTGTTGACCAGTGGTGCTGTAGCATCAACGGGACGAACTGCTGCGATAACGCGGGGACAGTCACGATCGGCACTATCTACGGATACACGAGCACATCGTCGACTTCGACATCGACAGCCACCGGGACCGGAACCGGAACGATAGCCACAACGACCGTCACCACAACAGCGACAGCCGGCAACGGTACAGAAGTCTGCGCGGATTCGAGTTCGAAGACGACCGCGGTCGGGGCTGGGGTTGGCGCTGGTCTGGGTGCCTGTTTGGTTGCGACGCTATTTGCGCTCTGGTTCCAGCGACGGGCGTATCAGAGGAAACTGCAGCAGAGTGGCGGATATGCGGGATACGGTCCCACCAGCCCTGACATGACATACGCTCAGTCCGGGTATTCGCATCCGTCGAGTGGTGCTCAGCAGGTTGTCTCTGAGTTGCACTCCCCTCACGGAGTCATCCATGAGGTGGATGGAAGGGAGGCACGCAAATGAGTGTTCCCTCGTGCGGTATATGTATTGGTGACGGGAGCCAACACCTGCGAACTCGCCGTGCGTAGATGAGGAGAGGGTGAGCATGGGATTCTGTTACACCAGTCCTCAGACCGCAATTTCCGACCAGATGAATGTGCCACGTTGTGAAACATACTCCTTGCTTTCGACAACCCGCAATCCCCAGCTCACTCATGGAGGCCAAGTAGTAACCATGCTAGGTTCTGCAGGGAAAACCGGGCAATGGGCTTTGGTGCTATTTCGGGAGATGCCGTCGTAGGGCTGGAGTTAATCAATAGGCTCATTTGTCTGGATTTGGTTGGTGGAGTAAGATTCTATTGGATATTTACAACCTTACAGACTAGATTAATATTTGTTGGCAGATGATGCGATCCATGATGGAGACGGCTCCATCTACTGCGTCATCGCCTGTTTCTTGGTCATCCATGCCCCAACTGGGATTGCGATCTGCACCGGTGACATCGGTGGAAATAAACAATCAACCTCAAATCTATAAATTGACTCCCCTAATATGCGTAGTATTGTGATCTTTACTATCCGTTAAGTAAATTTGCGGTGAAAGTAGTGGTGGACTCAGGATCCGGCCGTGGTTATATATATCAACATGCATCGTCTCTCCGCACTCCTCCTGGCCATAGGGTCTGTCACCCTGGCAGACACCAATACGGATAACTTCAATCCTCTCCACCATTTGGCCGGAATCTCCCCCTACTTTACACCAAATGACCCTCAACTGGACCCGTCCGCGCCGCAGGGCTGCAACGTCACCCGCGCAGCGTATCTTGTCCGTCACGCCGCCATCTACGCCAACGATTTTGACTATGAGAGCTACCTCGAGCCATTCATCCAGAAGCTACAAAATACAACACAAGATTGGTCCAAAGCGGGAAGCCTCTCATTCCTGAGCCAGTGGAGCGCGCCCATCACTGAGGCCCATCTCGAGAAAATCACCCGAGTCGGTCTGCAGGAGTCGATGATGCTTGGGGTCAACATCCACGACAAGTATCCGGACTTCAAGACACCAAAGAATGTATGGGCTTCGACAGCCGAGAGAACCGTCAAGACCGCACAGGAGTTTATCCTTGGATTCACCGGCGACCAATCGACCCAGATCAATCTCACTCAGGTCGGGGAATACAAGCACTCCGGGGCCGACTCGTTAACTCCATACAAGAGCTGTCCGGCATACAGCTCCAGCTACGGCTCCGACCAGTCGAGCGTACGTCCCTGCAACTCAGCCCCTAAACACCGAGCTAACAACACCAGGAATTCGTCTCCCGCTACACCAAACCCATCATCGCGCGACTCCAAGCCCAAGCCCCATCCTTCAACTTCACCTCCGACGACATCGTCGCCATGTTCGAGCTCTGCGGCTACGAGACCGTCATCCGCGGCTCCTCGCCCTTCTGCTCCCTCGACCTCTTCGCCGCAAATGAATGGCTCGCCTTCGAGTACGGGAACGACATCATGTACTTCCACAACACAGGCTACGGCCGCGAATTATCCCCCAGCATCGGCTTCCCCTGGGTCAACGCAACAAAAACCATCCTCGCCGACGACTCCGCCCCCCAGGACCTCTACGTCTCGTTCACGCACCGCGAGCTGCCACCAACGGTGCTCACCGCGCTGGGCCTATTCAACAACAGCGCCTACACAGGCGCATACGACGTCAACGCCACCATGCCCGCGGACACGATCAACTACGGCCGCGTGTGGAAGAGTAGCCAGATCCTGCCGTTCTTGACCAACATCGCGATTGAGAAGATGTCGTGCGATACCTACGGGTATGACGACGGGACGTACTACCGCGTTCTGGTCAATGAGGATCCGCAGCCGCTTGTTGGGTGTCGCGACGGGCCGGGGGAGAGCTGCTCCGAGGAGGCGTTTGGGCGGTTCGTGCAGCAACGGGGGGAGATGTATGGGGATTTTGGGAAGGCGTGCGGGGTGGATTATGAGAATTCGACGGATGTGTTGTCGATTTATCAGGCTGATAGCCGGGTACTGTGATCTGGCTTGGCCAGATCCGTACTCTTGATTGAAGAGAACCTCTAACTCATCATACTGCCGGACCACATTAATAGCAACCAGTCATGCATTCATAATCCCCAAACTATCACAATCAAGCCAACTCACAGCTATCTACAAGCCCCAATCCCCCTACAAGCCTCATACGGCTCCCCCACCGCATCCATATACCTCTTCGCATCCCCCAGGAACCCCCTCCGATAGTCCAAACACCGCTTGTCCGCAAACAACCCGCCCCGACAACTGACGTCCAGCGCATACCGGAAGAACTGTCCGTTGCCGCGGACGTTCTCCGCGCCGCCCTGCTCTGCGTGGCGGATCTTGGCGTCTACGCTCATGGCGTAGTGCATGCAGTCTGCGCAGTAGGCGGTGTCGCTGTGGGTGGATGACCCGTGCCGGGCGTAGAGGTAGAGGGCTGTTTGGTTAGTATTGGAACCTGGGTGTGGATGAGGGTGCGTACCGCATGTGAGGGTGAAGAGACAGATTACAGTTAGAATTAGATGTGTTAAGGTGGGTTTTGGCTTTGTATTCATTGTGATGAATAGTGACAGGTCTTAATAGCTTTGATAAGGCAGCAACCTGGGGAGCCGGGGAAAACGTGGGATATGGAGATCGATAGATGGTGCTAGGCCTGATCTGGATGTCGGATCCAGATTAGGAATAGCTCGATCATACCTTAGGTCTTCTAGTGTGAGACAGTGAGAGAGAATGATGAGGTAAATGATATTGTTCATTTCAGCTAGTGAACAGTCAAACTCATTCTATAGGAATATTGTTCAGTTGTGTGGAAGCCAGTCCAGTAGCAAATCAGTTGCAGCAAATGATATCAGCCAAATTCTCTTGATATGTGATTCATTCCTCGCATTGTCCAGCTGCCTCTGCCAACATGAGGTGAAGATATCCAAGGAAGTACCTAAAATCCTCCTCCAATAAATATGCGTAAGTTCGAAAGAGCTGAACACATGATTAGCTTGTAACCCCCAATTCCTCTGCAAGGTCTCACATTTGACTTGTTATCAATCTTCAAGATCTGGAAGGAGTAACCATCAGTGGCAATCCCATATACCACTCGGTTCTTTTCCCCTCTCTCCTTCCGATTCCTATAAACTATTCCTGTTTTCTTGGTTAACATTTCCTCCTCTTGGTCCCGCTGTCTGAGGAAAACAAGTCATCACTAATTAAGCTTACCCATATACGCCAACAAAGGATTCTCGGCATCACCCCTTTTCTCATTCGCCACGACGACAGCGAGCAGATCTCTTCGCTGCCCCTCCGGGTTGGTGAACGTGATGGTATGATCGGAACAAGCAATCAATCGCCGTGTCTCCATCGCAAAAGGGTGGTACATGTCCTTTTCTTTTCTGGTGCCAAGACGAAGCTCATACTTGCCAGCAACAGTTCGAGCCTTCTCAAACCGCTCCACTGCAGCTTCCAGGTAGGGCAAGAGGACAATACGGCATCTCTCCTGAAGATACTTCTGTGGGTCGCGCTGAGATTGCCTTTTTCTTCTCTAATTTCGCCAGCTCTGAATCTGAGACCGTGTCAGTCCGGCTTTGTACGTCTGGGGAAAGGGAATAGAAAAACGAACAAATTTTTGGGTCCAAATCGTAGGGTTCTGAGTCGTAATCTTTCCAGAGTGGTTGAGGGTTCATACTGTGCCAGGCGTCATAAGCCCAGCATGGTTGGATCTTCAGTCGAAAGTTCGACAAGAATGTGTTAGGGGTGTACGACTCAGGATTTGAGGCAAACCAGGGATGGACACCTAGAGCGGGCTCTGTCGCTTCAGGATCGGATGTGGTGATTAGGAGCCCTAATAGGATTAGTTCATCTCTTTTCCGACCAGTGCTCTTCCTCAACGCTCGTTTGTAGAAGTAAAGATATGCATCCATGTAGAGGCACTTGAGGGCATTCATTTTGGCAGATCTGCTCGCAGAGTTGTGGTGCTTGAATGATGGCGCAGGTGGTGAGTTGTAGTCATTCCTTTTCCTCAACATATACGTCATTCTGAGCGCTTTATCTTATTGTCGTCGCGATTGCTGACTCGAAGCAGCTTGTTCTTTTTGTTTCCTCATTTCTGAGGGCTTTTGTATCCATCTATACATAAGGCTGAAGAGACAAGGTCTAAAAATAACCCAGCAACTGGGCGCTTAAAGGGTACATAGCCCTAAGGAAGGAGAATATTCTAGCCTACAACGGAGAGTACCTTAAGTTGGAGCTCATTGATCAGGACCTATTAGCTACTTATTATCTATCTTGATTGTATGTGGCAGGTGTTGGGCTAATGTGATAAAGAATATGGTTTCTCTGTGAAGGGAGAGTAGAGTCTCCGAGATCATCATGGAATAATCTGCCTTGTCCATCAAGACAAAAATCATTCACTGGAAACAAAGAATCAACCGAGAGTATTAACTAACAAAGGTCCAAAGTATTCCACTGCAAGTGAATAGCCGCCATCATCTATGCTATATAAACCCCTACGATCCCCTCTCTCTTCATCTTCCATATTCTCCCCTCATCAGTCCTGGAAGCCCTGAAACCTGAAACCACACCCACCCAACTTATATTTCCTTCATATATACATAATAAATGCTTGCAACCTTTTTCCTCTCCCTATTATATCCCTTTTTTCTAGCGGGGATCAGAATGCCGAACATCCAGTCGACAGGAGTGTATGCTCAGTAGCTATGGAGCATCCAGCTACGACACAGGTAAGGAGCCCTAACCTCCAAGGATCATATCAAGTCTCATAGAACGCGGGCACAGAGTCCAGCCCCGGAAGGCCGCGAAAGGATGCCCCGATTGGGACATACTACAGGGGGCTCTTGATGGCAGCATCACCTTGCACTATGCAAGGTGGGAGGATTATGCGGATGCCAGAGGAGCGGACGGTACCTAGGCCCTCTGCTCGAAATGGGTTATTGGATCGGAAACGAGGTCGGAACGTTGGGACAAGACGCCGCCAAATATCAACAGCACAAGAAAGATAAATGGGTCGTACTGAACTTCCCTTCTGCTGGCTGGGACTATAGACCCCATTTTCTTTGACGGATCTCGAGGACTAAGGACGTCCAGCGCTCGTGTGCTGTGCCATTGCTGATTTTCCCGGGCGTCCAAGTTTGATACCTTGTTGACGTTCCACGATGAGTATCGGGCGATCAGAGACGGGGACTATGAGGGCACAGTAACTGGCGTCTGGAATCTAATACTCAACCATTATTTTAACCAAAATAATGGTTTTGTCCACCGGACAGAGGACAAGGTCCAAGGGGGCTTTGTGGACATGAACAGCTACCAATGGGTAGTTTGATCCAATATAGCCAGGCGGGTGAGAATCCAGTCCTCATCACGCAGTGCAAGCGGACTTCAAGGGAGAATGACGAATCGACCTGGGAGGAGGCCAAGGACCAGCTACGGAGATACATGCGAGCCCCCACACAGTGTGGAAGGAGAGGTCAATGGAGTCTGGAACTCCATATTGAACAGGGCTTTTGACCCAGTCAATGGGTTCATTACGCAGCCGCAATCAATGCATACCCGAACTGGAGGAGCCAGGGGGTTTTCAGACTTCAATAATGGACCCCTTCTCAAGATAGGATACTGGATAGGCAGCGAGGTGGGCACGCTGGGACTATACGTCCCCGTCTGCCTTGGCAGGTCGAATATCCCGAGATTGGGGCAAGAATGACCGTAACCGAGCTCTTGATGCGGTCTGGATCAGTCAACTCCAGGATGGGTTCAAACTCGGAATTCGACGATTTTCACAGCCTGACAGCCTAAAGGCGAGCACAACAGCGTGGCGCCAGCCATGCCTTTCTGTGCGTACTTTGCGCATGCCTTTTGCTTTTGACGCATTTGCTGACTTTTCCAGTTTCCTGCGTCGGCCCTGCGTTTGGCTCGCAGCGTTGTTTTGTTGTCTCGCGCTGCTGCACGGGCCTCTGATGCTGCTAGTCAACTACCACCACCGACCCTCCAGCTTTTATTGAAGTTGCCAACGTTTCCTCACGTGTTCGCATCATGGCTGCAGGCAAGTGCACAGCAAAAATCAAGTTCGGGAAAATAGAACTGGATTGCCCGTGTGCAAATACCTTCAAGGTAAAGCACGAAAGCGCCCGGGAAGGGTCGACTATTCACTATGGTACGCCAGCTTCTCGGAGATGTCCTCCAATCTTGCCGTCATTGAGGCAAAGAACGAGAAGACACTCGACGAGGCCAAGGCACAACTCCTTTGCTACATGGGTATTCAAATTTCCCATTCCCCGCTTGTCGAAGCAAAGGAGGACAGTACCCACAGAGGAAGCTTGGCTACTTTGGCTGTCAAGATGTCGACAGGCAGGACACTCATACCCAAAAGCATCGGGGGAGACGGCAGAGAACCCGGTGCTGAGACCCGCGAATTTCTGTCTTTCTGTCCACCAGACATCCAGCCAAATACATGCATAGTAGCGCTGTGCGGTGCAAACGATTGGCCTGACGAGTAGCAGCCATGATCCACCGGATCCGCAAGAAAGGCGGCAAGAGAGATAGCACCGTGTACGGTATTATGGCAGATAGCCATACCTTCGTCTTCTGGAAGCTGGACAACGACGCGGTGGTTAGAGACCAATTCCATCAAAGGTTACTTCAATACATATACTGATCTGCTCCTCTAGTATACCGAGAGCCGCCCATACGAATGGCTATACGACGCCCCGTGCATCCTCGGCTACATACGCCAAATCGTCCGCTCGGCCATCCATTTGAGCCCTACGACTTTTATGGACACTACGGCACCCCGGGTTTCTCTAAGTTTAAGAATCTTATGACTGTGGGTATCCGAAAGCTGCTCATTCCATGGGAAGGGTCTACCGCTCAGTGGGATAATATGGCCCAAGACTGAGCCAATACGCAGGTCTGCATTCCAAGCAAAAAGCGTTCTTTTGGTCGATGCGATCCAATTACAATGACCACCTTCCATAAAGCCTCATCATGGCTTATCGGCATGGCGTTGTGATCGCCGATGGGTGGATGGATACTGGGAAGCCGTCTCAATTTTGACGCAAGTGCCATACAAGAGCCTAAGGACCCTCTGGGATCTGTTTATTGAAGATCAATGCAGCACCGGGAATAAGCATCGTCATAAATGCAGGTCGTTTCAATTATTCAGTAATATGCAGTCATGGCCATGAACAAATATGTGGGAATCAGATTAACATGCTCAATAGCACAGACGATCAAAAAAATCCGAGAGTAAATGGTCATCAAGCGTCGGCCAACAGAATGTATATATCATACCCGCACCGCATCAATCAGTCTCGGGTCGCTGGCCGTAAATGATATGTACCCTTGTGTAGAGATGGTAGGTCTGGTAATCCCGCAGTTCCTTGCGCATGCCCGCGACAAGGACCTCGATCTCGGGGCGTGACCAGCCGAGATACCGTGTGAACAGGGCGAAGGAGTAGGGGCCGACGGCTTCGAACATGTTGACTTGGTGGAAGCGACCGAGTTCCTTGAGCTTCGGGTCCTTGGGCCAGGGGCTCTGGGGCAGCTGCAGGACCGTCAGTATGGCTTTCTAGCGCCGACTCCGACGTGAGTAATACCTTGTAGATGTCCTCGCGGACGTTCACAAAGCCTGCCTTCTCCATCTTCTCCTTCCATGTGGACGCCGTTGTCATGTCTTTCCCGTGCTTCTTGGATGCAAGATGCATGTTCTTGATCCCCTCAATCAGGTTAACGGCCTTGAGGTGGGTGCCGTCGTCGGAATACGAGTTGACGTCCATGGAGGCCATTTCTAGCCAGCCGCCTGGCCTTAGGTTCTCATATGCTTGTCGGAAGAGGTTGTCATGGTCGCGGATGGCTCCCTCTAGTTCACGACCGTGGATGTAATCGAATGGTTGGCTGTAGGACCAGGGTAATTCGAAGTCGTCGATCTCGAAGCGGCAGTTGGGAGGGATCCTGGGAAAATTAACGCGCTGTCCGAGAAGTTAGATCAAGGAAGGTGTACCAAGAAGGCTGGATGGGACTGAGATCGTTTCCTGTGAGCAGTCACTCTGTTAGCCATTTTTGCGATGCGCGCTCCTGCAGTCCACAACATACCGATCACCTCCGACTCGGGATGCTCGCTGTCGCATCACGTTAGTCGACTGTGTCCACCGCAAATGAATCAAGGAGTTCTCACTCGGCAAAATCAATCGCCCATATTCCAGTACCGGTTCCCATATCCAACACTCGGCGCGGGTTCTTTATCGGCGCGGCGTGCAGTTCGCCTTTGAGGAGGATGCGATAGATGTGGTGGCTCTAGTGGAGAGATAATCGATGAGCTAAGTCCGGACCCCGGTCAAGGGGGGAAAGTCGAGTCGGCACTAACCAGATCCAAGCGGTCTTGTTCTTGCTCGTCATTGGGCTAAGCGGTCAGCTTTCTGCATGGTGAGAATCATCGCAATTAAGGAAGGGTTATGTACCAGCACATATTCACCCTCGTGGAAGGAGTGATATCTGCGACCGTTCTAATGGAAGTTTAGCGGGTAGTCTGCGACAAACACAGCAGAGGCGGTACCTCGTAGCTGTTTCGGCTAGATTAGTCGCTGCAAAGTCACAAAAGAGGAAGAGATCAATGCGTACGTGTAGTTCATGGCACTGGATGTGATACTGGTGGTGTAGCTGGCATCTCCGAGCCTGTCGTTGTGTTAGTCTGGGTAGGTACCGGAGAGTGCGACAAAGAGGCGACTGACGAGCCAGGGTAGGCGGAGTCGGCATCGCTGAAGTCCTACTCATGCGTTAATCCCAAGGCCGAGGTATATATTGTGATGAGGCAACCAACATCAGGCTCGATGACATTCGGACTCTGCTGTTGTGGATGTGGTTGTGGTTGCGGTTGCGGTTGTGGAGTTGGAGTGGCCATGATGGTGGTGGTGGTGGTGGTTGAGGTGGAGGATGATCCGAGGGATGGAAGAGAACAAAGAACGGAAAAGTCAAGGCAAAAATAATAAGATTTCTTGGTCGATATGGGGAAGAACCAGAAAAAAACAAAAGCCGGTTAGACTTAAAAAGACACTTAGAAGACACTTAAAAAGTAGCACTGTGTGTACTCCGCGTGTTTAGTCCACCATGTACAGAGTATCTATCTACTCCGTACCACTGACAGGAAGAAAGTCAGAGGTGGTTTGCCGCAAGATCAAGAACAATGATTTTCAAGGAAGAATGTGACTTGTCAAGTTGCTGTGCATTTCCCGATCCTTTTTAAGTACCTTACTTACTGCCACTCGTGCAGCCTTCTTTAGCCTCCCGATTAGTACCACCCAGTCTAGCTAGAGTCTAGGCTTTTCCACTGCAATGTTCTCCCAATGATGGTCTTTATTTCCCAGAGATACTCCGTAGAATGCTGGATTTTCAGCACCCCTTACGAGAACGGATATTCTGCAACGTACTTTGTGCTCATGCAAGAAGGATGCCGAATCGCCGACCGACTGCCTAACCTGGCTGGGAGGACAAGGATTCAAGGCCATAAGGTCGATCGAGAGGCATCTTGTCCATTTTAGGAGACACACAGCGCTAGCGGGCTGTTAGACTCCGCTAGAGCGGTCCACAAGCGTTCAAGTACACCTGCGGGGCGTCGGATGTAGGTCTGGATGGGGAAGGTTAAAGGCCTTTGTGAGCCACTTAGACAAGCGGTCGTTTAGAATGCCTGCCCTGAAGAATCACGGTGTCTTTTGACTCGTTGGGGGACTGAGGGTGGAGAAGTACTGGTGGTACTAATGCGGGTACTGAGCGGATAGTAGTACTACATGGATGACTTTGACTTGTGTCACTGTTGAGTATTTGGCTTGGATTGAATCTATCACTCTAGCCGTTGATATCACAGTCTGGCCATCAGACAAGTACTCAAGTACTTAGGATATGCAGGTGGTAACTGTAAGTACTGAGAAGTTGAGCCTCCATTGACACTGCGATGGATGCCTTGCTGCCTTCAGTTCAGTGTAAGGGACAATGTAATACTCATACACAGACATACAGAAATACACCCGCCATGGCCACTTTCTACGGGAAAATGTCCCGTCTCGTACCGTAAACAAGATCACGTGGAAACAACCCCACGCACTTTGTGGATATTAATAATAATAATAGATCGAGTCTTCAAAGCATCAAATATCAAGGCAACCGTAATTGATCATCATCGTCGCTCGCCTGTAACGGGACATAGTTCCGTATCCCGAATTCCAACTCACCTCTCTACTAATACCACTCAGCTTAGGTCGAAATGTTCAAATGAGCATATGTACTCCACCTGATCCTCCTGTCACCCCCATCGGCCCGCCCATTGCCACGTCATCTGGTGGAAGAAGTCCCGATTTCGCTCGGCTCTTTGCATGTGCACTCATATGGATGATTGCTACTCCGTACAATTGTTCATATTTGAAAAGTGAAACTGGTGTGATCGGCTTTCATTGCGGTGGATCAGCCCCGGAGGCTTAGAGGCCAAGAATGGAATGAGACAATCACGTAATGACGTCCATCAGCCCACACCGGCGTCTCATCTCTTTCTCGAACGGCCCCTTGGCAGAGCCGACTCTGATATCCAAGGCCGCACGCAGCATTGACACTGTCAATTTGACAGAAACCTAAGACAAGGGCAAGTGGACCCGAGTCTGACCACCAAAGTTTATCAAGGATGAGGCCTCCATCGAGAATCAAAAGGTACGGGAACGCCAGATGTTCCCGTGTGCACCGTTTGTGGAGTTCAGCCCGTGTGTAATTGGCACATCGTATGTGCCTCTCTGGATACATGCGGTAATCAATGATCCCTTATGTGCAACGATTCGCTCATCTCTTGCGGATTCAAGACTCTTGCATTCTGTACTTTTGTTGTTCGGGCACAGGGTTTCCCGTACAGATCGCGGATGGCTCCGGAGGGCTCCGTACAGAGTACACAAGAAGAAGAAATGAGGGGTGGGCGAATATCCATTTGGAAATTTTCAGATTATCCGAGTCTTCTTGCCTGCCTGCTTCGTAATTGTGCGTTAAGGCATAATGGATGCTGTTGATACGGAGCACGCTATGACAGTAAACGAAGAGTCTGGATGTCGCAAAGGGGAGTTCTCCATGGCATTCCCCCTCCCAAGCACTGCGGCACATGGTTCTGTACACAAAACAGATATTCTTTTCATCGCCTCTAGATACCGTCAATCATCTCAACGATGGCTCATCGAATATCAATTGCACGCGTAGGCTTCTTGTCGACAAACTCCTCTCGACAGGATAGACAAGAAACACTCTCAACATCTGCAAGCATTTCACAGGCGGGAATTAAGACATCACCACGAACCTCTTCAAATATCGCAAAGCCTCCTCTAGACTCATGTACGTGCTCTCATGCAACTGGACTATGTTCATGCAGTCTTACTACATTGGCAGAGCTCGGAAAATATTCCCTCACTGCAGGGCGTACAGTGCCCTATGCCACCTAACCTAGACCTCTCACATTGTGATCGTTCATTGTTAGTCTGTGGAGCGGGGTATGATGCTTGGCGTCTAGACCACATCGGTCCTTCTTCTCGTCTCCTTCGAATGTCAACGAGGCAAACACGGGAGGGGGAAGCTTAGCGCCTCGTATTCTCTCCATGCCACCTTTCTCAACCTCACCACCTTCATGATCACGGAATCAGGACTCCGCACTCCGCAGTCCTGAGTGAGTTCATGCAGTCTATCCTTCAGTGATGCCTATTGCGTCTCGGATATATAACTTGATACCGCCCCAGGAGTCATAACAGATGGTTGGGGTGCCGCGCAGCACTGGCTGTCGCACCTGCATCGAGCGGCGGGTCAAGGTGGGTTTCCTACCTTAGCTGCATGGCCTGGGCAGCTGCAGTAGATAATGTCATCACATCTAATACTCAAGCCGCTATAGTGCGATCAGGGCCGACCGGAATGTCGTCGCTGTCGCGACAGAAACGTCAAGTGTCCAGGCTATCAGCGCCGACTGAAATTCTACCACCAGACTCCGGCATCTATTAGGAGTCGCAAGCAGAAAGACAGTCGAGATGTCGCAGCATCGTCGGCTGTCCACGCCCTCATTCCCCGGGCGAGCATGGATGGGAAGCTAGCACCCGGCCTGGCAACCACGGCAACAGACACCCAGATGAAGGAAGTTTTCCACTACTTCGTCATGGCCTCCTTTCCAGGCCTGTTCTCCGCCTGGCGGAACAGAGTCCAGCTCAACTGGCTAGACTACGTTCGGCATCACGTCGACACCTCGTCGCAGGCGCTGGTCTGGAGCCTCCGCAGCCTGAGCGTATGGCACCTCGGCCGCGCGCATAACGACCAGGAGAAGATCCTCGCCAGTCGGCACCTCTACGGCCGCGGTCTGGAGCACCTGATCCGCTCACTGCGTGATCCTCGCACTGCAACCTCAAACTTGACTCTCATGGCTGCCATCCACCTTGGAATATACGAGATGCTGGACGGGCTCGGCGAGAAATCCTGGCTCATCCATTCCCGGGGAATTGGCAAATTGTTCCAACTTCGCGGCCCCGAGGCGCACCGCGATGGATTCGGTCGCACGCTGGTGGTGGCGTATCGCTCGTTTCTGGTCGCCGATGCGTTCGTCTGCCAGGAGCCGTGTTTTCTGGCGGAACATGAATGGCGAGCCATGTTCCACGAGACGCTGGCATCCGAACGCAGCTCCGGAAAAAGCTGTCAGCTGAGCGAGGTCGTGGAACTCGCTTTCAACGAGATTGTACTCTGTCCGGGGCTTTTTGCGCAGACGCGCGCCTTCGTGTGGCAGACTGGGGGGAAGTCGGAGATACTGCGAGAGTCGCTGGTGGCTCAGATCACTCGCTCTCGGGATAGACTCGTCTATCTTGAAGGGCGGATGGGGCCATTGATCGTCAACCACAATAAGAAGAAGGTCATCAAGCGGGAGGAAGATGTGCGAAGTCCCATTCCCCCTGAGTTTGTCAGTAAAGTAGCCAAATTCGGGTCCTACGGCACGCGATCTGCCATTGCAGTACTGAACCAGCTGTTGGTTCTGATAGAAGCGGATAAAAGCCGTTCGTCATTGCATACAAAGTCGCAGCGTCCGAGTAGTATATGGAAGCTACCAGCGGGAAGCATTGCCTTCCCCGAGTCGCAAGAGAAGCAACTGATTGCATACGACGCACATGAAAATGACTCTCCAGATCGACTGGACCAGCTCGCATTGTCGATGGGCATGCTTGCGATCAGAACATGACGGCCTCCTGCACATTAGTATTCAAGAATGCAGCTCTATAGGAGGGCAAGTGTATTGAAAGACGGGATAGCCACGGAAAGGCTATCGGCCCTGACGCTCGGGTCGGCTCAAGGGGCACGCAGCCTGATGTTGATTGATCGGGCTGCTATACGACTCATGCCGACGAGATCACTCGTTCAGGACTCTTGGAAAACCTTGGCACTGGTCCAGTCGGGTTGGAAACCATCGAAGACGCTCACAACAGTGGACCTTTTCAATGCACCACTCCGGGAAGCCGGAATCCTAGCATCTCTCGCCTGGCGGTAGTCTGACCAACGACTTCGCTCTCTTCCTCTGGGCAGATACAATCTACAGGCATTTCGGCAAGGTTGCTGCCTGTAAACCCATGCCGTGTCGGGAGGTATCTGAACATCGGGCTTGGTTACACAACCATTTAGAGCGCGGCAATGAAAGGAGCAGGTTTCAAACTTGAATGAATAGGAAACAATGCCTGTGGCCTACGGCTTGTTCCCACAACATATTCGGTTTGTCGAAACGGTATGCACGGATTGTAAAATCGGAGATATTCTACGTCTGGTGAATTCATGACGATTAGGATACCGTTTGACACTCACAACATCGATCTACAGATAATCACGGTTACCGCTCAGACCTAATAATGATTCCATTCTCAAAGTAGCACATAGTCCATGAATCGGGGGCGTCGGGTCCTACAGACACTGCGAATAATAGGCGTTCTGCACCTGGCACGTATACGGCGACACACAGGTCGTTGGCCCCGTCCAGCCTTGACCTCCACACTGTCCCCAGTGCTGCGCAACGGCAGTCGCCGTGGTGGTCGTCGTCGTGGAGCCCGTGCCCGTAGCCGTAGCAGTCGCAGTCGTCCCCGTCGACGTCGCCGTATAACTCCCACCGGGGAAATAAGACTCCAGAACCGACAGGTAATACGCATACGCCGGCCCCGTCGTCGGCTCCATGCTGTAGATATAATCCCCCCACCAGGGCCCAGCAGCCCACCACTCCGCCCCGAGCCAGACATCCGCATTCGCCTCCATGTAGTCCAGCATGCCGGTCACGGCACTCTGGCAAACGCTATTCGCGCCCCCCGCGAACTCGCCCAGAAATGCTTTCTTGCTGTTACTGAGCAGCCAGGACGTCGCGGACGCGATCCGTTCTTGCCCGATTGTCGAGGAGACGCATGTGTCGGAGGTGCCTGAGCCATCGCTGTCGAGGTACTGGTGCATCTCGTAGATGAGCTTGCCGGCGACGGGGTCGGTGAGGTCCTTCAGGTTGTCGTTGACGGATTCCCAGGTCCATGCGCCGGACCAGGAATTGCCTTCGACGAAGATGTACTGGGAAGTGGCGCCTGCGGCGCGGATGGCGTTGATGGCGGCCTGGTTGAGATCCAAGACGGTGGTTTGGTCTTCTGTGTTGAACTCGTTGTCTGGATGTGTGAGCTAGACCTTGAGGTGAGGGGGGTGGGCCTTACTGGTGTCGAAGATGACGAGGTCATTGTCCTTGAATTGCGCGGCGACGGTGGTCCAGAAGGCGGCAAAGTCGCTGGTTGAGGTGATTATGTTGCCGTAGCTGTTTCTCTTAGTTGGTTTCTTGATTTCAGGTGGAAAGGCTTACTATCGTCCAAAGTTATGCGGGTCGACGATGGCGTGGGCACCAGTGGAGGTGATATAGTTGATGGTCTAGATGCTCGTCAATAAACAATCATAGTACTTGAGAGCATGAACATACCGAGACCAGATCAGCCATGTACGTCGCATCAGGAGTCCCGGTCAAGTTGTTGGGGACGAGACGTTCCATGAGAAATGGCACACGGAAGATATTCATTCCTGCTGCCCTCAAGATGCCAATGGCAGTCGTGTTGGGCCAGATGTAATCTGTGCCCAGCACACCAGGAATATTGCCGCTTCCAAACTCTGCGCCGGACTCATTGGAGCCAAACCCTATAGAAGGTCAATGGATGAGCTGGTCATGCAGATGGGTGCCTGACATTGAAAGGCCGAGGTTCTCTTGGTTTTGAACTTTGGGTCGGGTGCAGCAAGAGCAAGGCATGCTGTGCCGGCAACGGCGAAGAGCTGTGTAAACCTCATTACAAAAAACTGACTTTGAGAACTTGCCATAGGAGCTGAGCTTCAGACTGGACGAGATGCACTCATTTATATATGAAATCACTGAACCATGTGGAGTGAGGTAGAATGTCGATTCCGCCAAGTTCCTGTCCCGTCTCGGCACGGAGGCATGGTCAAGCTCATGCTACTTGTCTATAATCCTTTGACACAGGAGTATCCTTGGGTGTGAATTCGTCTCATTGCGAGTTGCATCTGGCGGATGGGTAGACGGAAATCACAGCTGGAAAGTTATTGTCGAGAAGACGGCCCGACAGGCCGTGCTTCTGATGGAAATAAGTGAGCGAGACATCCCTCACGTATCAGTTTGATAGAATGCTTCACATAGGTCCTCATGACATTACACCGTATATCACTCTTGGACGTATGGGGTGCATCACGTCTGTGCGGAGAAATCATCAACAGTTAATTAATTGCTGGAGCCGAAATTGCCGGCAGGATCAAGCAATTTTTGTCTCAGGTTTAAGTAGACTTGGCTCGGGCGAGTACCGCTACTTGTGCTGATCCAATTAATGATCGTTTTCTTGCAAGGTTGAATACTACAGTCAACAACATTGCGTGCACTGTGGTGTTGAATATCGAGGACAAGCAGCAAATCCGGCCTGTAGTCACTACTTCTATGCCACATATACCAGATCATAAATCTGATAGATGGAGAATGACAAGCGCCACTCCTGCAGAATTACAAACTGCCGCACCGGCCGGAGATGAGACGCCTCCTCGATTAGCCGAGCATGGGGCCGCGTCATCCGTGCAGACAGCAATATCAGCTTAATCTATCCTACCCCAGACGTGCGAATTCAACTGACAAAAGGGACTCCACACAGCCACTTGGGAATGTGCCTTACTGCTCGGATCCCCTTCAAATACGGAGGACACCTGCAGAGATGACACCCACGGAGGGGGATTCGCCGCCTGAGCATGGTTCTATCAAATTGAAAAGAGCAACAACGCGCCCTGGATATTGTCTGACAAATTCATAAACAGATGTCGCCCGTTTTTGCACGAATTATAATGAGCCCTTCCAGATCGAATCAGTTTTTGAGCGAAACTATTTAGGCTGTGGAGAATTACCCCAGGATGTCGCCCCGGATTCCCGTCACTTGCCTGTTACGACAAGGGCAGGAGTGCAGTGAGTCCTGACCTGCATGAATTGATCAGTAGCGAGACGATAGGACGTTTCTACTAGAGGCAGATAGAGGCAGTATAGACATCTAACCGCTTCCACCACGGCGATAGCCTCAGGAGCAGCGGCTACAGCCATTGTTACAACGGATCAGCGGTCCTGTTAGCCGTCTCAATAGATATCTTCTCAGTTTTGAGAGCAGGAAGAAGGGATCAGGATATAAAAGGATGGTCCAGAGCTTGCCGTGGAATGTCTGTCAACTCAGAGTGTCAAAGAACATCACTAAAGCATCAAAATGGCCTCCGCAATTTCCTACCGAATCTACAAGAATGCATTGATCTTCTCTGCCTTGCTGTCCTCTCGTGCGCAGGCGCAGCAGGTCGGCACATACACCACTGAGACCCATCCCTCGATGACATGGGAAACATGCACCAGCAGTGGAAGTTGCACCACCAACCAGGGCTCCGTGGTTATGGATGCGAACTGGCGATGGGTCCACCAGGTTGGCAGCACCACCAACTGCTATACCGGCAACACTTGGGACACCTCCATCTGCGATACCGACGCGGCCTGCGCCACTGAATGTGCCGTTGACGGAGCCGACTATGAATCGACCTACGGTGTCACCACCAGCGGCAGCCAGCTTCGCCTCAACTTCGTGACGGAGAACTCCAATGGCGCCAATGTTGGCTCCCGTCTTTACATGCTGGCAGATAGTACGCATTACCAGATGTTCAAACTGCTGAATCAGGAGTTCACCTTTGACGTGGACGTGTCCAACCTCCCCTGTGGCTTGAACGGGGCCCTCTACTTTGTGACCATGGATGAGGATGGCGGTGTCTCCAAATACGCCAACAACAAGGCCGGCGCCCAATACGGCGTGGGATATTGCGATTCCCAATGTCCGCGTGATCTCAAGTTTATCCAAGGCCAGGCCAACGTGGAAGGCTGGACCCCGTCGTCCAACAACAAAAACACTGGATTGGGCAACCATGGATCTTGCTGTGCTGAGCTGGATATCTGGGAATCTAACAGTATCTCTCAGGCTCTGACCCCCCATCCATGTGATACCGCCACCAACACCATGTGCACTGGTGATGCCTGCGGCGGCACATACAGCAGTGACCGGTACGCCGGCACCTGCGACCCAGATGGTTGCGACTTCAACCCCTACCGCATGGGCAACACCACCTTCTACGGCCCCGGCAAGACAATCGATACCAACTCGCCCTTCACCGTCGTGACGCAATTCATTACGGACGATGGCACAGATACCGGTACGCTGTCCGAAATCCGCCGCTACTACATCCAGAACGGCGTCACCTACGCCCAGCCCAACTCCGACATCAGCGGTATCAGCGGCAACGCCATCAACGCCGACTACTGCACGGCCGAGAACACCGTCTTCGACGGACCGGGTACTTTTGCTAAGCACGGCGGCTTGTCCGCCATGTCCGAGGCCATGTCCACCGGCATGGTACTGGTCATGTCGCTCTGGGACGACTACTACGCCGACATGCTCTGGCTCGATAGCACCTATCCCACCAATGCGTCTTCGTCGACTCCCGGTGCTGCCCGTGGCACCTGCTCGACCGACTCCGGTGTCCCCGCCACCATTGAATCCGAGAGTCCCGATTCCTATGTGATCTATTCGAACATCAAGGTTGGCCCGATCGGATCGACTTTCAGCAGCGGTTCCAGCTCTGGAAGCTCCAGCTCGACCTCGACTTCAACCACATCTACTAAGACCTCGACCACCTCGACCAAGACCACCACCACTGCGACGAGCACCTCGACTGCTGTGGCGCAGCACTATGGCCAGTGTGGTGGCCAGGGCTGGACCGGCCCGACTACGTGTGCCTCACCCTATACCTGCCAGGTGCAGAACGCGTACTATTCTCAGTGCTTGTAGTTGGATGAAGACGGAGGTTGATGGATGCGGATGCGGATGCTCGTGAAACGACAATGAAGGGTCACTTTACTTCTCCTTTTCATCTTCTTCCTCTATTTGGGTTTTTGTATTCGATCCCTAATTCTCTTCAATGTTATAGCTTCTCTACAATGCAAATGTTGTTGCGCACATCTTATTCCCATCCACGGCAAGATGACCTAACAATACAGGCGGTCAGTGCGCCCATCAGTTCAAAAATGGAGACAGTGCCAGGGTCAAAGGGGCGAAGAATGCCTGCTAGAGCCCTGCTCCAAAGAATTTTCCTCCCCAAGTCCCAATGATTTGCTACGGATTTGCATACGATCAGATGTGAAGACTCCCCATGTTCAAGGGTTGTCGACGCACCTGCTGCGCTATCCCAGTCTATACCAGTCATTAACTGACTTCGGTGGCAAAGAAAGCAGGTACTACCCTCCAGACCCTCCTGGAGTTGACATTATAATAGCGCTACTCGCTAGAATAAGAGCGCACAGGGGCAGAATACAAACAGGAACCGTTCAATCACCAACCACCGTCCACTCCACAATGTTTGACGCCGGTACGACCACTCTCGGCCGGCCTTCATTATCCTTAGGGTTCGAAATCGGTTCCACCCCCGAGCCAGGCAGCGTTACGATGGTCTGGGCGTGAGCCTCCACCAGTCCAGTGTATTTCCCTTGAACTGGTATCGGAGCCGCTCGCCGGGTTTCAGGTCATCGGGTAGTCCGTCCCCGTCCGCCGTCATTGTCCAGGAGTCTGACCAGGATTCCCCAGGGAAGAGGGTCGGGAACTGACCATCTGGGTTCTCGGACACATTTATCAGCTTATCGGGATTGTCCCAAAACTGATGTCGATAGCCGTCGCCCTCAAATGTCTCCCATTCCTCCTCTGTCTCTAGACTAGATTGATCTCGACAGCGATGGCGATAGACGCGGAATTGGCCATCTACCGGTTTGAATGCATAGGTGTGGAAAGTGATTGGTCGGAGTTCTTCATCCCCGGTTATGTTGTTATTGTTGTCCGGTAGACCGTGGTATATCACTCTGATAGAGATCTCCAGACTCCCTGTCAGAGGCATTGTTGGGCTACAGCTCAGCTCTAGACTAAGAACTGGTGCCCCTGGACTGTTATATTGATTAGCAGAGGAAGTCTCTACTATTTTAAAAGGAGGACTTACACTCTTTCACTTGGGCTGATAGGCGGTGGTGTTGTAGGCCGCGGAATAGGAGGCCGCTCCCCTTCGTTCACTGTGAATGTGATATGTGCACCCCCCGGAACCAAGACCGGTGGCCACTTGGGCTTATTTCCCACCTCCAGCTGCGTGCCCCAATCCCAGTTTGCAATCTCTTGCCCAGTCCAGAGAAGGCTATAGGTATAACCTGGCTGTAAGAGCTTTTGCCAGGTATCGGGAAAAGACAATTGATGGGTAACTTTGCAGCGGTCATAGTTATCTTTGCCTCCGCTGTATAGAATGATGGCGGCTCGTTCGGAAACTGCTGGGTTCTCGGGTCCGGTGTATATCTAGATTGCTCCTCAATACCGACTCTCTGGAGGCTGCTGCTCTCTGGATTATGACATAAGAGAATAAATTATCCCCGGCTAGGATCGATTATAGGGGACCAGCGCAGCCAGAATGGTTGGTTGATGTCTTTGGTGTTATTCCTCTCTTTCTGATTCGCTATAGCCATTATCTGGCTCATCGCTTAGAACCCTGCGAAGAGAAGCTGAAACAGAATAGTTTTGGTTCCGAGACTCCGTCCAGACTGACGGGCTGCCGCCTAGCTCCAGAACCAACTGTGGGGTATCGGGCCTGTGTTGTACGCTCGTTAGCGGTTTTTTGATCTCTTTTATTTTTCATGACTGGCGTAATAAACATACAGCCTATCCCTCTCTCTCCATTTGATGTACGAATCCATTTGGTCGTTCATGGGCACTGTTGACTCGAACCGAGTGTGGGAATTTTCGGTTTGGAAGAGAGGAAAGTCGGAAAGGGGAAAGGAGCCTCATAAACTACTAGTCACTATCTATGGCTTGTCAAGTGGCTATTAACTATGCACGGTTAAGATGACTTAACAGTTTTACGCTTTAGAATGTTGTTTATTGTGGCGTCTAGGACACTGACATGCAACACTTCAGACAATATCTTTTCCCTGACCGAGCTATCATATCTCATTTCAGATCGACCAGGTAGGTCTCATCTTGATCTTATGGCAAATGGCAAATGCTTATGCTGGTCCATACTACCGTGCCATTTGTCTGCTGGATATTTTACCCGATTGGGAAATTCGCCAAATCGCCGAGGTTATCCCGTCGCGATAACAGCTCACAAGTCACAACCTGCGTCCCGGTTGGGGTTCAACAATGACTTCTTCTTCTTCTTCTTCTTTCTTATACTCGCTCAGGCGGTATTTCGGGCCGTTTCCCGACGCTTCTACTCAGCCCAGTCATATATTATATGAGAACCCCAGATCCAGCACCCTCATGTACCGTGTCGACTTCCGGTGCGCTTTGTAATTGCGCGTCCGCATCGAAAATGTCCCAACAAACAGATCTTCAATGGCAACAAGTAAGTCCCGGTCATTGGGAGCGTGGCATCGACGAGGTCGAGCAGTTTTACACCTCCCTGGCGAAAGCGTATCAAGGCAGCGGGCGGAACTTCTTCACCATCACGGGGTTCGTCCCATTCTCTGTCAAGGCAGATGATAGTGTTTGCAAGCAGGAAACAGCCAGAAAAGTTGAACATGCCCTGCGGAAGGCATGGGTGCATCTGCGTTTTGACCACCCGACCATTGCTTCGTGGGTAGAATGGGACTGCGAACGCCAGCGCTGCAAAAAGATATATGAATCTCCCGCCGGGCAGGATTCCCTTCAGTCCTGGGTGGAGATAACCTTTTCCACCGTGTCAGACGGTACTTCCGGGCTCGACTGGTGTAATTCAGATCCTCCAGTGCCTAAGCTACCGACTCTCTTTCTGATCTGGTCATCTCCTCGCGGTGAAGGACCACTCCAGGGTGATCTTGTGCTCCGTGCCCGTCACGACATCATCGACGGCGTTGGGACTTTGATGTTATTCGATAATCTGTTTGCGCACGCGTCCAGAGCCTACGAGCGAGCGTCAGATTATCCTCTTCCTCGTTTTGGTACGGAATACGCAAATTTGAGTCCCCCGTTCCGTGTAGCTGCGGCGCTGCAGCCAAGCATGTCTCCCGAGCAAAGGGAAAGATTCGAGTCGACCATGGCATACAACGCCTTCATGAAGCACGATCGTATAGGAGTTGCCAGCGTCCCCTTCAGGAAGGGAGAACGCCTACCGGGAAAGCATCAGAGGCTTGCGATCACTCTTCCCATCCAGCAAACCACGGCGATTCTCAGCGCCTGTCGACGGCTAGGCCTGAGTGTAACGCATGCATACCATGCAGCGATTGCGATGGCGGTGCGGGATCTTCAGGATCGGCGGGATAGCGAACGCCTAGTGAGATATGTCAACTACAGCCTGATCAACGAGCGCGGGAATTGCTTGAGCCCGTACGATACTTCTCTCCATGCAGCGGCGGTCTACCACTCTGTTTCATGCAGGCTGCTCATTGTTGATACCACGGTTCCGAGTATAACTGACAGCTCGAGCGCGGCAGAGGTGAACAGGGAGGAGTTTCTAAGGATCACAAAGACTGTCAGGGAGTTCTACCTGGGGATTCGGAAGGACAAAGATCATATCCAGATGATACCCTCGTGGTTCGCCAGCAACACCATCCCCTACCCGCCTGACGACGCCACGCCCCCAGTCCCAGAACCGAATCAATCGCCGTCGGTTTCAATCTCCGGCTTGGGTGTGGTGGACAATGTGATCAGCCCGTCGCATGGGGCATTCGAGCTGGCAACGCCGTGGGTGACCGGTGAGGAACTAGGGACGGGTCTCGGCCTGTTCCTGGGGACCTGGAAGGGGGAGTTGACGCTGAGTGCGGCATACAATGATGCATGGCATGATAAGGAAGAGGTAGTGAGGTTTATCGAGCGATGCAACGTTATCGTGGTCCAGGGGCTTACATTGTGACCTTTGACTTGATTTGAATAATCAAAGACTCTGTGGTTCTACACTAAGTATTGTGTGGTCGATGGATGGAGATAGAGACCGCCATCAGGATATATATTGCCAATAGACCCGACAACAGCAGTGGGTTTCAGACTAACGCAGACATTCTAATCGCCAAAAATAGCGGCGCACATCCATAACTTCCCAAAGATCGTTTTAATTTCCTAGACAGAAAATGAGGCTGTAGCTCTGGCAGAATGAACACAACGATGGCTATACACAGTGTCGGAGATCGGGGTGTTGATGTATTTCCGCTGAGTCATGACTTCGAACCCTCTGATTAGTCTGGCCATAGGGACTAGGGAGTAACTTTACTGCAAAGGGTCACTGGATATAACAATCAGATCCGTTAGCCGATTGTGGATTCTATCGGCCTTTTGAAGGCGATGCTCACATCGCTCTGTAAGTGAGTACGGAGTTTACGGGCTCGGCATGCGATCAATGCTGCGACGCCGAATCCAAGAAACGTTCCTAGGATTGAGCACATACTCAGGGGCCTTATAAAGTGGTAGCACCGCGCTCACAATGAGAGTGTAACATACGCCATCTAGTCGCAATGGCAGAATATTCAACTTCGTCTTCGGCCCAAGGCGGCTCCTGGAAGGAGATGCGCAAAGGCTGCCTGATTGCTATTGGCATGAGCTTTCTCCTCCTACAGCTTTTATTCCTTGGAAACATGTCATATCTCTATGCGACACAGTACCAAGATACAAGCCGCATCCACAATCTCAACATCCTGTATGTCGACTACGACGGAGGACTTATTGGTCAGTCAGTTCTTGATGCGTACGGCATGTTACAGAGTCCCGGCTTTCCTACTCTGGAGCAGTCGCCTGCATCGGACTATCCCGATCCTGCCGATGTCAGAAAAGCCGTCTGCAAGGGCAACTACTGGGGCGCCGTGTACTCGGTTCCCAATGCGTCGAGAAACCTATCATCGGCGCTAGCCAGTGGAACGGACATCGGAAACACGCTCACTTATGTCTGGAACGGAGCCAGATACCCAGCCTTCGCACAGAGTGCAGTCTACTCCAACATCCTCACTCTGGTGGGAGCGGCAAGGTCGGCATACTATGCCCGCAACGGGTCGAACGTCGCAGCATCAGCTCCACTATCAACCAACGCAGCAAGTCTCCAGGCCTTCCTCAACCCCATACAAGCCACGGAGATCAACATTAAGACGACCGAGCAGGGCCCGCGCGTGTTGTACAACACCGTCTCCATAGTGATGCCGATCATCCAGCAGTTCTTCTTCATGATGGCGCTGAACGGTATCTCGGCTAAATTCCACGTCCTGACGAAGCTCAGCCCCCTCAGCAACGGTCTGCTGCGCATGTGCCTCTCCCTCGCCTATACCTTCATCGCCTCTCTGTGTCAGACCGGGTACACCTGGGCCTTTCGGGAATACTGGGACGTGAACAGCAACCAGTTCGTGCTCTGCTGGATGGCGATATGGCTGTACATGCACATCAACTTTCTCATTGTGGAGGTCGTCACCGCGTTCGTGCCCATGGAGTTTCTCCCGTTCTGTATCCTGACGTGGGCGATCATCAACGTCGCCAGCACCATCAGTCCATTCGAGTTGAACCCGGGTTTCTTCCGCTGGGGGTACGCGCTTCCGTCGCACGAGCTGTACCAAGTCCTCGTGCAGATCTGGAGCGACGGCTGCGAGAACCAGCTGTATCGTGCGCTGCCTATTATGTTCTCGTGGTGGATTGTCGGGTTGGCGGCTGTGGTGTTTGCGAATCGTCACCGGTGTGAGATGGCGGTGAAGGCGATGGTGGCTGAGAAGTAATCTGTGCACTGGGAGAGTAAGGAGAATGGGAATTAGATTCATGAACGGAGATGATTACAGAACAGAATGAGAAGGAGATGCTGCATGCCGAACTTCCGGCCCGAGCCGGAATCCTGTTGCCTGTTCGAAGCACTATCGAGTCATGTATTCGAGTCGACTTTATTGACCTGCATCCACATTGACCCCTCAATTCAAGGATCGTCCCACAGTTGGTGGATGGGTGTTTTACATATTCGTTCTTGTTGGTGGATTAACCACTGAGTAAGCATGGCTACTATTATGGAAATACAAGCGGTATATTGAATCGCATACTGGCAGTTGATGCATTCCATGCATCACCGCAGAAGAAGTCCACTATGTCCCCAGATTTGACCTCCAATAACACCTTCTCATGCAGGTCCAGGAACGAACCTGGAGAAACATGGGGAGAGCATACAGACTATTGGAAGTGTTCTGACAAGATTTTCCACGAGTTGAGGTCGTGAGGATGCGGAAGCGCAGAATAAGTGAGACATGCGTTGAGTCTAGGAAGTCAACGCAGTACACAATATATGCACATCCTGAAGAGGGGAATGTAGGGGCCATTTATCCGGAATTAAGAGGAATGATGGTCATGATTGGACGGATGAATGGACCCTGAAGCCCTGCATGAGGGGGACCTAGCCCTTTGCTGTTGACGATATTGTGGTCTGTCCATCGGTCTAGTACGTCAATGCCTTGTTCAGAAGATAGAGGCCATCGGAAAGAAATGATTTCAAGGAGAGAAAGATCACATTGAGGAGTCAGAAGATTATCTCCGTAACTATTGCTTTCTGACTTCCATTGAGAACTCCGGTATCAGAGCTGTCGGCTTCATATCACCGAATGACAATGGACCAATCACAATATGTGAAGAGATCTAAGTCTGCTAAGAAAGCTAAGGATGCAGGGCTATTTCTTGAATCGCAGTATGGGGAATTCAGGGTAGATAGATCACTGCCATAAACTGGAATAGACGGAAGTAATCGATGATATAATCCACCTATCATTCACTTCGCCCTCAAACATCATGCGACATTAGTAGCGGTGCAATGTCGGCTCGGACTGCCAGACGAATACGAAGAGCCATATTTGATTTTTAATGAACACATGTTGGTGAGACTATCAACCTGCAACACCTGTGGCGCCAATGGCTGAAAGAACCCAGTGCTAGGCCTGGAAAGATAACCTCAATCCTCGATCGGTCGAGGCTCTAAGACATTCTCAAACAACCCGAGGCCAGAAAGAGTCTCTAACATGCTTGGAGGCAGGCCGAGAACTGCTAAATGTCTCGGCGAGATTCCGGATTTGTGGAATTTCCGACGAAGCTTTCGGGCCCAAGTGGAGATTTCTAATCCCTTTCGGTGCCGGCGTGTTAATATAGGGATTTCATGATTCAATCTCCAACAGCATGGAGCATCCAATCTGATCAGTCTCACCCTGGATTGGTCAGACCGCAATTTAGGTTGTCTTCTTCAGCATCATTCTCTTTCACTTTCGGTTTGAACCGTTCGAAGGATGCCCCTGTTCTCGGTCGCACCCTGTATAGATAGCAGATAGACACATATAAACCTTCAGAAATCCTCACAATGAATACTTTTCTGTCCTCATCAGCGCTCCTTTTGTCTTTCTTATTCTATTTATCTACCACTTTTTAGGGTATTCTGTTGACCAGAACCTTGTTCGATCTTTCTAAACACAGTCCAACCACTCTACTTCCGCTCTCTCACGATGCATTTCTTCCAATCCTCCCTCGTGGCCGCGACCATGGGCGCTGCGCTGGTCGCTGCTGCTCCTGCCGCTGATCTCGAGACTCGTGGCTCTTGCACCTTCACCTCTGCTGCTGCGGCCAAGTCCGGCAAGGCCTCCTGCTCCACCATAACCCTGAGCAACATCGCCGTCCCCGCCGGTGAGACTCTGGACCTGACTGGCCTGAAGACCGGTGCCACTGTAAGTCTTCCTTGATTGGTATGTTGACTGCCGTCGGCTAACGTTGACAAAGGTCATCTTCGATGGTACCACCTCCTTCGGCTACAAGGAATGGACCGGCCCCCTGATCTCCATGTCCGGAACCAGCATCACCGTCAAGCAGAACTCCGGTGCTAAGATTGACTGTGGTGGTGCTCGTTGGTGGGACGGCAAGGGAAGCAACGGTGGCAAGAAGAAGCCCAAGTTCTTCGCCGCCCACAAGCTGAACCAGTCCAACATCAGCGGTCTGAAGATCTACAACACCCCCGTCCAGGGCTTCAGCATCCAGTCTGACCACCTCACCATCACCGACGTGCTGATCGATAACTCCGCCGGTACCAGCTTGGGCCACAACACCGATGCCTTCGACATCGGCTCCAGCACCTACATCACCATCGACGGCGCCACCGTCTACAACCAGGATGACTGCCTGGCCATCAACTCTGGGGAGCACATCACCTTCACCAACGGCTACTGCAATGGTGGCCATGGTCTCTCCATCGGCTCCGTCGGCGGCCGCAGCGACAACACCGTCAACGATGTCACCATCTCCAACTCCCAGGTCATCAACTCCCAGAACGGTGCTCGTATCAAGACCGTCTACGGCGCCACTGGCTCCGTCACCGGCGTCAAGTTCGAGGACATCACCCTCAAGGGTATCAGCAAGTACGGTATTGTCGTGCAGCAGGACTACGAGAACGGCAGCCCCACTGGCAATCCCACCAACGGCGTCAAGGTCTCCGACATCACCTTTGAGAAGGTCACCGGTACCGTGAGCAGCTCCGCCACTGATGCGTACATCCTCTGTGGATCCGGCAGCTGCACCAACTGGACCTGGTCTGGCAACAGCATCTCCGGCGGCAAGAAGAGCAGCAAGTGCAAGAATGTTCCTTCTGGCGCTTCTTGCTAGACTCGTCTCTAGAAAATCTACGGGCCTGTGAGTAGGCTGCCAAGAGAGTGTTCCGTTCGTGTCTCAACCTTTGTATTTAATCCATTAATTGTATACTAAAAAGACCTATTCATGTCAAGACCCCGAATCTCGCAATCACTCCCTAGATCAATCACCCGAGCATCAGCGCCGGACGTAAATAACATCAAGTGCCTAGTCTTTGGCGACTCGAATAACGCCAAATCTGGAATCACGCTGTCATGGATTTTTGGCAAGGTCTTTTGGTGGGCTGATCGGTGACAGAATACCGACGGCGGTGATATGTGCAAGACCTCTCATGTCATGGTTTGCTGCCGCAATGCGAACCTGATCTTGCTACAAGGCTTCACTGGAGAACTTGCCCAGTCGTCATTGTGCCTTGCATAATATCCAATGGGCTAATTTGAATCGATTTCGATCGTTGTGTCTGAGGAATGCAGGGTTGGTCATCGGCCCAGTGTGCCCTCCGCATAATTGCGGTCTGGAATGCAAGGGGCTTTCCCATCCAGCAGTGATCTACCCAATGTTTTGATCGTGTTGCTACTTATATACATTCTCCATATTCTCAATCCGTCCCCCTCTTCCTTCGTCGCCAGCACTCTTCATAGTCTGCATCATGTATCTCACTCAGGGACTCACCCTCGTGTCCCTCGCGACATTCAGCCTCGCGATCCAGCCCCCCAACTTCGCTCAAACTCACACCAAGCACACAAGCAACAGCGAGGACCACCCTACCGTCCGCGACATCTTCCAGTTCCCGGAAAACGGCTCCTTCATCGACAATGTGGTCGTCCGCCAGGACGGCACCCTCCTGCTCACCCGCATCGACGTCCCAGAAGTCTGGTCCGTGGACCCCCAGACAGGCTCCGGCTCCCTGGCCTACTCGTTTGCAGAGCAAGGCAGCGAAATTACCAGCGTCTTCGGCATCACCGAGGTCGACTACGACGTCTTCGCCGTGGTAGCCGGGAAATTCGACCTCAAGAACTTCGCGGCCGAGCAGGGGTCCTTCGCCGTCTGGGCACTCGACTTCAACAATGACGGCAACTATGATGACCTCGAGGTGCCGGCTAATATGTGGTTCAGCCTCAACGGGAATACACCCAGTGCAGTCACCAAGATTGTTGACATCCCCGAAGCCAAGGCGCTGGGTGCTTCGACGCTGTACAGGCCCGGCCGTGAGGCGCGGTACTTGCTCATTGCGGATAGTCCCGAGGGGATGATCTGGAGGGTGGACTTGGATTCCGGGGAGTATGCGGTTGCGATGCAGGATGAGTCGATGCTGCCTGCGCCGAATGCGCCGCCTATGGGTGTCAATGGGATCCACGTGGTTGGGGAGTATCTGCACTACGTGAGCGTCACGAAGAAGGAATATCGCCGGGTGATGATCGACGAGGTGGCGAACGCGGTCGGGCCGTTCGAGTTGATTACGACTGAGATCACCCCGGATAATTTTGATATTGCCGACGATGGGACGGCGTACTTTGCGACGAATCCGGAGAATACGATTGTTATGTATACGCCTGAGGGCGAGATTGTGGATGTTGCTGGAGGGAAGAACTCGACTGTGCTACCTGGGCCAACGTGCTGTGTGCTGGATAGAGATGGACAGACGTTGTATGTTGGCACTAATGGGGGACTGATGGCTCCGGTGGGTGGGACGTACAAGGAGCCTGGGAAGGTGGCCGCTGTTTCGCTTTGGTAGAAGGCTGGAAAGAGACCGTTTCGTCGAGGAAACGGTTTAGAATCTCAATGCAGTGTCTACTGGACTTGGTTCGTGCCCGAGAATTAGAGTATATCGAATGTATAATCTTAATAACCTGTGCTCTATAGTAGTTGGCTCTTCCTGGCATGGTTCATCGTTTTAGGCGCATCAGTAACATTTACTGGGCTTTGATCTATCAATTTGCAATTAGGAAATTGTACGACTTGATATCAACGGGCCGACTTCCGCTGAAGGATATATGGCCCGACAGGCCTATTCCAGTATACCGAAATGGCTGGCTATCTGAGGCCCTAGTGTCTGGGGGAGAATGGTAGAGGAAGTGTCAGGAGCGAGAGGTCCCAGATAATTGCATATGTCGCGAGGAAGTAATAGCTAATTAGCCATTTCGGATGACGTCCAAATAACATGACTTGATTGAAGTGGATCAAGGCATTTCCGCACAGTAAGTCTGTGAAAGAGATCCTAGTTCCTAAAGAGATTGCATGGTGGACATCGACATCTGTTTACATACTGAGCTGAGGCGTTTCTATGTACTAGCCGTCTCTGACTACAAGCAAAGGCAAGGCGAATGTATGACGCACTGGAATCACTCCGACGACAGCAATTCGACCAACTAGCCAGACAGTCCTCCTCATCATCAACATGCATATCGTCGCACTCTTCCATCGCACCGTGCTTTCGGAGAACATCGGCTACTTCAACGTGTCCCTTTCCGATGGCCAATGCCAGAACAGACGGAAAGGATCCTATGCGCATGTTGGGTTCCGCCCCGTGACGGAGGAGAAACTCGACGACTTCCACGTTGCCAGCGGTCACAGCTACCGAAAGGGGTGTCTCGCCAGTGTCGCTCTTCTCATTGACATCGAAGCCCCGATCAAGCATCTTGGCAACCAAAGAGCACTTACTTGATCGAGTGGCCTTGACCAAAGTAATGTGCTGTTTTCCTCGGTGGACGGGGCGTGGATCGGCTCCATGGTCTATCAAAAGCTCCGCCTTGTCGAAAAAAGGTTGGCTCATGGCGCATGCCAGAGGGGGTAGTAACCAGCCCTTCCGAGAACGTTTTCGAATAGAGGGGTCACCCCGTTGGAGGGCTTCCGAGTATGCATTGGGGTCGAGGCCCAACTCGAGAAGTTTCCTGAGCACCTCGATGCTCAAGTTCCTGACGATCCAAAACAGCAGAGTCGGATCGTTGCCAGTCCCTACTTGACCCGCGCCTTTTTCAAGTAGAAGTCTTGCTATTTCATCCTGGCCAAGCCTTGCAGCGTAAGATAGGGGCATTTCATCGTCAATGTTGATATTTGTTCCAGCACGCTTGTTCAAGAGTTCCTTCGCACAGTCCCAGTTTCGATTCTGCATCGCAACCTGGAATGCATTCTCATGGCTCATCGTCCGGTCGCAGCCAGATTGATCAACGTGATCCAGAAGCATCTCCAAAACGCGGCGGTGCCCATTACCGACTGGCACCTCGATCCAGCAACACACGGACAGCCTCGACATGCCCGTTCGCCGCCGCGCAGCGGAGGGCTATAGAGTCTTCGTCGTCTATTGAAACGCCCTGATCCAAGACCAGATTAAGGCCCTCAAGGTATCCTCGGTGGGCACAGGAAACGAAGAAGTCTCGATCTCGTGGAACTTTAGCCCCGCGCGCAAGCAAGTACGAGGCGATGTCCAAATGGCCACCTCCCACGGCGAATTTCATGGGCGTCATTTCCCGAATCGACTTCGTGTCTAGATCGACACCGAGATCCACCAGGAGCTTGACTCCTTCCATGTTACCACGTATCACCATATAATGAAGACAGGAGATTGCTTCATCAGGGGCATCACCGGGTGCCGTGTGATGGACATCAGCGCCTTTTGGATAAGAAACGCCATACATCCCGCATCACCCGACCAAGCAGCATCAAGAAGCGGTGTCCGTCTCATTTCGTCCTCCACGTGGATATTTGCACCTTTGCTGACGAGTAGTTGGATCAATTCCAGCTTTCCCAGACTTGCGACCCGGGCCAGTGGCGTTATCGGTCTGCAGTAGTGTTGTTCAATATCGGCACCATACTCATCGAGGAGGAGCTCGATCACTCGCGTTTGTTCATGTTCTAGCGCGTAGCAAAGGGGCGTGTGCAATGGTTCGTCGCAAATCGGTATGATCGAGCCGATTTCCGCGTTGATGTCGCCTGGCTTTGCCGCCAGTGATCGTCTGACGACATTTTCAAGACCATGGCAAGCACGAAAGGCAAGAGCCGTGTGTTGCTCGTAGTCTGCGTTGTATCGGTGGATGTATGGGGTTATGATGCTGAAGATATATCGGTTTGTGCGGGCGAACGCGTTAAGCCATGCTTGATTCTGGAGGTGTTTGGCTATCTCCAGCAGGAGCTCGATTAGTAATGACAAAAGATCCATGATCAAAGCGTTTAAGTAGAACCTCAACGCTGGGAATGAGAATTGGAAGAAAAGACGAAACTATTGGGTGTGTGATGAGGGAGTGAGCAAGGTGTCGTGTGTTGTAAACAAACAAGTATCCTCTTTTCAGACACTGCTGAGGCGAATTTTGATCGTAAGGTCAGACAGGTGGACTTCTTGAATTATCACATCAGCTGTGCCATCACTTCCATAGATGCGTGTCGCAAGCTGCTCATTTAGTATTAATAATTGGCATCTGGCCCTTCTCTGCTACACTCAGAATGGTTAGATTAATTGATCCTGATATCATGCCCGTACAGTATGTCTATGGTCTAGTTCTGTTAAACTTCAATTCACATCTAGCTGAAGAGCAAAGCATGGGTGAGACAGTTTGATCATGTATCACTTGCAGTTCGAACCTTACCTCAATGTTAAATATAAAGGAATAGCTGATGCAGACTGAACGCTTTTTTTTTTTTTTTTTTTGGCAATGTTCTTCCTATTATTTATTCTGGCTTGTCATAACTTCCACATCTGCGCCACTTTATCTAGCTGCTTAGGTGCACGTCAGAAGACTTTATATGTAGCGATTTCAGGATAGACTTTTGTTGAACTCAAGCCAAAACTGACTACTCTTCTCTTCACTCTGTGATCTGAAGCAAGGACTGCCTGCACTGTTATGTTGTGTCAAAAGTCATGGCTTTCCAATGTCGAAAGATATACTCCAAGTCTGGAAGAGTCACATGACCGGGATGAGTACCGGTGCCCATGCCTCAGGCTCCCACATGGTGCGGAGAACAACAAACTGGGGAAAAACGTGCGAATTTCCGCCGGATCCTGTTTACTCTTCCTGCTGCGGTCCGCTACCGGCTTCGGCGTTCCTCATTTCCAGATTCAAATCATGTCTGAACATCCATCAGACCGGCTCAGCGCAGAATATCGTTTAGAGTCTGGTAGATACTCGAATTACACTCGTTCACCATTGCCGACGCGAGTCAGCAGTGCGTGCGAGAGATGCCGCCGCCACAAAACTCGGGTATGGATGCCCATCAGCCCATTTGCGATCCTCTTTCTTGAGAGACCACTGACGTTGTTGCTTCTGCTTGTCTTGGTCTGCAGTGTGATCCCTTCCGACCTTGCTCCCTTTGTGCACGAGCAAAAGTGGATTGCCAACCACTTCTTGCTAGTCAGACTCGCAAGGATAGCACTCGAAAGTAAGTCGCTAGGGGACTTGATCATTGTCGAGTAAAATCTCTCGTTCTCCTCGATTACACTAACGATTAACAGTTCAAAGAGAATTTTGAGAAGTCGTCAGCGACAGAGAACCGCGTCAACAGTTGCCGCTGACCACACCACAGAAAGCCTCAATGACCCCAGCAATGAGGCTTCAGTGGAGGCCAGTAACAATGAGAGCCGTGTATCTACAGATGGTCGTGCTACACATCCGGCAATTGACTATGGCGAAGCGGAATCCACCATGGGAATCGTTCAAAAAATATGTGAGCTTGGTAGGCAGCATATCGATGAGCAAGCCACGTCTGCCATTCCAGGCTACCGAGCGAGCACCAGCGTTGCCAAGCGGCGCACAGGAACTACCGGTCAACGGCTTCCCATTTCTTCGATACTCGGTCAGAATTTACCGCCGACGGAGGTGATGTATTCGTTGCTTGAGGACTACTTTGATGCAGTCCATTGGTTCTCTCTCGCCATATATGAACCCACCTTTCGCAGGAAACTTTCCTCCATCGCCGATGGGCTTGCCTATCCCTCCCAGAAATCATTCTTGCTGCTCCTTGCAGTCGTACTGGGCATGGGAGCGTGGTATCGGTCACAGAGGAGGACCACTGATTTGACCGACAATGGAGATTGGCAACAATTGAGTGCAGACCTCTTAAAGATTGTTGAGTCGCACATTGTTGAGTTGATGGACCAACCTTCTGTCACAGCAGCCCAGATTTGCATCCTTTTTGGATCGTACCACGTCTATCACGGGCGTCCCAATCTCTCCTTCTCTTTACTTGGTGCGACTATCAAGATATCCCAGGCGGCAGGGTTGCACCGTGAACCCTCGAGGGGCAACTTTGAGGATATCGAAGAAAGGAAGCGCGTATGGTGGACCATTTACACCTGGGACCGATTCGCGTCAATCACCTATGGTCGACCACTAGGGATCAACGACAAGGACTGCAATCTCAACATGCCAGCGGATATTTTCGAAAATCCCTACTTTGTTGCACCAAGATCAGAGCAGGGATATACCGTCTGTTACTCCACATATCAAAGGGAATTGAACCGTCTCTACCTCATGGCATCCACTGCCCTGGAGGCGATTTTCGGCTCGCGGACGTCGGGCTCTTCTGAGGAACTAGCGGGGGACGCATACCTTGCGCTCGTGAAAGAAGCGACTCAAAACCTTCAGCGATGGCGGGATGAGTTACCCGAGCATCTAGTCCTAGACCTCGAGAGGGATTTCCTGCCTGACAGCGGGCTTTGCGCGAGGGCACATGCCCTACAATCCTTGTCCCTGCACTTGACCTACGATAACATCCTCATTGTCCTCCACCGGCCTTTATTAGCAAGGCAAGTCAATCACTTATCGATAAATCATCAGGCTACTAGCAGAAGCGGTGGGATAGATTCTCCCAGCTGTCATGCGAGCGGGGCATCGCCAGCACAAAGAGACCCAGCATTCGAAGCTGTATCGCCGAATGCATCTGCCACAAGTCCAGTACACTGGTGGAATGCGGCCTTGAGAACATCCCGAGTGACCGAGTTACCGGCCCTGGCTCAACTTGCGACGGATAGTCATTTGGTTGCCTTCTTGGCCATAAATCTATTCAACGCGGCAATTGTGCTGGCGGTCATGGCTCTGTCAGATCCACTCTCCGACACGGCACAGGTCGTGAAGCGGACGATAACTCGTATCTTGCGTCTGCAGGATCTTCTGGGAAAGCGCTCGGCATTATCGAAGCAGAGTACGACGGTTTTGAAGAATGTGGTCACATTGCTCCTCCGCCGTGAATCAGAGGCTATCCTGGCTCCAATCACGACAAACAATCAGCAAGAAGGTCACCAGTCTGTGATAGACTTTGCACCAATGTCCGTAGAGGATACCCTCCGACTGCCCCTCGACGCGACTCTGGAACTATTCGATGCCCCGGCGCGACGATCAGCATGGCCAGACCTGAGCAGGGCTCATCGCCTCAACGAAAGTTTAGCATCAGTGCAATTCGGTGAGTGACTATTCTTGCTGACGAATAGCCCCACGACTGGAATTGCTGAACTGTGGTCTTCTCTCTAGTCGTTCCCTCCGGCAATGATGATCCCTCCATCAACTGGTATACGAGTAGAGACACTCACGAAGCTCGCGGTACCATTCAGGACACGTTCCAATCAGATCATGCATGGCAGCAATCTGCCCCGAATGAATGGCATGACCCCAGCGTTCCTCTTGGGGCGATGGAAACCACAACCTACGGGACAGGTGAACGCGGGTTGTACTGGCTATGGGATATGTCATGGAATGGAACGGAGTCATAGGCTTTGATCATCTGCCTAACGTATGACCAATTTCTAGGAAACAGAAGGAAAGGTCGCATGAGTTAAAGAAACGGGTGCAGATTGATTCTATGTCAATGTGGCCTTTGCTACATGCTCGTCTACACCAGGCCCGTAGATGACGCTCTTGATCCCTGCTCGGCTGACAACATTCTTAAACGCGTCTTCTGCCTGAGTGAATGGAAACTCATGAGTGACAAGACCGTCTAGTCTAATCCGACGAGAATCGAGCAGCCCAATCGCCGTCTGGTAATCGCCAGGACCATATCGAAAACTCCCTTTGAAGACGATCTCCTTGTCGCAGATCTGACCGACCGGAAGGGAGGGATTCGGCTTCCCCAAACCCACCTGAACGAAGGTGCCACCGGAAGCGAGGACAAGAATACCGCAGTTCATGCAAGGCTCCGCGCCGGTGGCGTCCAGGACAACATCGGCACCTATCTCCAGTTCCACCGTCTTTATAATATCTGCTGCATTCTGTTCCGGAGACTCGGATGTCATCTGGTATGTGTGTGTGGCCCCGTATTTCAGTGCAGAGCTGAGTCTGCTTGGCACGACGTCCACAGCGAGCACAGTTGACGCCCCAAATGCACGCGCCACGGCTGCACAGAGCAAGCCGACCGGACCCGCTCCGAAGACGACGACTGATTTTCCCTGCATATCTCCTGCGAGTCGACAACTGTGCACAGCCACGCTGAGCGGCTCGACCAGGGTACCATCCCTTAACGAGACATGTGCGGGTAGTTTATAGCAGCACTCTGCTGGAACGCGATAATAAGTCGCAAGTGTCCCATCATAGGGAGGTGTGGCGGCGAAGCGCATCTCCCGGCAGAGATTGTATCTGCCCGCACGGCAATGGCGGCAGGTATTGCACGCGATGCCGGGCTCCAGGGCGACACGATCGCCTACAGCGAAACCTGATTTGCTTCCACATTCTACCACAATTCCGGATGACTCGTGACCCAAGATGATCGGGGTTTCAACGACATATCGTCCTATGCGGCCGTGCTGCCAGTAGTGTACCTATGTATCCGACATCTTTTAGCTAATGTCTGTAAGCAGCCTCCGGGGACGAGGAAGTGATTCACCCACATCTGACCCGCATAGACCAGTTGCTATGACCCGAACGAGCACATCTCGATCTGACTCCAGTATAGGTACAGCACGCTTCTCATATTCAAATGAACCACCGGGATGCAAAACAAAGGCCTGGTTTATCGCCTGAGCGCTTTGAGGTGAGCTAGTGGGACAAAAGGCTCGACCAAGACTACACCAACCTGATTCGGAGTTGCGACGGTCATACTTGGAATTTTGTGTTTATCTGATAAAATCATGCTTTCATGATTTTGCCCGGTCTTTAAATTCCTTCATCACTCGGCTGATGTATCCTACCCCGGGGCAGGAGCAGTACCCCAGGACGATACCGGTTCCGTGCTCATCGGTTCCGGCGGATGTTGTTCTGATGCAGTCCGTCTAGTCGGGCCGATACCCACGTCTCGACGTTTGTCCCCGTCTACTGTTCCATCATGAAGTCTGTCTTGGAAAATGCGCATCCTATGCCAAGATAAATCGCTCCGTGCTTCGTGTGGTAGAGAGCAGCCGAAGTTTTCTTGGTAACCATCCTGTCAAGAGGAGACATTTCAACGAAGCGACATCTATATCTACGGACACCTTATTGCTATAGTTATCCCAGCCCAAGTCACAACCACCAACCTTCAATGTTGTCACCATTGACAGTCAAGATTTCTGTAACCCTTGCCTTTATCGGTTTGTGCGCCTGGCTTGACGTCGAAGTGACCGGAACCGAGTGGGGGCTTGGCGCGTCCAATTGACTTTTTCTATTGACACGGAACCGAAGCCACTGAACATCCAGAGTTTATTGTCCATCGGAACCGGTAGGCCTCGAGGAGCGATGGGACCAATCATTGCGGTTGACGTCTGGACTCACCCCGTGCTCGAGCGTGCCTGCGGGTCGAGGTTTTACAACCATTGGCTGCATTAGACATCCCCAGGATGAGAACTTTTCTCGGAAGACTCGTTCGGTTCCGAGATAGGGACACGAGCTCTCTGAACAAGTACTACCACGATGGTACTGGGTCGTGGAGTAACGGCTAGAATTGAACACGGCGTTGTGGGATAGTTGCAAGTCGGCCCTACACCTTGATCTGGAGAAAAGTCTAACTTCCCCATGGGACCACACTCCGGGGTAGAAAACTAGAAATAGAGCCTCTGCCACCTGGTCGGGACTGATTGTCATTGACTCAGCACATAGCAACTGATCTGTCGCTTTGGAATACCTGTTTCTTTTCTCTCGAGGCCATGAGTGTCAGAAGAACATCTGCCACGGCGCACAATGCGGCCATCAAGGGCCGCTCGCAAGCTGTGGCTGCGCAGGTTGCAGAGCAACAAGGCTGGCTGGAGAGAAAGCTCAAGCCCAAGAAGGTCACTGCCAGATATCCGTTCAAGGGAGCGCCGTTGCTTTATGCGACCTGCGCCTTTGGAAGTCTAGGAGATGCCTTGTTTGGATACAACTCTGGTATGACCACCTACAATACACTGCAGGGCGTTGTGCTAATGCTAATGTCACTAGGTATCATGTCCGGCTTGCTGGTCAATCCAGTCTTCGTGTCTCGCTTCTTCAAAGACTATGGTGGTGCAGACGGCACGACGAATGCAGTGGATCCATCTATCACGGGTATTTCAGTCGCATGTCTACAAGCATCAGCAGCTTTGGGTGCACTGATGGCAGGGCGTCTCGGCGACATCATCGGACGAAAGAAGTGCGTGCGCATCGGCGGCTTCATCTACTTCTTCAGCGCATTTATTCAAATATTCGCTCCTGACTTCGCCACGTTCATTGCCGGCCGGACCATCCAGGGATTGGGAGTCGGATTTCTGTCCATGACCGTGCCTATTATTCAGACGGAGATTGCGGCCCCACATCGCCGTGGTCTCATGGTAGGAATCGAGTATACATTCCTGATTGCAGGATACATGTTGTCGTGCTGGGTGGACTACGCTTTCAATTTCCTTTTACCGAGCCATATGTCGTGGCAGGGCCCGTTCATCGTCCAAATCATTCTTTCGTTTATCCTGTTGGCCATGTCCTTTTTCTTACCCGAGACACCTCGTTGGCTGGCGAAGAATGGATTTATGCAAGAGAGTCTGCAGACCGTTGCGGACTTGCATTCCGGAGGTGACACGGAGGCGGAGCATGTGCAGCAAGTCTTTCTCGAGATCCAGGAAGCAGTTATATATGAAACCAACCTAGGGAAGTCGAGTTGGAAGGTAAGGCCTGGCAAATCCTGTTATACTCTGATGAGTTGCAATATGGCTAACACCATGAACAGGAAATGTTCACTCGATACCGCAAACGAACGATCGTCGGAATCACGGTCCAGATGTTTGCCCAGCTGAACGGAATCAACATCATCTCATTCTACCTTCCGAGCACACTTGCATCGGCTGGATTTGACAATCGGAAATCTCTGCTATATACGGCTGCGAATGCGCTTCCGTACACAGCCGCTACGATTGTAACATGGTGGTTAGCGGACAAATGGGGGCGTAAGCCCTTGCTCATTCTAGGAGGTGGGTCTAGGTACCTTCTTAAAGAATCATATGGACCAGCTAACTTCTTATCAAAGGCCTCGCCATGGCAATTCTGCTCGGCATCGTCTGCGCCTTCACCGAGGCCAACCTGGATATCACAGTCAAAGCAAACGGTCAATACGCCTTCGTCATGCTCTATAACATTGTATACGGCTTCACCTGGGGCCCGATGCCATGGCTGCTACCCGCGGAGATCTTCCCCCTGCGCGGCCGCAGTAAGGGAATGGCGCTGGCTACCACGAGCAACTGGATCTTTAACTTTATTATCGGCATGGTGTCTCCCGATGCTTTTGCGGGGATTCACGGGTACTTCTACCTGGTGATCGCGGGATTCTGTCTCTTCTCGGCGGGTCTGGTCCACTTTTACTATGTGGAGACTGCAAACAATACCCTTGAGGAAATTGCGGTCTTATTCGGGGACCAGGCGTTTGCGGATGGGGATGGAGAGGTCATGGACGTTGCTGATGTGAGGACTGATCATGGGAAGGAGCTTGTTTGATGGTGGTAGCCAGGACTGGAGGTTCTCTCCAGGACGTACTGGGTTTGGATCTGTCCTACCCTACACGTGGCATGGATTTATTCTCAACTTTGTCGGAGCTGTATTTCCTGAAATGAACTGTAACATTCATATTGTCGAATCTCTTAGTATATGTCCTTGCTACCTGAGAGTACTACTAAGGATACTGGTGGCAGGCAATAGGAGCCCCAGTTTCTGGAAAATTACTTGCCTGCAGGGGAGCAGTAAAGTGCTCTAACGAGAGGGATCATGCCTGATCGAGTCAGGACAATAGCCGCCATACATAGAGACAGACAACAGACATCAGTTCGGTGATGCCGGGGAAATAACTTGACTCGGAATACATGGATATCTCCAGGAATCATGCTTGATGTGTTGCCCGGGTTCGTTTAAAGGTATTGAGCGAATCGTGAGCAATTCAAGGGCTGATTCATCCGCCTTGTGTGGATGGGGCTACATAGCTTGGCATCTGTAGGCATAGCTGGATTATCTTCTAAAAGGGGAAGAACATCCCAAGCATGAATAAAATCAGGAGGAGAAATCACACTATATCCTGCTCATGGGATGGCATAACTAAAGCCTGAGGAGAGTGCATTAAAAGAAGCAAATATATATCATACGCCATGTCTGTCTTCCATCAGATACAAGTTCCTCTGTGCAGGTATAGTGTTGACTGTGCTCCATTAGTGGCATAGTAAGATTCCTTGTATACCTGATTATGGAGCTCCATCCTCCCACAGTCAGCCTCCTCTTGAAGGCCTTAGGTTGGAGAGATGTGCTTCAAAAGATCTCTTTTATGAGTTCTGCCACTCCTAACAGTGACAGAATTGAGAGCCACAGCAGATGTGCATGGCTCTTTTAATTACTGCAACATGCCACAGAGAACTGGGGGGTATACCCTATATATTAGGTGTGATAAAGGTGCATGATTTGAACATGCCACTCCTTCTCATCTGTAGAGAACGCTAAAGGCCCTGTAACCTGGGTTCTCAAGTTACTGCATCTCAGGCACTGAGCGAGCATTTATCTCCCGCACATTCTGAGCTTCTGTGTAATATATGACCAGTCTCTTCATTGACACTCCTGGCTAAGCTATTTACTACATCATTCGGCTTTACTAATATGCATATATACATAACTTCAGGATAAGATCTCACGTCATAGAGATTTTATACATCCCAGATGAATGCAAGGAATGTTTAAGTGAACATGACTCTATCCAAGCTTTTACCGATTCAATTTCATCGATAGATTAAGACATCTGTGTTCTGGCCCCTTACGCCACCAGAAGCAAGGGCCTGAGGACTGTTCCCCCGGGATCCTTGGAAGAGCCCTCGCATAGTATTCTCACCAGCAAAAGTCAACAAAGGTACCACATGGACATAGAAGCCATGTCATTAGCTAGGCTACCAAGACAACTCATTCGAGGACGACCCATGAAACAATGCCCTGAAAGGCAGACGCGACTTGTCAATCCGGCATGCTGAAGGACTGGAATCTGATGACCATAGCCCGAGAATGACGGTGTAGAACGCTGATCACCTTTGTGGGATATTGACAACAGTGACTAGCAGAATCAGGGCGGATTAAATACATTCTATTTGCTATTATTCTACCTCAGCATCGACAGGCATAAAAGTGTATCATTTTCAGTCACGCCGCTAGGACGACTTTCGTGCAGTTCTCATGTTATCATATACGTGGCTATATCCCGACGCTACACTGGAATGCGCGCAGCTAAGAGTTATTAACCTAGAAATTGGAATCCATTCATTTCTGCGGGAGAGCGAGGTCAGAAAAAAGGAGGTACCGGTCTGTAGTCAACAGGTACGGAGTTCAGAGTACTTGGTCCAGAAGTCCGTCATGACCGGCAGAGTCGACTTGATTCTGTAACGGAGCAACAGCTAGTGTCAAGGCGCAGAGGGGAAATGCCCTGATTGGCCATAAAAGCAAGCGTGTAAGACTTGGCGTAAATATCTTCTTTGCCAGATATTGACAGTAGAGGAGGGTATGACAAGGGAAGCATCATATAGGGTACCGGCAAATTCAATGTAAGTCGCGGAAATTGCCGCAGGATATAGATGGTGTAGTCTTCAGACTCATTTTATTGGTATCACGGTGAAATCAGTGTTATGAAGGTATATATTGGCCGATTTATTCTACTTTGCCATATAGGGAGGGGTGCGGTGCATATCATCATATTATGATAGCCAGAGAGAGAGTACTAACATTTATATGGTTCTTAGCTACTTATTTACCTTTTCTTATGGTTAAACTCTATCGACCAGACTTATAACTATATTCCTACGACCATAAGGTGAGACTGTGAGTGACATTATCATGAACCCAGCCAGTGAGAGGCCTTGTTACCTTCATGCATGTTTACTGGGCCATTGGAATGCTGAATGGAAACGCCGAAGAGGTTGGGACCATGCTCCTGAGAATGTCAGCAAAGTCTGGTCCGAGCAACAGTCTCTCCCTTTGTGCTACCACACTTGACATGTTTACTGTATTTAAGCGAAAAGTTGACAGGAATGTTGGACTGGGATAACTCTATCCCCTTCCGACGTTCTGACTCGACATCTTTTTTCGATCGACTTATCGAAACGCTCATTCCCAAGAGAGGCAAGATTCATGTTGAGTGAGAGGCTATCGCGTCCGCTGCCCAAAAACAAGAAACCGGAGCCATAAGCTGATGGCAATATATCACACTCAGTGGGCAACTCATCGCCTGCACTTATGAACTATTGGCGGCCCGAGAATGGATATTTACTCCAGGGGACTGCCCCTTGCACACTTCCATGCCTTTGCCTGGACTAAGAACACAAGCAATACGGGTGGAACCGTAATTGGCCCATGTCAGCCAAGAAAAAACGTCTTTTGATCTGATGTTCACCAATCCCAATCGTCAAGGCATTACAGACTAAGTCCTTATCAGCTATGCAGGTCCACCATGGCGCAGATTGAGCCCCCCGGGCCAAGATCTTTCTGTGCATGTCTCATAAGCAGCTAAGACCTAATAGTACCGAGCTCGGGATTGGGGGAAGAAAAGACCGGCCATACAAATTCGATATCAAGCCCTCGGAAGAAGGGCGGGTGTTCCTGCGTTCATATGGTCCGTATCTTCCTCTGAGAGTTTGAACCTAAATGATGCGGCTTTGGCGAAGCCTTATATATGAGCACCACGGGAAAGATGCTCACAAGTGACAATGGGGGCATTGGAGAAAGGATATATGTTCCCGAAAATCTGTTAGCATCAGTCTCGGCGACGGACGATCAGCATCATTGCAATCGTCAATGCTCTAACTTTGGCGAGCTGGACCATCCAGAGGGTGATATTCATGTTCACAAAAAGAGACTGTCGACCATAAGCTGGGCGGGTCGTGGAGCACATCAGCCAACGGCAAAATATGGTCAGCAAAGCCAGACATTTGCCATTGAAGAAGGAAGGGGAGACGTATCCCCCTCCCAATACAGCAAAACGGATGACGGCCCATCCAGCCCCTCTACTGGATCTAGCTCTCGAGAAGAGCCATTTTACATTGCATACGAGGAAACTTCGCCGCAGGATCTTCCAAGCTATCAGTATACTGGAGCGTCTGTTTATCCACGAGAACCAAGGACACGCACCAGCTTTAGCTATCGAAATTCGTTGCCTATTGGCCAAGCCCTACGGAGTACACCCCGCGACGTACGAAAAGGTAGTGTCAGAAGTCTGTACAACAGGGCCACCCTCGTGAAGATCAAGCATCAGCGGAGATACTGGCGTCGGCTGCTGTTCGAGTATGGAGTATACACGGTCCTCGTCCTGTTCGTGTACTTTGTTCTTGTGGGTGTACCTCTGTGGAAAGGAGCAGTCTGGTGGCTCCACTGGATCCTGCAGCATAAATCAGTGTTCCAGGCGGCTGGGCGATGGTCATCAGTCTCCTTGTGTTGTAAGTCCCGCCCATTACAACGGGATGAACAGTGGCTCACAGTCAGACAACGGTAGCTATTCGTATACCCCACTGCTTACCACATTCGAAGAGGACGCCCCGGGACCAGACTTCTACCAACAGCGCCATATCACTGCAGCCCCCACGGACACTGCGCTCCTGATCCCCTGCTACAGGTCGGCCGCCATCATGGGTCAAACCCTCGAGGCCGCGCTGCAAATCTTCCCGGCATCGCACATCTACGTCATTGCGAACGGAAACTCGTCCCAACCGCTGGACCACACCGAGGAGATCTGCCGAGGCTACGGAGTCAATCACATATGGTCACCTGTGGGGTCAAAGATCATCGCCATTTTCATCGGTTGCTACGCCGTCAAGGATTTCGGGCATGTCCTCCTGATCGACGACGATTGTATCCTCCCGCCCAACTTCCCTGTTGCCGTGTCACGACTAAACCAACAGGTCCGCTGCATCGGCTACACGATCAAATCTGTGGGACGCGATTCCTCTCCAGGATCGTACTGCCAGCAAGCACAAGACCTTGAGTATAAACTGTCCGGTCTGACGCGGAGTTTTGCAGGGCGGATCGGCAGCGCTACATTTCCGCACGGCGCCATCTCACTCTGGGAGCGGACGTTTCTGAAACAGACTCTCCACAATCATCCTGGCTTTTCCATTAGCGAGGACTGGTTCCTCGGTGACAGCTGCCGGCGCCTTGGAGGCAGGATCCAGATGTGCAGCGCCGTCTTCGTGGAGACCATGACACCCTCCTCTGCGCTGTTTGGCGAAATCGACGAAGATCGAGGCGGATTCGGCGAGCCCACGGTCTTCAAGCAGCGGTTCCTCCGGTGGAATTTCTTTGCGAATGGGTTGTGGTATAACCTCTCGTACCTTTTCACATCGTGGAAATTGGGTCGGTGGGAATTGGCGACTAAGATCTTGGTCATTCAAGAAGTATGGCAATTGATCAATCGCTCTGTGTTTGACCTGGTACTGACTAGACAGATATACGACACGATTCTGTACATCCTTACTCCGTTCACTCTTCCCATATCGCTCATCGTGCGGCCTGAATTCTGCATTGCTCTCATGATGTCCACGTTAGGGCTCTATTTACTGCACGTCATCATATTCAACGAGGTTCATCTACGCCAGAAGAATGAGCGAATTTGCTGGAAGGTTGTTTTTGGGTATTATGTACGTTGCTCTCCTCTTATATCCTCCTTGTCGACGGGTATTGACCGGCTCAAGATGCCGTACAAACTTCTCATGGCCTTGACCAACGTCGCCAGCTGTTACTGGTCGCTGGTCAAGTATGCCAGATATTTTGCCCGGCGACATCCCAAGCTTACAGAGGACCATAAGGCGGTTGGGATGGTGTTGAAGCTGGAAGAAATGACCTACAGCCAAGGAGGGATGCCCAATGGACTGGGAAGGAGTCTGACCGTGAAAACCGTCGACGTTGATGCGGCTGTAAATAGTAGAGACTGCATTATTGCCGAGTTGCCTGCAGAAAGATATTCTTCTGATTGATCTACTCTATGGTTGCAAGCTGGACAGGTATCCTCACACAGCAGCAAAAGCAAACGGATCCCTCGTCCCATCCTCCTCCACATCCCAAACATACTCGATCTCTTGAGCTATCCCACCAGCCACATCCTTCCCATGTATCTCCCTCACAAAAGCCAACATCATATCGATCCCCGCACTCACCCCAGAAGAAGTCCACACATCCCCATCAGCCACCCACCTGGCCTCCCTGACCCAGCGCACCTCCCCCCTCAGCGCCGTCGTCGGCCCCCAAAGCATCTTATTAGTCGTCGCTCGTTTACCATCCAGCACGCCCGCCCGCGCTAACACGCCCGCACCGTTACACACGGACATGATGTATTTCACCGACGGGGCGATGCCCCGCACGAACTCGATGACGGGATCGATGGCGTGGGGGAAGCGGGTCCCCGCGCCGCCAGGCACGACGAGCACGTCGATCTTGCCCTTGGCGGTATCCGGCGCGGGTGTGTCTTTTAAAAAGTCGGCGAAAGTACCCGTTGGAAGTACTTCCTGGGCGCAGATTGAGCCTACCCGATGTGCGGCTGGATCTGGGGATCGAGTTGAGACGGGAGCGAGGCTCGATGCGAGGAGGGAGAGGCAGAGCTGTTTTCTTTCGGAGAGGACGTTGAGGACTTCCAGGGAGCCGAAGACGTCGAGGGCTTCGAAGCCGGGGAAGAGGAGCATGGCGAAATGCATGTTGGGTGGGTTGTGTATGCTAGGAGGGGATTCTCGGCTTTACTGGTGAGATACCTTTTCTTACTGTCACCGAAGGAGCGAGAAGGTTTGATTTATGTCTTCTATACGAACAATCCCCTCATCGTGAGAGACATGTCGGTCTCCGGAGCTTGGCGTTGTTGGCGCCTCGCGCGGAGATAATCAAGGCCGATGGAGGAGTGAGTCATAGTCATGAACCCATCACTCTAAGCACTATGGGATTGAGAAAATGGGCAATGAAATTGATGTTCACAATGTAATAGAACAGCAGACGAGATTGTAATCCTCTCATATATCGTCAATCATGAATCGTTGACATTCTGTCAGCAGATAAACCAGGCAATCCAACCCACGAATACAACTTCAACATCCATTTCAAAGATCCACACATCATAACTCCATTATCCACAAAAACACCATGGGCTGAGCGCCGTGTCTAACCGCTACCGCCGAGGGCTTTCTGGTATCAAGCGTCCCGGAGAAAGTGATTAGTAGCATGAGCCCCGGCAGTCACGGCGTGGACACGTCTTCTCCAGCAATACTCCATTCCAGACTCGTATTCATCAGAGATCCAGTCATGTTAGCCCTCTGCGTATCCAAGCGACAGACGTGACGATGGTTGCAAGCTGACCGGCAGGAGGATTTTAACCGAATATTTCGGGACGGGGTTGAGATCCGGGACCATGCTACCCTGAACAGAACAATATCCAAGCGTTTCCCGTCAGAAGCAGGTCCAAAGTAACGATATCACGCACGCGAGCTCGAACTGCGCGCAGTACGGTACTTGCCTGGTAGTCCGTCCATCCTGCGCTGCTCTGAATCTGGACGAGACGGCGGCGTGTGGCAGTACAACCTGATGCTGAGAAAGTCATAGCAGAATGAGATGTTCTCTAGGACTGCCATGCCTGGATCTGATGATGGATGGATTTATGGGCCTGGCACACGGTAGCTGCAGTCCACCCATGTGTAGCCCAACAATCGCATGGTGCCGGTGGCCTTCTGACATGGCTTGTCTGCAGTCAAACACCACTGTATGAATGCCTCTCCCTGGAAGTAAGACCTGTTGTGTGTGGTTGGGTTTCTATTATTGATGCTTGTGCATTTGTTGTTCAGTTATGTGCAATGGGATTGCATTATATTTAACTTACTATATATTTTCACCGCTGGTCACAGTCTGGTCAAGGTAAAGGCCAGCAAGGAAGAGATAACTGCCCATTCCCACACTTTTTACTGTGATCTTCTTAATTCTGGAAGAATTCTCTAGCATGTCACAATGTTATTATCTCAGATTCTAAAATCCTGGTCAAGATGTACATTGAATGTCCTTTTGCTGTGGTTAACATCAAGCCAGTCAAGACCCTTTACACAAAAAGCAAGTTGAATATAAATTGATCAGCCCTATTTCGATTTCTCTAGCGCCGATATATACAGTATTATTATTGTAGCTTATGATGATTGCATATGAGTAGCCTCTCCTTTTCTGACTGGAGTGAATAGTGATGATTGCTGCCTGTCAGCCTCAGACTGGGGGCTCCTGCACTAAACTGGATTCGGAGTAGTGCGTCACCCGATGGTAACCCTAAATGATTGGCCCAAATCTCCTCCATACTGCGCCCCCTGTTAACCTCTGTTACTCTGTATTTCTCTGACGCTTGATGTTGGAGAATTCGACATCACCGAGCTATAATACCAATATGTTTAACTGATGCAAATCAGTTGTTTGATGCTGGCGATACTTTCGATCGAATCGCGATGGGACCTCGCTGGCGCTTGAAGCGACAGGCCATTGTCGCAAGTGTCCTGGTCGTCACGGTCATCTGGTTATTGCATTCTTTTGAATATCAGGATTTAGATCTGACCAGTAACAATCCGCTTCTATCGAAGTACATTCATCAGCAGAGTGGAAAAGGAGGTGGTAAGTCTTAAACATTGAGTTCCCCGGCTGTCCTAACCTCCGCTAACAAAGCAGTATGGTATATTCCTCCTTCATGGTTGGAGAGTGCTACAGCCGAACCTGAGAGCATTGTCGAAGCGGCCAAACTAGCTTCTGATAAAGCGCAGTCAGCGCCCCAGAGGCAGATACCCCTCTCAAGAATCCCGATGATTGTCCATCAAACATGGAAGAACACTGATCCTCAGACATGGCCTCAGCCGATCCGTCAGAGCACGGAGAGGTGGCTCCGAGCTGTCGAAGAGGACGAGATGGCTTACTTCCTATGGGACGACGACGGGATCAACCGGTTCATCAAGCACTTCGAACCCGGACTCGAGAAGCAATTCTACTCGCTCGCCAGTAACGTCGAAAGAACCGACGTCTTTCGCGTTCTGGTTTCGAAGTGGATCGGCGGTGTCGTACGTGTTCCTCTTCCCCTTCCTGTCACCCGCTAGGATACGAGATTAATGCCCATCAGTACGGGGATATGGACACCGAACCGCTGCGCACGCCCAAGAACTGGATCAACGCCTCGGACATCCAGCCCTGGCGGGACCCGGAAACTGGCGCCGTGTACAGGTCCGCCAATCCTGCCCGCGCAATCGTCGGCCTGGAGGCGGATTGTCCCCCCGATAGCGACCTGTATTGGCGGATGGGGTATACCTACCCCGTGCAGCTAACGCAGTGGTCCTTTGCCTGGGCGCCGGGACATCCAATCCTGCAGATGTTCATTGACCGGTTCGCTACGACTACGCAGGAGATGTCGGGGGAGGGGTCCTCCACGGAGGGTGAGTTGGACACCGTCGATCCGCTCATTCTGACGGGTCCGGTTGCGTTCACGGAGGCGGTGCAGAGCTGGTTGATGGCGACTACGGGTCTACGGTGGAATGCGCTGACGGGATTGCATGATGGTGGGAAGAGTAAGTTTGTGGAGGATGTGTTGGTGCTTCCGATTACGGGGTTTAGGTGAGTTTCCCGATCGAGTTGTATACCGTGCGTTGCTAACTGGACCAGCCCTGGCAGAGGCAAATATGGCAACATGGGCTCGAAACCCACCACAGACCCGTCTGCGCGACTGCTCCACCGGGCGCAGGGATCGTGGAGGAAGTTTGATCTTATAGTGGAGTATGGCAAGTTCTGTCGGACGGTGTTTGGCCGGTGCAGGGAGTGGACCAAGGTGCCCCATACTACTTGATTCTGGAGCATTACAACTGTATGTAATCTTAATGAACTTCCTCGAGAGGAAGGGGTAGCGCTTCGAACCCATCCTGACCAGGCTTTCTATCCTCCACGACCACCTCCATACCCCGTCGGCCACAGAACCCATCATTCCCCGCAGTAACCTCGACCATCTGAAAGGAACCACCACGCGGCGAGCCCTCATCCGGCACCCAAACCTCCCGCTGCACTTTCTCCCCTGGCACCTCCGCCCTGCGCGGATTATACCACGGCAGCCCGACAACATGGTTCAGCATACTATGCGCAACCGCATACAACCGCTCGAACCGCCTCGTAGTCCACAGCCACGACAGCGTCCTCCGCGTATAAGCAACACGCACAAACGGATTCATATACACCCCGGTCCCCACACTCCCATCTCCCTCCCCCGGCGCATCCGCATCCTGCACATCCGCATGCACGATACAGCACTCCGACGCATCCCAGAACACCTCCGTATCAGCCCGGAACCGCACCGGGTGTTCCTTCTGGAAGTACCAGGCATCGAACGCGACCATCCCGCCCCAGCAACTGCGCACGCGCACCGCGTCCCGCCCCTCCAGCACATCCCGCCGACTATCTCCGCGCCCCGCTGTCGTGAACCAGGGAAAAAACGGGAGGCCGATGCCGTAGCCTTGCAGATCGCGGGTGGCGTAGCTGTCGTAGAACTTGAAGGGGTTGGTGAAGTCGACGGCGCAGGCGGCGCGGTATCTGTCTCGTATAA